ACATATCTGCAAAGACTTACGTGTTTTATTAGAGAGAATATGTGAGTGTGTATTCTGTATTATTGTGTCATTGTATAATTATCTGTGTAAAAGGTAGTTTTGCTGGTTATCATCATTAGATGGTCATTTGTAATCATCATTATTACCGGATCAACCCTTCATTTACTTACAAAAAATCATTCTCATTTGTTTTGTTCTTTATTGAAATTTCTATACTTTTTTTTTTTTTTAAATCGAAATAGACTAGTTTTTTATTTAAAATTCAACATTAATTAATTTATTATTATTCTTATTATTATTAATAGGAGAAAAAAGAAATACAATCTTCATTACTATGTTTAACTAGCTTTTAAAAATGCTGCTGCTTATAAGACTTACATTCTCGCGAAAAAATTTAGTCTCTTTCTATATTTTTTTTCAAAAAACTCTACGTAAACCAACTACGGCCTCGAAGACACTAAACTCAACGCAATTGAAGCAACTGACGAAACATGCCCAAAAATCAATTACGGCATTCAAAATATGTCGACGTTCTATTACTTGATGCAAGTTCTCTGCACAAAAGATTATCATAATAACAAACGTATAATTAAATAATAAAACAATAAATGATTGAATGATAAAGTGGTATATAATATTAATACTTAAGGCATCGATCCAAATAAAATAATCATTATGATAATAAAGTAATACGGAATAATAGTTGATTATTAGAAGAATTGTATTTAATTAATAATAATAATTGTAAAATAAAATAAACAAATAGGATTGATATATGGATATATATATATATTTACTCGCATCAACTTCTCACTGGCTACTACGTCCTTGCGGCATTCTTTCGCAACAATAGATCATGTGTTAGATATTGTATATATGTACTAATAAAAAACCGTGGATCCCGGACGATCGGCACAAAGGATCGACAGGCAGCACGTGTGAGAAAAAATTGTAATATTGACAATAATGAAAAAATGTAAACAAGTAGTAATAATTTTGAAAGATGCCAATCATTACGAAATAAAAAAATAAAATATTATAAATATATATGGTACCAAAAATTTAAAAAATCAATGGGGATCTCAGGAAGCATCTATGTCGAAGCATGCCCAAAAAATGTTTACGGCACACATATGTATCGAACTATGGGTCTTAAAGTCTTTCAAAACATATCTACTGTATATATATAATAATATAATACAGCAATGAACTTCTGGCATTTATATATATACACAGATATACTCTGCAGATTTCGTCCGACACGCGACCAAAACATTTTTTCTAATTTAACTCAGTAGCTTTTAAAAATTTTTTACTCATAACTCGTTCTTACTGTCTCGTCTTTTCAAAAAACTTGAGCAGGCGGTATCAAAGTCTCATGTCATCGCGAGGGAATCAGTGACTGCTCACGTTTACAATTTTATTTATCATTGCTCACTATTTATTATTTATGTATACATTCCATTGTTGCACAAATTTATGTCATTAACACAATAGCATGAAACATGTAATGCAGATGTAATTTTATCTCTTCTACTCATTATAATAATATTTCAAACAATTCATTATCACTACCATCTATCTTAAACAAAAAAAAACAAAACATCATATTATTATATAACATTATTTTGGATCTAGTTTATTTATCTTTAGAAATGATAAATAATAAACAGAAAAATAAATAAAAATTTTTGCAACAATTTCATATACATATACCAATTGTAATAAAAATCTATTGTTGATAAAAACAAACTAAAATAAAACTTAAAAACCATCGTGAACAGCCACATATTGATAAAGACGTGCATCGTAGTATTCCGTGTTACTGTGTGTACGTGACTGTGTGCGTAAAGTGTTTCAAATAAAACCATTTATTACAGAAATAAGAAGAAATAATAGTTAAAAAAATTAATACCAATAAATGATAAAACCGTTACTGTCATCGTAAAACCATTAGCTTTAAAATGGATGCACTGAGAAGAAAAATAGATTCATCAAGTTAATTTTACTTTGATCAAGTAAACAATTTTATGGACATTGTACGCGGTAAATATTTGATAATGTTTAACATGAAATTTACTCAAATAAATAGAGCTATTGGAGATAATGATTTTACTCCACTTAGACAAAAGTAAATTTAAATCTTCTGGATAAACTTTTTATTAAAAGCAATATAAATTTACAATAATATCTCAAGCTACAAATAAACTTGGATAAATAAATTGATTAAAGTATTAGATCAGTCTTGGACAGTAGTCCAATGCTGGATAAATTTTTAATCACTAGTGTTTAATTTATTTAAAAAAATTTTATTTTATTTATGAAAAAAACATTTATCAAAGCTAAGAATAATCAATTATTAAAGCAAACAAATACACTTTGAACAACGTTCAGAGAAATATTTTTTCAATTCGAATAAATATGACGTTCAGTGTGATTACTAAAATACATTTTTCATTTTAAGAACTTCAATGAATGATAAATTATGCTGTGAGGTAAATTTATTGTATGATACGTATTTTCTATAAGTATTTTTGCTATCATTTATGCAATTTATTTCATGCATACATTAAAAAAATTCCATTTTCAAAAGTGATAAATTAAATAAAAAATTGTATCATTTAAAACAGTCCATTGACTATCAATCATAATGAAAAAACTAAAAAAATTATCTACCCAAACTTGTAAAAAAAAAAATACCATATCAATTGATAATATTTCATATGAGTCTAAATTAACAACTATTGGTCCACAGCAAATAAAATGGGATATTTACCAAGCAATATATTTACTTGATTAAAGTAATTTGCAATAAAGTAAGTGTATTTGCTCAAAAAGGAAAACATACTCTTCTCAGTACAGTAGAAAATAACAATAAACAAATACGATAAAGTCTGAGTAGAATGAATAATGTAAAAAGTGTGCGTAAAAGTATATCTATAAGTAGAGATAAACATATGTAAAATGAATGAAAGTGTAATAAAAGTGTCAAGGTTGTGTGTAGTGTGTAAATGAGGGTAATTCGTACACAATATCAATTAACGTGCACAAGAACAATACTGCCACGAGATTGCGTGCAGGGCGGGTTCGTGCAGCCGCACGGAGCATTAACAGTGTGACAGACCTGGCTTTAACAGACACAACTTTAGCCCCAACGGCCGTGTTCTCTTTACAGTAGATTGGGCCATATGCTACGTGGTCCCATACGGGCGGATTATTTGCACGGTCCACAACGTCAATCTGAACCTCCACGGTTCGCGACAAGGGCGGATAGCCCTTGTCTTGTGCCATCGCCTCCAGCTTGTATGTCTCGCGCTACACCAGATACGTATACAACAAATGGAAAAAGAAAAAAGAACGGCGTTAGTCTTGTCTAGTGCTCATGACAGATAATTATAACTCATAGAATTGTTGCGGACTTGTCTTTTGTCAGCTCTTCATATGCTATTAGTTAAATGCATTGCTTCTAATTTCATCATCATCATCATCATCATCGAATTGCCTAATTAAAAATTCAAGTGATTCATAAAATTATGAGGAAAACAATTGAAGAATAAGAAAATAAAAAAGTATATAGAGAGAAAAAAGAAAATAAAAAAGCGCTTCATTCTCTCGCTCGTGTGAGGACGGAGGCAGCAGCTGGAGGCTGGACGAGGACGCCAGGACGTCCCGATCGACGATCGTAGGCACCGTGGCTCTCGTAGCAACCTGTATATCATACCTAGGAAGTGTCAGTGTTTTTTATGGCACGTTAGTTTTCATTTCACCCTTCCCCATCATTTACCCACATTATTATTTTTCACCTGATCGTGATTTAACGATCCCTCTGGTGTATTTAATTACCCTAATTATTATTTAATATTATTACTTGTTTTTTTCCGATTGCTCAATTATTCCACACTAATACCTTAAAAATTAATTTACATTCTGTCCATGTCATTTATCCATTTACGACATCGACCAACAGAACAGTGTGCATAAACGTGTTTTTGAATATATCATTTATCAATTTCATTTATATCATTAATTGTTGTAAAAATTTTTTGTTAGTCATTCTTTTTTTTTAATTAATTAATGAAATTTTCCTTTAATTATACTGCATAATTGCTTCTTTTAACAGACCTTTAATTTAACTGTTGTAAAGAAATAATTATGACTCTTTAAAAAGTTATTGATGAATACGGGTGAGCATTACAAGGCACACCCACACGCCGCGCTTGACCATACGTGCTTTTATTTTTTTGTTGATTAAAGATTTTTTTTTTTAATTCTTAGATAAATCATAGAAATAATAATTGAGTTTAATGTGAAGAAAAAAAGTAAAAGGCAGAAAATAATTAATGGAGAGAAATAAGAAAATAAGTCAGCTATGAGTTCTGTGTAATACAAGTGTGATTTTAGAGGCGACAAAAAATGTGAAATAGAAAAATATCAACTAAAATCTTAACTGAGAAAAAAATTTATCAAACATTGATTTGAGTGTAACGTAAATAAAAAAAAAGTACACAAAATGTTACAAACTAATTGAAGTAAAATTTAATTACAGTTGAATGATTCCATTTGCTAATCACTGTAACGATCAATTAAACTTATTATACCAATGATTAAAATAATTCTTTATGAACATGCTTCGTTACTTGTATTTTATGATTTAATATTAATTATCAGGTTAGCATTATTCTAGTTGAATAATCAAACAAATATTTTACCAAGATATCATCTCTGTGTAATGAGAATAAAGTACCAAAATGATTTTATATTGTGCGATAGATTTAATTAAAATTCAATATCAAATTATTCTTTTCTCAGTATTTGTTTTTAAATATATGTGTGTTGCGTCTTTGAGCTGATTAAAAAATAGATTTAAATAGATAAATAGAGAAAAAGAGAGCACTGCATGGCGCGGCACGGCATGTCTCTTGTCTTGGTCATGTCGTGGCATACAAACCTGGCTTTCACCGACGTCACTACAGTACCCACTGTGACATTTTCTTTGATGTGAATGGGGCCGTATACATTCTGATCCCACAGAGGAGGTTTATTGTTTCTGTCTACGACGTCTAATTCAACGTCCACGTCTGCGTACAAGACTGATGTCCCTTTGTCAGAAGCCCGCACCTTCAGGCGATACCTGTCTCGCTATTGGCAAAACATGGGCCGTCAAGTTACAGGACAATTTTTGGGGACCAATTTTAAATGTTGTTGTTGCTGCTGTTGTTCTTTTTTTTTCTTTAATTTTTTTGAATTTATTTTTTTTTTTCAATCAGTTCAATTTAATTAATTCAAAAGTAATTTTAAATTCTGTAATATTAAATGAAATTCGAATCACGGGATTTTTCTATTAAGAAAAAGCTTTTCTTTTTATCGGAATTTTTATAATTGTTTTTTTTTTTTTTTTTAAATCTTTTTATGTTATAGTCAAATTCGATAAACTAATTTTGTTTAGCTAGAAAAAAAAACGCAAGCCGAAGTCTGGTAGGTATCCTCGCGTGGGACTTTAAATGAAAAATCCTGCGATCGACGAGCCAGATTTCGCTTAGCTCTGGAACACTCAAACGGGTTTATATAAGAATATTACAATAATTATTACATTAACGTATGTATACAGTGAACGCCGCAGTTCTGTTTAAGCGGCGGTAGGAAGAAAATGATTGATATATATATATATTTATATATATGTAGAATATATCAAGTATTATATCCTATATATATATATATATATATATATATACTATATATTGGTGGCAAGACGCAAATATTACTGGTGCTGCTACATATTATTATAATTATAGCGGAAATGTTTGTTTGTGCTGCATTACAATTTCTACTGTACAAGTATTATTATCATTATTATTGTGTATAGATGTGTATAAAAATGTATAAAAATGTAGAATTTTGTATGTTTTATCAAGTGTGTTATGTTATAAGAGATTTTGTTTTTTATATATAAATATTTATATATATATATATATGTAAATAGTATTTATAATACACAGCTATATTGCACGATGGATACCTACGCAGTTCGGGCTGAGCGTAATTGAGACGATAGTAATTAAAAATTAATTAAAATTAAAAAAAAATTAAGAAAAAAAAATGAACAAAATCCAACGAAATTAAATTGATTTCAAATTATTTTATAATTCATTAGATTGCTCTGATATTATAATAGATAATACGAGCGATTTATTGAATTAATTTTTTACAAAAAAAATAAAAAAATAAAAATAGTCGAGAAAAATTATAACAATAGTATATACAAAGATATCAAAATAAGAGCGCTGCTTTTTCCAGATAATAACGAGAGAAAAATTAATTAAATTAATTTATTTTTATCCAAGAGGTAAATTTATGTAAAAATATAAATTATATTTTTGCGCAGAATATGAAGTAAAAAAAAATTTTTTAATTTACACTGAAATAATTCGCGTAAAAAAGGAAATTAGTGTAAGAAAAATTAATAGAATAACCTACTTACTGGAGCACAGCCCTTTATTTTTTGTTCATCATGAAATCCGAAGAAAAAAAATGGTGCAATAAAGACAAACATAAAAAATAATAAGATAAAATTAGTATTCTTTCATATAAAATAAATGCAGGCAACGGCATGCAAGCAGAATGCGTTTAGAAAGGGTTGTTATAGTAGGAAAAATAGGGACATTTGAGAAAGGATTGCACAAATTTAATTATTAGGGAAATATTAAAAAGGACAAGTGATTAACAAAAGGAATAAGGATAATTGATTTTTTGTTCACTTTCCTTATTGAAATTGCGTGACCCTTTTTCTATATGTATTAGATGAAACCGCTGCGGCACTCAACAAAAATCATACGATGGCCGTGTCCCGGTGCGGTGTTCACATCGATTGAGTTTTTCTACGTTTTGCCTGTCTCGTACACGCATTACGGTATGCCGCCCCAATCACAGAAGAAAAAATGTCACACCACGAATTCCGTTTTTTTTTTCTTTCTTTAATATAAACCTTTCATTGTTTCTTTTCTGTTTATTAATTATTATCGTTCCCTATGTCGCACCGCGATGCACACTAATCACAAAAACTTATTAATAACGATTTTTTTTGCGAAGTTAATAATTATAGTAATCTTATGAAAAACAAAAAAAAATTAATAAAATTAAACTGATAATAATTTATAAAGAGAAAGAGAGAGAGCAAAATAATTATATGTAATGCAAAAATAAATTATTTACATTATGCTATGAAATGTTAAGGAAGTCATATACAGATGAGAAGAAAAATAATAAACAGAAAGAAGAAAGATGATTAAGATAGAAATTAAGATAATCAGACTAGACATATTATTTTTTTTTAATAAACATAAGGATTAATTAATTAATAAATTGAAGCAATTAGGAAGAGCGAGAGAGCGCGATCCTTTTTCCTGTAAAGGATGTAAAAACACATTCAATATATAATATGCAAGCATTTTCAAAGAATCGTTTATCTGATGCACCACAAAATGCGTAGATGTTGAAGTACACCGTACGTGGGGCTCAAAAATTCTGGTTCCCACCTGCTCCTGGAAGTTGAAAAAACATCACTTCCCTTTTGAAAAAAACATTAGTAGTATAGCTTTATCACAAGAAAACAATGGTTATTATCATCACATCATGATTAATGTTATTATTATTATTGTTCTTAGTATTATTTTCACGCCGTTTAGTTGTTATTATATTGAATTATTATTATCATTATTATTGCTAGCAAAATGTTATTAATATTAAAAGATGCACAAAATAAAATAAGGTAAGGTATTCAGATCATTATGTATACACGCAATCGAAATACAGGGCTCATTGACGCGATCTACTCAGCCCCATCGGTGAATATTTTATAATAAAAAATGAAAAAAATGATAATGAAATATATTTTTCCGGCCGGTTAAAAAGAAAACTATCAGAGAGATTATCATATCGGTAAATTGGATTGACGGAAATAATAATAACGATATAAAAAGAAAAATAAAGATATCGTTAATTGACGATTGGATAAAAATTGGTTGGCTCGGTTGGATTGATAAGTTTGGATAATTCCAATCGATGCTCACAAATGAATACAGTCGAGCATTTATCTCATATAAAGTGGAAAATAGAGATAGAGAATGTGTGTTCATTTTAAAAAAATATATTAGCCCGAATTGGTCGATCGATTCAGGTACGTGAAGCATTTAAGGAATTCAGGCAGTAGCTAATTATTTACCATAGTGAACACATTGTGCATATCAATGGGAATTAAAAATCTATACAAGTGCCGTAAAAACGAAACTCATTTCGTTGCAAATATATGTTAGTGATATGAGAAATAATGAATATCGGTTTAAACGATATATATAATAATATATATATTAGTATACAAAGTCTTTCCCGATCAACAACATAATTGATTTGTGTTGTAAAACGTAAGTTAACGCAAATAGTTAAACGTCGGCAGATATATATATATATGGTGTACACTCAACTTTAAATATATCTACGCAATCTAGGCGATTCTGGAATGCGAAAGCGCAAAGTATGATACATTATAAAGATATATTACAAGCGTGTAATTAAGACAGAAATATACAAGCCAATTATGTTACAAATATTTACAATCCATATTTATATATGTCAAGCATCCGATTTTATACAAATTTTTTTCAACTTCATCTCTGTGCGATTGCTCTCTATTATACATCACCAGCGCTCACGAATTCCAGAGATCGACACTGTGAATATTACTAAGAAATTTTATTATGAGTTTAACACACAGAAAGAAAAAATACTTACGTCTAGTGCCTTTTTTAATACAATCCAACCAGATTCTGACTGGATTTCAAAATACTCCAAATCTTGTCCATTATTTGGTGACGACAGAGAATAAACTATTGCACCGTTGTTATCAGCGTCTTCATCAGATGCTGATACTCTCAAAATATTAGTACCTATGCTGGCATCTTGCTTTACATTCTCGACGTATTTCTATAAATAATAATTTTTATTATTGTTTATTCTTTAACAGTATTCTTGAAAAATATTAATTAAATTCATTTTAACTAATTTTCTTTGATCATATTTACAGAAGGCAAGAATAAATCCTCTGTAAAAAAAATTAATCTATTATTCAAAATTTCATCTCATAATTTTCCTTTGTGAAAAATTTTCAAGGTAATAACACCCATACTGCAGCTCATTAATAAAAGAAACATTTTTGTCTTTTATTAATAATTCTTGAGTTTTTTCTCAAAGCAATTATTCAGAGTAATTTAAAATTGAAATCTTAAATTGTATCATTTCATACCTGTCGGTCAAAAAGAGGCGGATTATCATTAACATCTGTTATCTCAACTGTAAAGGAGCACACGCCTTCCAAAGAGGGTTCACCCTGATCCGTTGCTTTAACAGTTACTGATACGAATTTTCCATCATCACCTTCACGATCAAATACCTGAAGAAGATAATTGTATGAATGAATAACTCTAGAAACATTTAAGCTCATTAAGTGAAATAGAAAAACTCTTTTCCATCGTTTCTTTTAAGTTAGAATCAATAAACGTAATCATATTATTTCTAGTACTCAATAATTTAATTTAAATGAAACTAATTAATTTCAAAATACCAGTGAAATGAACAAAACTTCAATTGAAAAATACTGATTATCCCAGTTCATTAAAGGATTCGAACACTTGTTGACAAGTGCCTGAAATTTGATTGCTTACTTTGTTCGTAGAGACTTGACCAGTTTCTTCATCAACAGTAAACTTATTGGCCTTTTGATTGGGTTGTTGAACTATGGAATACTTGACTTGACCATTAACTCCTTTATCTTCATCAGTCGCTTGAACTTTAATTACTGGACTACCATTTGGCGCACCTTCTTCAACTTTCGGTGAATAACTGCCACAATCCTTAAAAACTGGTTTATTATCGTTGACATCGGTGATAAATACAACGACAACAGCTGTACTTGTGTGAATGTTATTCTTTCCATCAGGACAACAAGCTCCATCATCCATTGCAGTAACATTAAGTTCGTATTTGTCACGTTCAAGAGAAATTTTATCGCCTTGCAGACGAATAACGCCGGTTATCTCCTCGATGACGAACTGCCCGGATGAGGTGGTGCCTCCAACAAAACCGAAGCGTACGTTATCACCGTCTTTATCTGACGCGACAACGGTCGTCACCAAGGTGTTAGGCCCGGCGTTCTCGTCCACATTTGGCGTGTATACTTGTTGTGAAAACTTTGGCTCTTCATCGTTCTTATTTTTTGTATAAATTCTTACAGTAGCTGTACCAGCTTTTGATGGAACACCTGAAATAAATAACAAATAAGTATTTCCTCACATCAAGATTCTCATTTATATATTCTAAATTAGAATCATACTGTCTCTAACTGATGAAAAATTATCACATGATATTTCAATTTTGAGTGATTGTTATTAATTTGAGTTACAAGAAAAATTTTTAATTATTAAGAATTATCAATAAATCACGTCACACTATTCTAAATCAATTTCAAATATTCCCATGCTTCTATTTTATATTCAGGTTTTTCCTCTTTTTAAAAAACATGACGTAATTTATAGGTAACTCATTAGTGAGATATCATATACATCCAAAGAAAATGTTTTTCCTATAGAAATATCGTATTAATCATAAGTTTTAATTAATTAAAATTATAAATGATGAAATGACAAATAAGTGCTTATTATGGTTAGTTAGTAGAATCTCTCACATCAACCTACCCTTATCTTTAGCCTCAACAACAAATTCATAATAAGCATTGTTATTATCTGCATCTAATTGTTTATTATTAACAATAAGACCACTGGAATCCACGCTAAAATGATCGTCTGATACATGATATTCAATGTCTGCATTTGCTCCGGAATCTGCATCTGTGGCTTTTACTTTGAGAATACTAGTACCAAGTGGAATGTCTTCATCGACATTATGAGCTTGATAGTCAGGTAGTTCAAACTTTGGTGCATTATCATTGACATCTGTTACTCTAATTGTCAGCTACAAAGTAAATATTTTGTTTAGAAGATTAACTATAAGATATTTATTTTTATAACAACAAGATTTCATCTCATTGAAATTACTACGGATTTATTTATTATTGAAATTACCTCGACAGAAGTTGAAAACCCGCCAGAATCTTCAGTCGCCGTAACAACAAGCGTGTAAACATGAGGCTGTCTGACATCTTCAAAATCTAATTCTTTAGCAAGCTTAACAATTCCTGATGTTGGGCCAATATTAAAGGTACCAGCGGCTCCTTGACTTTGGGCTTTCAATGTATACCGGATTTCACGATCAGCAAAAGATTTGGCTTTTACAGATATGATGCTGAAAACATATCATTTTTGTTGATATCTATACTTAATATACTTTGTTTAGCTTACGCAAATTTCATTCGCATTAGCCTGGTTTTATTTAATCAAGTATGTTCTTTGCTAATTTATTATTCATTATGAGAAGAAAAAACAAGTAAAAGCTAAGTATAAAGTATCATCATCATTCTCCTCTCTCCAAATTTAAAGACCTATTTACTCGACCTTTGTTTCAGATTGCTCTAAAAAAAATACAAAATATTGAAACACAAGAACTTACTCTGTATCTTTTTTCTGGTTTTCTGGAATTTCAGTTTCATAGTTTGTGAGGTAGAATTGTGGCGCTCTTTTTCCACCAACAATTGATAGTCGCTCTTCAGGAGTAGATTGATAGTGTTTTTCATCAATTCGACCATTTTGATCTTCAGCTTTTACATACAGTACGTACTCCATGTCTAATTGAAAAACATCTGCTCCCCTGGTACGCACAACACCTGAACGTTCGTCGACCTCAAACCGGCCACCAGCTGTTCAAATAAAAATAAATTTAGTGTTATATATTAAAAATATTTTTTTTAATGAAAACAAATGGATTTTTAACAATACATACTTCGATCTCGTACAATGAAGTAATGGATATTATGATCAGTATCAGGATCTCGGGCTTGAAGAGTAAATACATGAGTATTAGGGGGCGCATTTAGTTGCACCACTGCTTGCATAGGAAGAGGTTTATTAATAAAATATGGTGGCTCATCATTGACATCCTTAAGATTTATTATTACACGCTGATTGTCCGTATCTGTAATAACAAACATTATTAGTAATATCGAAATGTTAAGTAATAAAATCATGCAGTAAAATTATCAACACTAAAATCTGCGTTAAAAGTTATGACGATTGGCATTAAAATGGAAATTTTATCTGAATACTTAATTTAATTACTTGCAATAATCATATGCGGATTTTAGTGTTATAGGGTAAATATTCAGCACAAAATGAGAGTTGAACTTACATTGGAGTTCTGGAAGCCAGTGATGTTGGAAAAGAATGAAAAGTTTGCATTAGTAATTGTGATAGATGGTGAAATTTTTAAATGAAAATACATTTAACAATAGATAACTGTGCAATTTTAATTAATACATTCAAATAGCCCATAACCTACAGTATCAATTAAAAGTTTCATTAACCAAAACCATTTTAGACAGAAAGTTGAATAATTAGTTAATCAATAAAATTAAAAACTAACCATCATAATAATTGATTGTTTTAAATTTAACTCTAATTACGGAATTAATAAATAATCAAGTGTAGAAATAAAAGTTTTTTAAAATAACAATTAATTTATTAAATAGTTTTTATATTTATTACTTAGTTGATAAAAGATGGCTATTAACGTTTAAAATGTTCTTGAAAAAACGGTACTTACTTGCATTATTGATAGTCACCCAAAAATCAATAGTTTTTTCAAGACCAAGCGCCTCATAATCCCATTTTTCTTTTACTTTAACAGCTCCATTTTCCTCAACAGTAACCCATCTGTTTTCATCCCTAATCTTGTAGGTCTCTTTTTCCGTTTCTTTCTCCAAAGAAAATACCGTTTTACCTTTAACATCACCTTCAGACTCCCAAAATTCAACTTTTTTAGTTGGTCTAACCGCTCTGGTAACTCTTCTTTTCTGAATGTGATGAACTTGCGGCACTTCTTCTTCCATATCCAGGTCATTTTCCTCTACCATTTCATAAAAATCTGTCGTAAGGAATCTGACAACGACTCTGGCAGGTCTCAACGTTCCTTTACTTGGTGTCCGAATGTCATGTGCTTCAATCATGACCTCAACCTCACTGTCTTTATCAATGGTAGCCTCCGGCTCATCAACTAGAACAAGTTCTCCAGTTTGTGGAATAATAATAAGTAAGTTCGTGGGTGTAATCAGTTTGTAAGCAACTTTATCACCGTCAGCATCCTTCGCAGATACTTTTCCAACTGTTTCAAACCTTCGCCATTTAGGAACTCCATCTTTCTCTAATGTCTTAATGTTTGTAGGTCTTACTTCAAAGATATACTCTTCTTTATCGAACAATGGACTGTTATCATTTTCATCTATGATGGTAACGACTCCATTAATTTTCGCTGTACTGATAAAAGATCCATCATAGGCATTAATATTAACTTTATACGTGTGTTTTAGCTCTCTATCTATCGTTTTAGCTGTTACAACTTGAACTTTTTGATTGGGATCTTTTAGTGTGAGGTTGTATCCAATGGTAGCACCAGTTGTTTCCATAAGAGCAAAAGCATAATCATCTGATTGTATGACATAATGCACAGGAAAATTACCATCTGCATGAAGAAGTGGGAAACCATCCACTACTGTACCCGGCTGTGAATTTTCCCTTACTTTACCATGCCCGAGCTCTTCAGTAGAAAATGTTAGCATATTGCCACGATTTATTACAAAAATATGAACATCATGAGTTTGAGTTCCATTTAGTAAATGTTCCAAGACGATTAAGTTTACAGATCGATTGACTAAAGGGGTTAAATCTGACGTGGTTATCATCATTCCATCTTCCAAAACTGTAAAATACTTGGAGTAGCCCGTCTCAAGAAGACGGTAGTTCGATGCATGTCTTTTAGAACCTTGAAAGTGCATAACTTGGAATCCTGGATAAACATCGTGAGGCAAAACGGCAACTTTAGCGTTTACCGTGGCACTTATTACCAGCAAAATTGCCCCAACGATTAGACTCCACATTGTGCGGCTGAAACCTCTCAACCACCGTTCAAAAAAGCTTTTACTAGAGCATGAGTGTGTCCAGCCTCTCCTGAAACATACAAACAAATTAAATTAATAAAATTTAATTAACTAAATTATGCTTTGTGTACATTTATAGAAAGTTATCTTTTTTATGTAAAAATTTTTTTGTCACTAGAAAATTTTACCCAATAATTCATTCTATTGTTCCCAGAAATAAATAACCCTATAAATAAATCAGAGTTAAAGTTTTCAGAAGCATAAAAATTGTTACGAAGAGATCATCATACCCCAGGGGGTCATCATGCGCCGGTTTCTTTTACCAACTTCCCAGAAAAATAGGTAATGTGTTTGGTAAGATTTCAAGTTATTTTTTAAAGTAACAAGTTCTATGCAAGGACATTTCTGTGTACCAATAATCGTAAATTTTTCAATTTTAAAATGAACCTTTTAAACAATCCGGTTCCATAAATTGTCTTTGTCATTGAATGAAAATTTCAATTCCAATGACCCAATATTACTTAACACACACCAAAATTTCATTCAGCATCCTCGAATCTATCCAATAAAATTTCAGAATTTAATTCAAATAAACAGTTTCATTGAATCAACTAAATAATTATTCTGTCACTGAAATTGAATATTTTTTATCATTATCAATATGATAACTTTAATAATTATGCATTCAAACAATTTTCATGTCCATTGACAACAAAAGTTTACTAATAAGTATACATTGTGACAATGTTCTGCATTATTGTTAACGGAAGTTAAAAAAAAGCAGCATATGAATTCACCATTGTTATTTAGTAACCCTCCAGTCTATTTCGTTTCATTCTCGCTTTACTTTACACCGGATATGAGATCACCCGCAGCTCGTTTAATCCAACGAAACAACTCTTTGGGCTCCTCCTTCTTCTCTTTCTCTTCCTCTTCTCATTTGAAGAGAGAAGAAATGTACCAGTCGAAAAAATAAGAAATAAAAGAGGAGCAAACGCGAGAAGTAAGATAATAATCGTCATAATTGAACTAATGTATACCTACTTATGATTCGATTGGAGCAGAAATAAAAAACATCATATTTTTCTCTTCCTTTTCCCTGTCACTTCTCATGTGCTAATAACTATAATAGGACAGATGCTGGGAGTTAAGAATTACAGATCTCGAGAAACTTGACACCTCATTCTCCTTTATTTCATCGTTCTCCGCTATAAAAATGTTCAATATCTCATTTCTTATTCTCACTCATCTGGCATATGTAATTCTTTCAGGAAAAATGATACATTCGTTTATTCTTTTAATGAATTATTTTAATTATTGTACTTTATTTATTTATTGCTATTAAAATGCTTATTCTCATAAATTCTCGTAGAAAATAATATTTAATAGGATGTAATACAGTTGTACAGTTGTAATTACTATAGTAATTATACTTTCTCACATAACGTTAAATAGCTATTTCCTACCGTGCTCCTAATTACCAACTTCTAGGTTTTTCGTCCAAAAACTATTGTAAAATAATTCATTTAAATGCTTTAATAAATAAGGCCATATTTGTTTTAATTGGAATTCTTTTAGAACCATAATTCATTGATAATTACGGTGCTCACGAAAATGGTGGCAGTTAATGTAAATCAAGTCCCAATAAATAATTTATTGAATCTAGTAAAGTAAGTAGTTCACTATATTTAAAAGAGAGATAGGTTTGTTGTTAATAAATCTTCTCAGCTGCTATAAAACCCTTTTCTCGGTGTAGAGATTCTAGGGGCTCCGCCCTCAATTCACAAAAAAAAAATAGACAATACATTTTTTAAGATTGGTTTGAGAAAAATCTGAATAAAATAATTCTACCTTGAAAATATCGTCGTGTTTCATCATCTGGTAGACATGAAAATTGATTTAACATTTTAATTCGGTTTGCTTTTAAAATGCAATGTGAATAGAAATAATATTCCGAGCAAATAGTTTTACTACGAATGAAAATTTTAGTGATGAGATTTTTGTGACGAGAAAATTTAGTAACTATCTCTCAGTCTATGTATTGTATGTTTTTAAACTTTTGATTTTAATGGTTTCAAAAAAAATATTAACAAATATATTTCTGTAGAAAAAATTTTAATGAATATTTGTGTTTTATATTATTTTTATGTTTCTAAACCGCAAAAATTAAATTATAGCATGATATTTTATTAAATAAAATAAAATATTATTAAATATACATAATATTTTATTGAATAAATAATTAAAATATATTTTCTTTTATTTATTAATATAATAATGAATATAAAATATTATTTCAAACTATTGAAATAAATTGTGATATACAATAACTATAAATAGACTTATAGCAGAATAAAATAAAACTTTTTAATAAATTTGATGAAATTTTTCTCAACTAGACCATAATTAATGCGGTTTATAGTTTATTGAATAATTAAATTTCACGGTTAATCATGAATTAACGAATCGTGTAAATGAACTCGACATTTTGAACTTGGTAGACTTAAATCCCCTCTATTACCGCAACTTCAAATAATGATATTAGTGCGAATATTATTTTATAAAGTGAGATAAAAATGAATATTGAATGAGAAAAAAGCTTATGCAAGTTGATATAATTTATCCACTTTGATAAATAAAATTGTTCGTAGTCATCTTGGATTGATGATTCATCTGACAGTTAAACAGATGGTGAAAAAAGAGAAAGGATGTAAACAGATGTGGGAACTGAAGCCCTGGAACGAGATTGTTTACTATGTTCATACATATATTTTATTTTTTTACTTTGATCAAAAATATAGTAACCTTATTATTCACATTAATTCAATGATTTATAAAAAATTGTAAAAAAAATCTTCAATAAAATTTTATTTTTATCTCTCCATTAAAAATGTAACAACTTTATTGCATTTTACTTTTCAATAAAAAAAAGAAAATTCACTGGAAGTATTTTTAAAAAATTCTATGATAATTCTATTTTTATTGATGTTATTTGTTAACGTAATCTCAGCCAACGGATTCGAAGATCTGAGTTTTCTTCAAAGAAAAAAGTAAAAATAAAATGTCCGGAGACATCGAAAACTCGTTTCAATTTAGAGGACAGAAAAAAGAAAATAATTGCAATTGTATACAAAAAGAAACAACAAAAAACATTGTGTTTTTGTCTAACTGTGACAGCAAAAAAGATTGTTGTAACAAACTAAATTTATATAGGAAAAAAAAAAAATTAATGAAATTCTTTTTAAATCACTAACAATCTACAGTAACAATCCAATTATAAAAATCAAAAATAAAATCGTTATTGCAAGTCTCTTATTGTTGCAGCTACGCGTTCGTTTATTGCTGAAGCAGATTTTCTTCCCATCGTAGCAGACTATAAAATTCTTTTCACCTAATAACGTGGTAGAAATAGAAAAAATCAAATATAATAATCTCTAGTTACATTGGATTGCCATAATTGGATAAATAAAAAAGTAATTAGTTTATTACGAATTTATTATTGAGCATTAAATCTGTAAAATTGATGTGAGTGAATTATAAACAAGATTTCTATCTATGAAAGATGGTAAATAAGTTAAATTAATAATTTAATTATGTAGACTTATTTTATTTTCTCTATAAAAATAAGAAGAATGCAATAAATTTCATATCACTCAGGTAAAATCGATTGGTAATAAAGATGGCGTATTTCTACTTTTCGTATTAGTTCCTTATCTTAAGGGATGTTCTCGAATCATCAAAGCGCAAGCTCAGATGACGCGCGATAAGAGACAACGAGTTTTTTTTTTCTTAAACTCAAGAAAGCTTATGTGAGGTGAAAGGTCGATAAAATATAGAAGCATACAAAGTAACAGTAAAGATATGAAAATAGAATTGATTCGAATTTTATGAATTTAATATTGAAATATTTATTCCTATGGTATTTTATTTTTGCAAGGAATACACCTAAGTTCTTGTAGAAGTTGAACGCTCTTAGTGTTCTAGTATTACAGAATTTTCCGATAATTTTTATCGTTGACCGACGTTTACACGTAGGTAGACATTTGACTCGACCATGCGAACAAAATTGTCTGGATATCGGATAAAAATCAGATTTTATTCCTTCAACTTCATGCACATGCCATTCTACTTGAGTAATTCATCAGATATGATGAAAAAAAAACACATACTCTATGATAAACCATAAAAAAGTAAATTATGTTTACTAAATATTTTTAATGAACTGATCTAAAAACTGATAGGAAACGAAAAGTTTTCTAATGCTCTAGTATTTGTAATGAAAATAATTCACAACACTAGCAAAGGCTTAACATAATAAATTACGGTTTATTTTCCAGTAGTTACTTTTATGACATCGATATAAATATTTAAACAAGAACTTCCACACCAGGAAGTGATTAAAAAGAAATAACTAATGAAAAATGAATAAAGCATTGAAGTTATTCATCAAAATTCAGTAAAGCTATGGAAGAATAAATAATTTGTTTAAAAAATATTAGAATATATTATTGAATAGAGTTATAATTCTTACTAACGACTATAAAATATGTCTGAGAAGTAAAGAATTAAGATGAAAAAATAAAATGCTGGTTTAATTACGAAAATGATTATTAGAATACATTATTTACACTTGAACTCCGTCTAAGGGTGAATAAAATCAAAAAACCTGCAATGCGCACGCGCCCTTTGTAGTCTCAATCTATATGTACCTTTTATATTTTACCACGATGATTTTACGCGCGTCGGCGCGTCCTTTCCCAACAAAAAATATTTCGGATAGATGCCAAAGTTTTGTAGGAAAAGGAAAAATAGAAGAATAAAAATCTGTAATATAAGTTTTGAGGTTGAAGACATTTAAGGACATTGGCTCTCGAGTCTTTTAGTCCAAGAGGCCTTGGAGGGTGCTGTGAACCCCTACGGAGACGTCGTACACGCCAAGTAAGTTCTATTCTTTTCGCGTTGGGGGCATAAAAATGGGCTGAGGGGTGAAGAGAAAAGGATCACGACTACGGAAAAGAGAAAAGGAAAGGTAGAGTACGCTACTTTTAGATTGATTGAGAGAAAAGCTAGAAGGAGACGCTTGTGGTAGTAGCAGTGGTGCGACGAGGGAGGATTGTCAAAAATCGATAGGGGCTGCATGTACCCACAACGATACTTGTACCACCACGACATTACTACTACTAACTCTGAATTATTTTTTACTACGATTAAAGTCACTTTTTGATAGCACATGAATTTATGTTTAATCCAAACAATTTAGAATAAAATATAAATTTTTATCATCATTAAAAATTGATTTATTTTTATCAGAAAAATTGAAATTTAAAATAACAATTTGGAAAAATACACAATTACTTTTGCAAAAATATTTCTTTTGATCCAACTGAGTGGAATGACAACACAAAGCCTCTAAAGAGGGTACTTTCTATCAAAGAGTGTAAATTACAACTTAGTAAAATGTATTAATGTGTATTTCTGGTAGATTATAATATATCTCCTCTGGCTACTTCATCTCATAACATAATGAATTATTTAGTAGAGTATGGAAATTTAATTAAGTTTTTAAATAACAAATAATTACATACAGCAAAAATGAATTTTTAATTATCGTGAAAGTAAAAAATTATCCAAAAAAGAATATTCATTATAAACTAATTATTATTATTGACGATTTTTTTGAAAAAGTGTTATTATAAAAGCCTGATGTTGAAATAATTTACGTTTTTCAATGCTAGACTAAATGAAACATTTCAATCAATTGTTTATGAGGTTTCAAACATTTAAGCTGAATATATTTACAATTTCTACACTTATGTATACGCTCTCTTGGAAGATAAACCGCAATAGATGCATGAAAAGATGTAGACGATTGCATTTGAAGATTAAAAGGCTCCTGAGAAGGAAGCAAGAGTGAAGTAAATGAAAAATATATTGTACTGTGATGGGGAGTAGAGAATATATGTAGTGTAGTTTTGAGGAGGGCAGAGTACTATATAAGTACACAAAAAGTATGTATGTATACTATATGAGGAATGAGATCTTGCAATTGTGCAGTACAGTTTATATACTCATTGAAGAGAGGACACCGATAGGGTTCTGAGGCCTTTCAAAAAGAAGCCTCAAAAAGCGATGGGTTTTTTTACACTCTCTGCTTCATTGCCACCATATGACTACCCAAGTAGTGTATAGATGTTTACTAAATATATGAAGACATTTTTATTTATTCTTAGTTCATTCATTATGTCAAAACATTAATTTTTCAATATTAAACTGCACCCTCATGACACATTACATCATATATATATGTATATACAGTACAGTGAAGAGCAACCTATTAAAATATTTTTTTCTCTCATTTTTCATTATTAAAAATGAAACTTTAACACTTCCCCTGCACACTTCCGGAGTAAATCATGGAGGGGTTTTAGGGGCCACAAGTAATTTTCAAACCAGTATATGACGGAAACTACAGACTTTTTTAAAAAGTATACATACACTAAAAAAAAACTCCATTCCTTTTTATTCAATTCCCTGTAAACTAGAAAATCAAAATTAAAAACTTTTTATTTTTCATAGAAAAAATGAAATTTAACTTGGTTAAATTAAAAATACCTAGTGTTTGGTTAAAATAAAAACTGAGCATTTATATTTTTTCATATTTTTCAAAAATATCTAGTCTGAATATTTATTTAACATATAAATATTCAGTAAACTGCAGAAAAATGCATCCTTTATAAAAGGTAATATATAGTTGTTTTTTTGTGTGAAGCATTTACACAGAAATGCTGAAAGTTAATTATGGAATTATTTGGTAGAACAAATATTCAACTTAAAAGACAAATTTTGAATTCTCTAAATGCTGAGTTCAAGGTGAGTATGACACAGTTAATTTATGATCAAAAATAAGCTTTATTACCAAGATTTGTTCTATTAACACCAGGTAAATTTTGTGAGGTCTTTATGTATGTAACAATAAAACTTCTTGATGAATACGTGAACTATTTTTGTGAGAAAAATCTATTTTTCTATACGAAAAAGAAATCAAGTTACTATTGTTAATTTTATATAATTGTATCAACTTATATATAGCAACTGTTCCTGCTCGCTCGTGCTATGCCTTTTGTATCTGACACATAGGGCCTTTTCTCTCTTCTAATACTTGATACTTCCCCTCGCACTTCATTGCTATTGATGTAAAACACCCGAGACAGAATCTTTTTTTCCCTTGTGAAAGTTTGGTCCCTACCCCCTCGAGTTAATACTGCTGCTGTGCAGACGAACTCTAATTAGCATGATGTGTGACAATCTTGTATTTTATTCTTTTATTTGCACATACGACTAAATGTCTCTATATTTTTATTTCTTCACTGGAAAATTGTCTAAAATTTAAGTGAATATTGAAATAAACAGTTGAATTCAACTTTGATATTTAATTCGTATGAGATCTATTGTAAAGTACAGTTGAATTCATGGGGGGAAAAACATAATTGAAACAGTTTGAAAAATTTCTACTAAGCTGAATCATGATGACTACGTTCATTTTTGTTGGTATCCCAAATAAATTCAATAGAAAAGTTTGTGCGAAATCAGTCCTTCTTCTCAACACATCGGGAGATACAAACTTTTGAACGGTTATGAGAGAAAAAAAAAATAGTTTCTAAATTTAATAAAAAAATATCAGTAGCCACGTCATAAAAAAACTTTTAGATAACTTTTTTAACTTTTACGTGAAAAAATGTCACATTTAGTACTTAATTCTATGTTAATAGAAACATGTCATACTCTAGAAAAGCTGACAAACACGTACAAAAATTTTGTTTCATGTTTAAAAAAAAGAAAAAACCTGAAATTAAATTACCCTTCCAAAACATAATATTTGTCAGACAATTTTACCATTAATAAATAATATAAAAACGCAGTGTTTGTCTTGGCTATTTGTGTAAAAATTGCAAGAAGTAAAGAAAGTTTTTCTTCACCACCCTTTTTACTATTTTTACTGAAACATGGGAATATGGTTTAATGCTTCGGTAAAATATTGACAAACTCATAAACAAAACTGACATTTCACTTAACACCAATCGATGTATTCTATCATACAAGAAAACGTAAAAGCATGTAGTTGAAAATAAATAAATATGAAATGGAAAGAATTTATAATCCTCCAAAGAATAAAAAAGAAAATGTAGAGGTCATACAGTAAATGTGAAATATAACGAGTACCTTACACTACACATATTTTACTTCCATAAAAAAACACTCCCTGGTTATCCACTAGAATCTGAAGATATTCTACTACTTTTTGTACGATTTTCTTTAGCTTATAAAGTAAATTTCTCAAAAAAAATTCTATTTACCTGTATCTCTTAAATATGAAAGAAATTGTGTTAAAAAAGAATTGATTTTCCATGAGACAACTATTAATAACTTAACCTTTATCAAGAATCAATGGTATTGAATCGAAGGCATCTGATTGATGAAAGAAGGCATGATCTCTAGTGAGAGGTTTGTTGATATTGTCTGAAACATTGAACATACAATTGGCACCTAATATATCAAAAATGAATTATTTTTATTACGTACAATTGAAAGAATGACAATGATTTGACCATTTTCTTTCATTTCCGCCATTGGACCAGATGCTTTGACTTTTCCAACGACATTATTGTCCCTACGATGCGACACCTGGATGATTGTGACGTCATTCCGTAACACCACCAGAAAATTGTAACACAAGTAGTGCGCGCGCGTACATTCACCGGCGCCGTCGCAGGGGTTGTACACGCGACCCCATACGGCCTAGCCACCACCTATCTGATCAACGTACCTGCCGTTTTTAAGGATATTCACCTCAATCAGCATACGTGTTACCCTCATTACAATAAAGAATTCACGAAAATATTCCTATATGTCCTGTTTCATTTTTTTTTGTCTTTCCATTTTGCACCATGTAGAAAGATACCAACCGAATGTAATCTTACGTTTTACGATGTTCACGCGCAGATCGTGAGCTAAAATAGAGCATGGAGCTTTCTTGGAATGTCTAGCCTCTTGTAAAAATCAATTCTTATGAACATAACCTTTTGTATAATTCAGATAGATTATTTCTTTAATAATTAAAGCACTTTTTAAAATTTCATACACGCTTGTTATTGAATAAATAATAAAATGAGGAAAAAAATGAAGAAAGCTTACCTTTTATCATTCAACAGTCAACGTTCTTTGCAAGCTCGGAGTTGTATCCACTTTTTTATCCAAAGTTTAGAATTTTTATTGAAACATTCCACTGCTACTAATAATGTTAAGTATAATTTTTGGTTTTCATGTGCACGATTAATTAAAAAATTTTAATAATTAAAATGATATTAAATTCATAATAATAAATAGTAAAAACACTGAAAAATTGATAATAATATTTCGGACGGTCAATACAATTATTGAAAATGTGTAAAAATTGAATTCACTTGCTGAGCTTTTTCGCGCGAGATAAAATGGATGCGCTGCAAATATTAGAACTCAAAATAGTAAAGTTGTCGCGGCTATGGGGCGCGGACCACTACCTAAACAAGCCGCCTGGATCGTTGGATAAGACTCGAAGGCTATTCCGTTCAACGTACAAACTCCCTACCCATAGTCAACTCTCCCTCTCCATCCTTAAACCCCCACTACGAGCGTATTCCTCCTTCACGCTGGAGTAATATATAGAAACAGTAGCGCCGTTAGTACTCCAAGTTTACGCAATCACGCAACATGGCACATACAACATCATTTGTAACCCTTATTAACCTTATGAACATGAAAACATAATATTCAAAGATATGATAATCTGTTGGCATAATGCCTAATATAATCATCATAATGACACAATGATACATCTCTGCTTTTGAAAAGCTAGGGTACCTGGCCATACCTGAAGTCTTTGAAACTAAATGACTGGAAAATGATCGAGGTAGGTTATAAATTTCTTGACTGTTTACATTTGTATATTTTTGAATAATCAACTCAATTATGAGATACAAATAAAATCATACCCTTTGTTAAAAAATGATTTGAATCTACAATCTAATTTGTGAAATCAACTTTATTGGGTTTTAACAACTGAATTGTTATGCAGAACTGATAGCTGCAAATAACTTTTAAATGAATTATTTGAATTGTTGTTAGAAATTTTAAATCAAAAATTTTAATGACAAGATATTGCTCAAAGTATTATCTGTTCTAGATATTTATGGAGTATATTATTGACAATCTTCGATGTAAAATTAGAAAAGCTCGTCAAAAATGTTTTTAGCATTTTTTTATAAATATTACTCATTAATAAGTGATCTTATCCGGTACATAGGAAGAATATATCTATATATAGAATTTATATTATAGACCCGACTCAGATGTTATAAAACTGACGTCCCCTGTCAACTACACCTTCTGCACCTGCTCAGGGTAGACGCCCAGTAGCTGACCAAATAAGACAGATTTCCTTCTTCGAGACATTCTTCTCCAATTTCTAATATTCCAAATTTATCATATTTTTTTTTTTTTTAAGAACTCGAAATGTACGTGTAATCCAAATGTAACAGGACATTTCATTGGAGTTTTTATTTTTTATCAAGTTCTTAAAGCCAAGAAACTAAGTGAACCTTTGTGGTTTACCAAAACGTGCCAATAAATGAAAAAAGCTCAAAAACTCGTAAGTCGATAGCTAAGTCATGCCACTATATGCATTTGCAGTCAATGATAGCTGAGCTATCCAGATGTGCCTATTATTAGCGCAAACATTCGATACTGATCAACTACAGGTGCATGGTCAACTATTAGGGCGTCCACTTTAGTTGACGTTTTATGTCGTTTTCTTTGTTCCGTGTTTAGCACGTGCGAGAACGCACTATAACACACGGCAGACTACACACCATATCCTAATTGCTGCGGAAACATGTAGTTTGTATGTAAAGTACATCATTTATTCATGACTAATTGTTCATAGATATTGACGCAAATTATATGAATAATAGAGAAAATTATCCACTTAGGAATATACAATTAATCCTAAATAAATCAACTGATCAAATTTTTAAGAAGGCTTTTAGGGTCTGATGTGCAGATATTTTTAGACGTTGTCTGAAACCACTCTGCAAACTTGAAAGCAAGAAACTTGATGGAAAATTTTCCGACAGTCAAACCAAAGAGTATAATTCCTTTGTTTATTTTTTAATAAATAATGAATTGAAATATTTTTATATATCCGTTGTTTTTAACAACTTCAGTGAATATTGTTAGTATGTACTCTATTTCCCGCAAAGCAACACACCGTAGAGACACTATTGTTTTACTTCCGGCATGGGATCAAATATAACTTGTGCATATATGTACATGACTCGAACGAATCATATAATTTCTGACCGTCGATAGGAAGTTCAACTTACTCTGAAATTTATAGAATTTCAATCGATTTATTTCATTCGTGATGTACTTTAGTTCCTTTAATCTTGTGTAATCTCGATAAACTAAATATTTGACAAAAAATAAAAAATTTTTTTTTTATAATCCCCCAGATAACATTATGAAATGTTTTGACGCATATTATTGATATTTTATTCTATGAAATGGAAAGAAAAAAAAAACTTCACTTGTGTTTAGTTAAACAATTTTTTAAAAAAACATGAAAAATTTCCATTCATATCACTGTTGAGAAAAAGCGTTAGTGCGAGATATTCAAAACAGTTCAGTATGCATTCACATCAACTCGAACAGCAACGCGGATAAATGAGATGAGATCGTTCAGAATGAAAAATATGGTCAACTCAGATATGAGAATGTTCATTTAGTATCTATATTTGATTGTTTCGCATCGCAGTGAATCATTATGAGTTTAAATAGTGTATATTGATTATAAAACATGAAAAAGAAAACGTATACATACTAGATTAATTGAAATGATAGTAATCTTGTTCTCAATCTGTAGATTTTCTTTTTTTTCACTAGAATCCTGGTTAAAATTGCTAATTTTGATCAGTGTAAAAAAAAAATATAAAAAAGTAGGAAAAAATTATATTCTTGATGATAGCTCAGAAGAATAGAGTCATGATGTAGGTATGTGTTACGATTAAAACTTTCATGCAAATTTATTCATTTCGTTGAAAAGAATTGTTCTAATTTCCAGTAGTTTTCTAGCAAAAAATAATGCAGATTTTACAATCAAATAAAACTTACATACGTTCTACATGAGATGAAAAAAATTTTTTATTTTTCTTTAAGATTATTTTCAAGAATGAAACAAAATAAATAAGAAGACATTTTTATTTATTTTGTTTTATTCTTACATGTAAACTAATTTTTGTTGATATATACATCTTCTTCGATTTGGATATTAGCATGTTTATAATAATTAATAAATTGAATAGTATAATGGGTGATTAATATGAAAATAATATCAATAAACAATGTAAGATTATTTTATTTAATATAAATTTTAATCAAAATATTTGTATATGATTTATAACAATGATAAAAAATTTGCTTTAAAATGTAGATTAGATTTTTTTATCACAAAATATCAATAAGGTATTTCTACACCTTCGATGGAATTTTTATGTAAATTTTGAGTCTTGCTATGATGTCGAAAACAAAAGTCTCGAATTCTTTCAAAAGCTTCTTTCTGCATTTCAACGGGAACAGTTATAACCAGTCTCATGTAAGAAGGTAAATCGAAACACTAGGAAAAGAGCAAAGAGTAGATTAATTATTCGTAAATTTTTTTTATGTCTGATCTTGCTGTAGCTTAAATTAACTAACCCCTCCTGGGAGACAGAACACAGACTCCTCCATCAGAAGACGCTCCACAAAATCGATTTCTGTGTTAAACTCGGGAAACGAGTCCATGTCAATGTGTACCTATAATTATAACTTTTTATTCAATAATTTATGCTAATAATTAATAAATCAGTACTTTACCATCATGTACATAGCACCATCAGGCATAATTGGTTTCAATCCGGGAATATCTTTAATAAAGTTGTATGATATTTGTGCGTGATGCTGGAAATTATTGGAGAAAAAAAACAAAATCAATATAATGATACCGTACACTAATTTATATTTATTAAAAATCAGTATCTTATTTGACTGACATATTAACTTCATAATATTTAAAGGTCTACATATTTTTCTAATTTTTTAACAGTTTCCTTTCGAACAACTTATTAGGCTCCTATGAATATGAAAAAAAGGGAGTAAAGGGTTACTATTTATGTTTAACTTGAAAGACATGCAATGTTATATGGCACATGTGTTCCAAAATCTAGAGAAGCTATATCTGTATCGTTCTTTATGTTCCTCGAATGTTTTTATCTGAGCAGATTTTTTTTTAGTTACCTCTAAGAAAAGGAAATGCTTTGTTACTTTTAGTATTAACCAAAAAATTAATTAACAAATTAAGATGCAATAAAGAATCAGTCGATTTTTTAATTATTGATAATTACAGAACAATTAAAAAAGTTTTTAAATCAATGGTTTCTAAACAGCTGAATAATTATTGTATTGGCGATTGAACAATAAAAAGAATTGAAGAACTTGGAATTCAAAGTTTTTCAATTATTAAGCCGAAAGTTGATAATTTTTTAAAATAATGTTTTATCATACAACTGAATGAAAAATGATCGTTCAAATGGAATACTGTGACTTCTTAACTTAACGTTAAAACGGAAATAACTAGATAGAGAAATCCAATTAAAATACTCATTAAAAAGAACTTTACAGATATTAAAGATAAACATATTCTTAGGGAAATAAGCACGAGTTCCAAAATGCTTTGAAACAAAAAAAAGTAATTGTACAAAGATTAGTTAAGTTTTAACTTTGTGTAAAAAATCTTTTACTTTGATTCATTATGCAATAAAAAAATACCTTTCTATTTAAATAACTTATTTTAATTGGTCTCTTTTGATTCTTCAACATACTTACATAGAGAGTTTTAATGATGTTATCGAAGAATTTTTGTGGTGTATTTTTTAGAATTGCTGGTAATGCACCCTGAATAATTGTACTACTTCCAATAATCCTTTGGCTTAAGCTTTGTAAACCTGCACGAATCTAAAAAACATTCACTATATTAATACATCATTTTAAAACATATCTATCAATTAAATAACAACAGTTATGTTTTTAATTTTGTTGTTGAAAAATTATGTATTCAATATACTAGTTAAAAAAGCTCATCCTGTTAAATTTAATAAACAAGTTAATATTTTAAAAATAATAATTTATGCAGAATAATAAAAAATGGATGAGTTTGATATTTTCCGCAATCCATTTATATCATTTAAGGAAATCTTGTTACTTTTTTTTTTCATTTTATATCATATTTTACCTCTTTGTTGAATATATTTTGTCGGTCATGAATTACAATCCAACCCATTCGCCAGCCAGGCACAAGGAATCTATATTAAAAAACACGATTGAAAATTAGATTTTTTTTTTATTCCACTATCAATATGATTAATCAGCTTTTTTCATCAACTTCTAACATATATTTTAGTTATCACAAATAATATACTCCTACCTTTTCCCCAATCCACTGCACACTAAAATTGGAACGTGAGTGGACAAAGAGGGTAACGAATAGAAAGTACGTCCGGGAAATACCTTAAAAAATATAAAATACACATAAATTATAAGAATATCAATAATCATCGATCTTTGTAATAATTAATAAAGAAGGTACTCATTCATGTATGAATATTTCCTAATTTATGCAGCTTTTAAACATTTAATAATTAGTCATTACATTAAACAACAATTTTTTATCTACAATGTTGATAAGTACAAATAGACATTGTTTTAAAACTTGTCCTTGAACTAGATACAAAAAGCTATAGACCATTAATTTTGCAGTAGAGCAAAGTAGAGAACATTTTTAAATATATGACAGTGAATTTTCAAGCGTTTCAAGGTATAAATTTGTAAACCCTGTTAAAACAACTATTTTTACCAAGACAATTTCCAATATTCATTATTACTAGAATTTCTTATCTGTCAATGTTGGAAACTTAAATGTTTTGAATTAAAACATAAAAATATCTATAGCTAACAAATTAATAACACACTGTTATTTGTTCTCATTCTCTGCAAGTTAATCTTACCATATGTTCATAAATTTCATCAGCAATAATTGGAACATGATATTTCGCAGCAACATCAAGAATATCTAATAGATGACTACGACTGTACACTGATCCACAGGGATTTGATGGATTATTTATAATAATTGCTGCTGTCTGTTCATCAATTTGCGATGCAAGATCGTCGAGATCAACTTCCCAACCGACGTCGGGCTAGAAAAAAAGGTAGATTGAATTTTATTCAAGTGGTTAGAGCACAGGTAATCGGTTTCGAATCTTCTATTCCTATGTCTATATATATTCTATAGTCAAAACGAATAGAATTTGCAAATTGAAATCTCCATAGATATATGTACATACTAGAAGGTTATACGCTCTGACAGACACACCAAGGCCTTCAGCAAGTGTGCGATATATTGCAAATCCTGGCCGTGGAATCAAAATGTTTTGGCCTTCTCGTGCAAGTACTGTTATACTGAGATCCAAAGCACAGGAACATCCACTGCAGAGTATTACGTCCTTTTGAAAACAACAAAAACATTGATTTAGCGTATTTTGTTTATTGGCTTGATCAAGAAAAATCTCATTAACATGATCTAAATCATCATATTGATGGTCTTTAGATATAGAAAGATATCTTCCACTCTGATAAATTATGGAGCATCAGTATGCGTTTACTTGATTTTCAAAGGAAATATTACTTTTAAACATCATATTCGAAAGTTATCAATAAGAAATGTACTTCATGAACTACAAACTTTATGTTACAAACTATTAAAAAACAACTTTTGTACTGATGCTATGACATATACATTATATTTACGCTAGAAAAATATTTATACCAATAAAATAGAGTAGTAGTTGCTAAAAAGAAAGAATCAATATTTTCAAACCTTCGGAGTTTTCATTCTCATAAGTTTAGTAATTTAAGAGCAATGATGTAAACATAAAGAAGTTGTATTATTTCACTCTAAAACAAAATCATTTCTATATGATTTTCCAAGATAGAAAACAAAATTTCTCAGAGAAATTTCTAGAATAGTGAAGAAGCATTACAACTGTTAATTTTCATTGAACGGATTCTTTTATTGATACCTGACTGATTCAAACTTGATGATGAATATCACCAACACCATTTTTAATCGATACATTTGTTTTCTAGTTTTTTGTACTAAATTATTTTAAATTCTTTCTATTTTTCGACCCAATTTTTAAACCTATCAATGTTATACAGCTTTATTTTGTTAACATCAAACACCCAGATCACTATAGTGCTCACGGCATCTTGATTTACGATCAATTTTCCATCAAGTCATCTAGACTTGAATTTACACATGTCTTCATTTCTAATTAACATTGATAGTTAAATTTCAGCAAGCTGTTTGCATTAGTTGTATCAATTATAGGTTGAATGACAATATTATAAAGTTTGATGAACATTATGATAATATTTTAGCACACTACTATTTAATGTAGCAAACTAGCACAACTATGTCTGGGAACCTTGCATATCATTTTAACATCATATCCTTTAATATCTCAAAATTCAATACACTTTTCACTATTTTAATAAAATATAGAACTTGGAAAAAGAATTTTTGAATCAATCTATTTCTTGTATTGCAATAAACTCTGTTGAGTTAATAATTAGTTCAATCAATAATCTTCGTTTTTAATTTCAATCAATTTATATATTATGGTAATCTGAAACTTAGTGATTAAGTAAATAATAGCTTGATACTAATAAATTCTAACTTTATACTAAATCGATAATACATTCTCGAGATACATTCAATATTTTCTTTCCTGTGTAAGAAGAGACAAAGTACCAATTATTGTTTCATGATTGAATGGTTAATTTGGTATATCATTAACTATTTTTAATTACTTGAATTTTAAATACCTTTGCATCAACTTGGAAATTACTGTCAGAGCAATACTCAGCTACCGCTTCTCGAGCTTTTTGATATCCTGAAAATTTAATGATATTTTTAATCTATAAAATGATTCAAAATTAATTTGACGTTTTTTCCAATTTAAATCATCTAATTTTTTTCTAACTCTGCTTCAAGACTCAAAGTTTAAGTAGATATAGGGTGTTATGATACGTTTGAAATACGTATAAATTGATCGGAGTAAATAGGGTTTAAAGTGATATACTTACCAGTACTTGGAGCATATCCATTATATTCCAGTGAAGCGACGCTTTCTTGTACAGCTTCGATGACTTCTTTTGCTGGTTTTAAATTTCCAAAGGTTGTCGGATCCCCTATCAGTAATACCCCTCATCCCATTAATAAATATTCAGCTGATATTTTTATGAGACATTATAAATAAATATAAATATATGAAATAATATAAATTCTATAAATAATACAAATGTTTTATTAATTAAAAAATCTAACTTACCAATAGAAAGTGAGATGAGTTTTTTATTCGGATTTGGTTCAACTACTATGTTTTCAACGATCGACCTAATAGGATTATAAGTCCTTCTTGCAATATCGGAAGCACGAACGTCCCATCGTTTACGAGAGCTGAGCTTATTCGACATTGCTTCAATAAAAATTTTCTGCCAGAGATTGATTGTATTGTTGTGTGTTTAAACTCCAGTTTTAACAATTCACTTGATTTTGAAAAAAAAACTAGTAGATACGATAATCAGGTTGATGACTCGCGCACTGAGTAGAAAAGAATCGAATGAAATTAGGATGTTAATGGAAAGAGAAGGAGGAGGAGTAAGGCATAGAGATTGAGGGTACTTCTAGGTGCTTAAGTTCGATAAAGTTCATTAAGCTTTAATGATTAAGGCAAATACATCAATGGAAGGACAAAGAATAGCTAAGGATGCTAAGGGTTAATGTAGGTCTTGAGAATATTCTAGAGACTAATTTAATATTGCAGGACTCTACTAATATTGTTAAAGTAAATACTTTTATAATTTTATTAAATTAATTAATAAGTTCCTTATTTTTTCTATATATGGATATTTAATTTTAGCGTTTACCTAAGCAAGTTTTTCGATTACTAAAGTTTGCCAGGATGCGCCAACACTTGAAATGCCCTGGCAAGTGGTCAGAGGAAGGACAAACCAACTGGTCCGATTGGTCGGTCAGTTCCACACCTCCTTTCGATAATTAATTAAAATAATATCTTGCTATAAACTGTCTACGACGTAAAATCACCTTGAAAACCTTCACCAACGTCATCATTGGTGATATTCATCTTAGAGAATTAATAACATCTTCCAATACGTCATATTGAAGAAATGCTTTCTATCGATAATCTATTATTTTCACATTTTTAAAATAAAAATTTTCAGGTTTACTGGATTGAATTTTTATGATTAATTCAATAATATCTTGGGTAGAAATTTTTAATAAATATGCCATTGATTTTTGTTTTTTAGTTTTAGAATAATAAAATAGTATAAGTAGTACGTTTGCAAATTTTGAAAATACTGAAGGAATGTCGTCTTTCCAGATTGTACGGTTGTCACCAAGAGCTCGAAATTCAGATGGTGGGAGCTTACAAACCTTCGTCAAAACATAAGAGGTATCAACATGCCACCACGGTTCTCTCATATGATATCATTTCTAGAGTGTTCTATGCAAGTGGATGTTAGTTAAACCATACATATGTTATATTCTTTTGCATGTTATTGTTTTTAAATTTGAGAAAAAAATAAATCTCCAAGTATCGAAAATCTTTTCCTCATAGTATTTTATAACCAAAGATCAATCAATTTAGTTATTAATTAAATTTTCTCTTCATTTATATGACTCTCCATGTTTATTAATGAATTAAACTTAGTTCTATAATAGACATTTATTGTATTTGCAAATGACATAAAAAATCAAAAATTATCTCATTATGCACTAAACAATAATATTTTATTAAACTTCTTGGATATTTTGGTGTGATTATTTTTCATTTATTTGCTTTAACCATAAAAAATTCATTTAAATCAGTTTTTTAAATGGCATTTTAATAATAATTTATTTAAAATAACTTTCGGATTTATTTGTTATTCAAGTATTGTATAATAATGTCGTCAAATAAACATGAATTCTAATTTAACCGTTTCACTTTCTGACAATCTTAAATTTTTTTTATGCAGTGTAGTCAGGTCGTTAACTTACGTCATAGTTTACTCTCCTATTAATATTAAATTTTAAATAGCGACTTGAAATTCCAATTTATATAAAATCTCATACTTTAAATCTAATATTAAATTGTTTTTTTTTTTCAGAAGTCCTTATTTTATTATTATGTATTAAAATATAAAAACCAATAGAATAATAGATTATTGTAAATAATTATAAATTCATAATTGAACTTGTTTTTATGAATTAATAAGTAGATGTCGATATATAATAAAATTAAAAAAACATAAAGAAAATAATTTTTTCTTGACATATCATGCAAAGTTGTAAACAATATTCATGTTTGCTTGTAGTCCACGTGTATATCTATATGGATTGATCGAACAAGTATTTAAATGTAATTATTGCACTTAACAATCTTTTAGTAAATCTATATAACACTTGTGACACGTAATACTCTTGAGTGGTGGTAAACAAATTGGTATATCTTCATGTTTATTCACTTCAACTCATTGCTGTTTGCATTTCTGTCAACGAATTTCGTTCAGGATTCCATGTTTGATTGAAAAATGTCTTCAAAATAAATAACTATTTTTACAAAAGTTATAAATCAATTTGTTTTTAAATAAACAATACTATAAACAATTATTTCTATCATTAATAAACATTAGAGGTCACTTAATTTAAAGAATATCTGCATATTCACTGCATCATCGTGCTAAGCCAAAAGGGCGTATTTCCTCTTCTAAATAATGGAATTATACGCCCTTTTGTTTTAACATGGCTTTATATAACAGTTAATCAATAATAATTAAGAAGAATAAAACAATTACTTGCAATATATGTAAAAGTTTTCAGATAGAAAGATGTGATGTGGAATATTTAAGAGAAAGAATATTTTTATTCTTTATAATATTTTTTATTGATTATGTAACAAAATAACTATAAATTTAAATATTTGGCTTCACAAAAAGTTACCAAGCTAAAAAGTTTCAATTATTTATATTAATATACAATGTGTTAAGTTTGCCATATATCAAATATGGGCAGTGATGATTCATTTTACATTTATATTTTATTAGATATTTACTTAATATTTTTATTATTTATTATAATAATAATTATTACAATCATTTAATATATTTTTTTACATGCTAAGTAATATACTAGATACTTAATTTTTATCATTATATGATATAATTTCGCGACAAAGAAATTTATGGGACAAAAGAAGAGGAAATTAAATGAAGATTCGATTCATATAGGATTATTGTAACATATAAAAAATTGAAAAAGATTTACAAAAAAAGGAAATCTTAAGGTGTTACTCAACAAATAAAGCTTATATGAATAAAAAGACTATCTTCAATATTCTCTTCATGTAATTAAGTTTTAAATGGAATAACGATGATAAATTGAAAAAAAAAGAATTTTATTGAACACAATCAACGTTAAACAGTCACGTAAGGTCCTCGATTCATATATTGTTTATCTTTCTCGTCCCATTTTTTAGTATATTATTCATTATTATTATTAATAATGTCGTTTGATAAGTCAAATATTGAATTGTTTATATTTTACGTATTTTTTATACAAACTTGACATCGACTTATTCGGGATCTCAAATTTCCAGCTTTCAATGTTTGTTTCTCAGGTTTTTGGAATTGTTGTCTGTCTTCAATTGTTGCCATCCAAAAGCTAAATTCATTTGCATAATAATGACAATGTCCTTTAGCACCGTTACATTCGATGAAAGGAGTTGCACGGAAATCTTCTAAGCATGAACCAGGACTTGATAGTGATTGACCACCACCTTGAGATCCAGCACCAGTGTGCTAAAAAAAACAATTTGCCAGTTAATATGTTGCAGAATATAATATTTGTTCGTTTAACCTTTTGATAACATCAATAATAGAATGTTTAATTTCTGCTTTTTAATAGTTTTTTCCTCTTTCTCTTATGTTTTCAATTATTTTATACTCTACTGCTTGTAATGAAAGTTTGGAATAAAAGTAATTAAAATATATTGTACCATAACAAAACTGTATCCAATCCATAGACCAGACCATCCATTTGGACATTCAGGAATGCTTAACGATTGACTGTGAATTGCAAGAACATTTGCAGGAACTTCACAAACAACACACCTGAACAAATAGAATAATTTTCATAGTATGTTTTGCAGTTGAATAAAAATATTTTTTATGATTTATCTAAAATAAAGTAAACACATTTGAGTTAACATAAAATATTGGATGTGTACCTAGAAATGTATTCCTCTATTGCCGATTCTTCAACAGGCATCATTGGAATAGGACTATTGGTTGATAGCCAGTAAGAACGGTCGTTACGGCTGGCATAATGACACACGTTGTTAACATCGCAGAAGAGGAAAGGCATAGTGGAGAATTTCCGTACGCACGAGCCGGCATAACCTGTTTTACAAGCGGATTAATTTATAGGACAAGTTTTCATGACGAAAATTTTAATTCTATGGGCTACAAGCAGGTTTATACTACGTAATAACCAACTATCATACAAAATTTTTTGTTAATTTTTAAAATTTAAAAATGTTCCAAAAAAATTTCATTTACCAAGATCTTGAGAATGTGCTCTTTCATCTCCATCTGTGTAGAGTAAACTGTATCCTTCCCATAATTTAATATGTCCTGGTTCACAAACTGGAACACTCTGACTTTGACTGTGTCGAACTAATAAAATGCCCGTAAGGTAATCTGGAGATTGTTCACAAGGTAAACCAGCTTCTCCTTTTGGTCCCGGATATCCAGGAGGTCCTTGTAAGCCTTCAAGTCCCGGTGGACCAATTGGACCTTCTAATCCAGGTCGTCCAGCAGGACCTGGTGGTCCAGGGTAGCCTGGCAATCCTTTTATTCCTGGTGTGCCGGGGAAACCTGGAGATCCTGGCATTCCTTTTTCTCCGGGGATTCCAGGTGCACCGGGTTCTCCTAAGTTTGATAAGAATAAATAAAAAATTAATATTTATTTACGAGATTAATTTTAATTATCATATAAAATATTTATAAGGATTCTGAAAAAATTTTAACAAAAACATTTAAACAGATGAAGAAAAAAATGTGAACAATCATTATGAATCGACTTACTCATTTAATTTAGATTTTCCATAGTAAGTATGTAAATTGAAAAATATATTTTAATTTATGATTTTCTAACTCATGAATATGTTCAGTAGTACTAAAATAATCAACTACGACAAAATCATTTTTTTTTAATTCTATTAAATAAATGTTACTAAAAGGTACCTGGGAATCCTCGATCTCCTTTTGGTCCCATCGGTGGCTCAAGACAATCGTCACCTTTCTCTCCCTTAATACCAACATATCCTATAGCACCTTTTAATCCTAATGGTCCGGGATATCCTCTGTCTCCCTTCTCTCCAGGAATACCCGGTTCTCCCGGTAAACCATCAAAACCTCGATCACCTTTTTCTCCTGGTATACCGTCTAAACCAGCTGGACCAGAAAGACCACGGTCACCTTTTTGACCAGGACCACCGATTAATCCTGGTGGTCCTTGATCTCCCTTTGGACCTCGTTCTCCGGGAAGACCAGGTTGACCTTCAAATCCTGGTTCTCCAGCCCGTCCTGGAGGTCCTTCAGGACCTATCATACCAGGTTCTCCTTTTTCTCCTGGGGCTCCTACTGGTCCCCATGGACCTGGATCTCCTTTATGTCCTGGTAATCCTGGGAATCCAGGTTCTCCTTTGACTCCAGGTGTACCAGGGAATCCATCACGTCCATGTTTTCCTAATAAACCTGGAAGACCTTTTTCACCTTTAACAGTTGCACCTGGAAGACCAGGTAAGCCTGGAGGTCCTTGATCACCTGTGGTAATTAAAAAATATAGTTTAATTATTCTATTTTTTTAAAATTGTATTCATTATTAAAGGTGAAAATTAAAAACTGGTAATTCAAACAAAAGTTTCAAAAATGAGTGTATCATACCTTTAGGACCTGGTGGTCCTGGTAATCCAGGATTACCCATAGGTCCAGGCATTCCTCTATCACCCTTCTCTCCATCAAATCCAGGTTGTCCTTCATATCCACGATCACCTTTCTCGCCGTCAACACCTGGGAATCCGACTGGACCAGGCTCACCTTTTTCTCCTTTAATGTTCACTAATAATCCCGGTGGTCCTCGATCACCTTTTTCTCCGGGAGGACCAGAAACTCCTGGCAATCCTTCAAGTCCTGGAGGTCCCCTTTCTCCTTTAGCACCATCTAAACCAGGACGACCAGGTGATCCCATTTCACCATCAAGACCTGGGAATCCAGGTGGTCCAGGAGGTCCTATATCACCGACTGGACCAGGAAGTCCATCAAGTCCTGGTCTACCTGGTTCTCCGGTAAGACCTGGGAAGCCTACATCTCCCTTAAGTCCTGGGAATCCACGAACACCCATATCACCTAAAAAAAATTATTGAGTGATTATTAATTGATATAATTTGTAAAATTCACTTATAAATAGTTCGTAAATCAATTTTAATATATTCACTTATATATAAAAATAATATAAAGTCTTGTAAATTATTACCTTTTGGACCTTGCGGACCAGGAAGACCATCTAATCCAGGCAAACCTGGCTCACCCTTAAGACCTGGTAATCCGTCACGTGCAAGTCCTGGTCTTCCAGCTTCACCTTTTTCTCCATCAACTCCATCTCTACCTGGAACTCCAGGTGGTCCTCTAATTCCTGGCATTCCAGGTTCTCCTTTTTGTCCTTTTTCAGATACTTGCCCAGGTTCACCTTTGTGACCTGGGAGTCCAGGGAGTCCTCGATCTCCTTTCACACCTTCATATCCAATAGGTCCTGGTAATCCTGGTGGTCCATCAAATCCACGATCGCCTTTTTCACCCGGTATACCCATTGGACCAGGTTTACCTTCCATTCCAGGCAATCCCGGGAATCCTGTCGCACCTTTTTCTCCTCGTTCTCCTTTCAAACCTGGCTCACCAGCAAGACCAGGCTGTCCAGCAACTCCAGGTAAACCTCTTCGGCCTGGATATCCTTTAAGACCATCTATACCAGTTTCTCCTTTATCTCCTTTAAGTCCTGGGAATCCAGGTAAGCCAGGTCGACCGGGTTCACCAGTTAAACCTGGTTCTCCTTTAGCTCCATTAAATCCTGGTGTACCTGGAACTCCGGGAGGACCAGGTGGTCCAATTGGTCCAGTATCTCCTTTTTCCCCGGGGGCACCAGGTAATCCATTTATTCCAGGGTTACCAATATCTCCTTTTTCTCCAGTAAATCCAGCTAACCCGGGATATCCTGGTTGTCCATCTTTGCCGACAGGTCCTAATATCAAAAAATTATTTATATAAATGAAAAATAAATTATGAATAAATTATTAAATTACCATCTATTATTTAATCAACTTATGAAAAATTTACCGGGTAATCCACGCTCTCCTTTCTCTCCTGGAGGTCCAGTCAATCCTGGATTTCCTTTAAGTGATAAACCAGGCTCTCCTTTTTCTCCTCTTTGTCCTGGAATACCAGGGAAACCACGAGGTCCTTCTAAACCTGGCTCACCAGGGAAGCCCATAGGTCCAAGATCTCCCTTATCACCACGAGGACCTGGTAAACCTCGAGGACCAACTGGTCCTGGAGCTCCAATAGGTCCAGGTGCACCAGGTGGTCCCGAAAATCCTTGTAATCCTTTATCACCCGGTATTCCATCACGTCCTGGAGGTCCTGGTTCTCCTTTTTCACCAGGTGCTCCACGGTCACCTTTAAATCCTTCTTCAATATTCATAGCCGGACATAGACCAGGTTCTCCTTTAGGACCATAGAATCCAGGTTCTCCTTTTTGTCCTGGATGACCGGGACGTCCTGGCTCTCCGGGTTCTCCTTTTATACTTGCTCCTTTATCTCCTTTATATCCAGGAATACCTGGTCGACCAGGAGTTCCATCTTGACCAGGGAAACCACGATCTCCGGGTTCACCTATTATAAGAATAATATCGATATATCATAAAATATTTGAGACACTTACATATTCCATTTGAGAATTACTAATGTCTCTAACATAGTGACGTTTTGTGAATCATAATAGTAAAACATGTTTTATGACTGAGTAAATTTTTTCGATTATGATGTTAACAATTTAGATTTAATTAATTTAATAGACCTAAGATCTTAACACTTATTTTATAATTGATTGTATCATTGTCTCAATTATTGATGTATCGAATAGTTTGAGATCATTTGAAATTTTAAAAATAAATAAAATACTTACCTTTTAGACCTGGGAATCCTTCTAATCCCGGTCTTCCTTTATCTCCCGGCAAACCTTGAGGTCCAGGAGGTCCGGGTCGTCCAGGTTCTCCACGTAATCCTTTATCACCTTTCTCAAATGTTAACATACTCTCTGTTATAAACGCTGGTGATCCTGGTGTTCCTTGAGGTCCGGCACTACCCGGTATTCCATCTTTTCCAGGAGGACCAGGAGGTCCGATCGGACCTGGGAGACCATCAGCCCCAGCCTCACCAGGAAAACCTCTTTCTCCTGGGGGTCCACGAGGCCCTGGTAATCCTGGAGCTCCATCGAATCCTCTATCTCCTTTTTCTCCTCTAAGTCCAGGTAAACAATCTTGACACCGTCCACCAATGTCACCTTTTTCACCAGGCTCACCAGGTAAACCAGGAATTCCATCTCGTCCCGGTGGTCCTTGCTCACCAGGCAATCCAGGAGCACCGGGTGCTCCGGGAATACCGTCTAAAGAATCTCCTGGACGACCTCGCACTCCAGCATAACCGCGTTCTCCTTTCTGTCCTTTCTCTCCATCTATACCTGGTGTTCCATCCATACCTTTCGGTCCCTATTTAACAATTAATAATCGCCTAGTATTTATCAAGTTAAAATGATGTAATTAATTCAGTTACGCTGGCTATTTATTTTTATATCAAATCTCGATTAGTCATTTATTTTGAAAAAAATGATTATTTATTTAAAACTTACTACAATCGAAAGTCCTTTTTCTCCCTGTGGTCCTCTGGGGCCAGGAGGTCCTGGTGGTCCATCGAATCCGCGAGGTCCTATCTCACCAGGAAAACCAGTCAATCCTGGCTCTCCCTTACTGCCTTTCTCTCCGGGTAAACCTTCAGCTCCGGGAGTTCCCGGCAATCCAGGCCCTCCTTGAAGACCGACTGGTCCTCGTGGTCCAGGTTCCCCAGGGTAACCATCAGATCCACGTGGTCCAACAGGTCCTGGAAAACCTCGAGGTCCTTTTTCTCCTGGAGGACCTGGTTGTCCTTTGCCACCCTGATGACATTAAAATAATTTTTGTTCTTAAGAACCCGAAAAGCATAAAACACACTTATACTGCTCACATAAATTTATACTTAACATAAAATACTTACACCTGGAGGTCCTGGTGGTCCTCTCAAGCCTGGTACACCCATGGGTCCATCTCTTCCTGGTTCTCCTTTTTTTCCTGCACGACCAGGAAGTCCATCTAATCCATCAATACCACGGTCACCTTTACGTCCTGGAGGTCCTGGTGGTCCTGAAAATCCATCTCTACCCTAAAAGAATAACAACAATTGTAAAAATGTATATTTATCAAATATTAAAGTAATAGAAAAAAATATCAATTGACATACTCGAACACCAGGAGCTCCTGGAAGACCTTTTTCTCCTTTCCCACCCGGCGCACCAGGTATACCAGAGTCTCCCATGAATCCCGGTTCTCCTTTTGGTCCATCATATCCTTGCTCACCCTATCAATGATTTTAAATAATTTGTAAAAATTACTTTCAATCAAATTTATCATACACCATTACATCTTAAATGTTGGTGAATAATTTTATACGGAAAAAATTATTAGCATTGGTACTATCTTGTGACTAATTCCACAATTAAATGTTTTAGTACTTATCTAAAGACATGTTCTACGAATCATAATTAACAAAAAAAAAATACAAGAAGTTGTTTAATTGAAATAGCACACTTGTGTATCTAACATAAAATAAGATTTCTAAAACCTCTCACCCCTGCAATTGCAGAGGAAACAAGTATACTTAATATTTACAGAGTATAACTCGTACTAGACATTAACGTCAATGCTATAAATATAAATTTATTCACCAACCTTATTCTATTTCTAACTTTATGATTAATTTATTATACTTTGTCTCCTTTCTGCCCTGGTTCTCCAGCAGGTCCTATTGTATGCTGTGATCCTTCTAATGGAACTATAGGTGCAGGAATACCCGGTGGACCAGGTTCACCTTTTCTACCTTTATCTCCTTTTGTTCCTTCAAATCCTAGACCCATGTTACCTTTTTCTCCCTTCAAACCTTGTGGACCAGGTTGACCCTAGCACCCAAAATGTAATTACAATGATAAAAAGATATTAAAAAACTTATAGATCATCGATACTGTTATAAATTATACAGTAATCTGAAAATTTAAAAAATATACCTACATAAGGACCACGGTCACCTTTCGGACCAATTGGACCTCGTTCACCTTGAGGTCCAGGTGGTCCTGGAGGTCCACGCACTCCATCAATACCAGGTTCTCCTTTTTGACCGATTGGAAAATTGCCAGCGTATGCTGGTTGACCTTTGTTTCCTTTGGGACCAGGTAAACCTCGCATACCGCGAGGTCCTGGCTCACCAGGGACTCCAGGGCGACCGGGTTCACCCTATTAAATTAAAAAAAAAAGCTTCAGTAAATTACCAAAAAATATCAATTAAAAATCTTAAGAATGTTTGAAAATTACATCTGTTCCATTACAACCATCTCGTCCGGGAAGACCAGGAGATCCGGGAGGTCCTTGAACTCCTGGAATACCATCAATACCTGGAAATCCAGGCATTCCTATTTTTCCCTAAAAAAAATCATAAATTGTATAAAAATTGAAGACATTCCGATCGTATGTAGCTCAATTCATCGACTTCCATTATAAGATAATAAATAATTCATTGATCTTCAATGTTAAATAAGTTGAACATCAAACATTCTGTCTCAATTTATACGTCGTGTAAATTTAAACACTGTAATTGAGTTTCGATCGATTGGAATTAAGAAAATGAGGTAATTTTCTTTTCTATCACCTTTTTTTCTTGATTCAAACATTAATCATGCTATACAAGTTTACCTCTCTACTTTTATTTTGAAATGTTTCACTTAAATATTGAAACTAGTAATAATCAATATATTATGCTTCAAAAGGCATAAAAATCAATGGCTTAGAATATCTTAATGTATATTTACTCGATCTCCTTTAGGTCCTCTTGGTCCTTGAGGTCCTGGACCACCTTTTTCTCCTTTCGGTCCTAAGAGTCCTTCAGTTCCGGGGAAACCCCTTTGTCCTTTGGGCCCTTGAGGTCCCATGATACCAGGTGGACCCTACAATTTAATTTATAATAATCATTTAATCAAATATCAACTTAATTATTTTCATGTTAATCAATAATCATTGACTTACCCTCGAACCTTTCTCAGCAAAACATTTGGGTGTACAACAACCACTTCCAGTACAATTTTTAGGTGGACCATAGCCAGGAATTGGAACAGCTGAGTAGCTGGAAGGATATCCTGACCCTACATTACTGTCATATCCATATGAATAATCTCCATCCGTCCGACGATCATCATAAGAACCATTCCTTCTAGGGTCATCAAATCGATCTGTATAAAATTATTAACATTATTATTTTTAGTTGTTAATATTTAATACATCAATGCTGATTTAAATTGCAATTTTATATTCAATTCAATTAAAAAATTTGAACTCATTAGCTAATTTGATAATTGTTACTTTAATTATTTCAAAAGTATTGAATTTTCATCTTACATTGGATATCATTTCTAGAGTGCATTATTTATTGTGAAATAAAATTTATCCTCTTATATATAAATTACCTCTTCGATCATAGTATGAAGCATTCCTTCTGAGTTCATCTTCTGGTCGTTCTGTAGGGAAAGAAATTTTTTATTAATTTAAATCTTCTTTAAACAAAAAAATATTTCGCACAATTAACGAAGTAATTGTGTAGAAAAATGTTTGCGAATGTAATGAATTGCAAAATTGTATCATGCTTCAATGAAAAAATTATTGGAGGGAAGTAGAATTAATAGAGCTAAATCAATACGATGCTTCATATTAATATTAGAGTATTCCATTGTAATAGAATTATTGATACTTGATAAATTTAGGTGGTAGTTCATCCAATCAAACTTTAATTTTTGTGACTTCTCAATTGAACAATTTAATCAACTCAATGAAATTTTTATCAACTCTATTCATTTGTTTTAAAATATAAAAATTATTCACTTTACGAGAAATTTAATTTATGCTTTTTGCGATATAATAATTAAACGAAGCAACAAAAGAAATAAAATATTAAGTATTCTTACCCCAATACTGTGGATAATTTCTATCTGCCTCGGGAGGCGTTATATCAGCTCGTGAGTGTCCGTGAACTCTGCCGTAACGTATCCATGTTTCATTACTCTCCTAAAAATATTAAGCAATTAAAACTCAAAAAAAATTCGACTGCCGAAAAAACTTATAATTAAAATAATATTCTTTTAAGTATGTAAGTATACATTCACGAATATTCTTTTGTATATTTGTAACTATTTATTATACTGATAAAAGAGAAGAGTGATAAATTCATTATCAAATCAACTCGGTCGTTTTTCTACTCATATATCTCAGTGTATGATATTTAAATAAGTTTTATGCATAAATGTATGAATGGAATATAAAACAATAGAAATTCTCATAAACAAATTCTGGGTTAACTTGTCAATTAAACGACGATTGCATGATGAGATAGCTGTGTTGGAGGTCGAGGTCTTGCGTAACGTAATAACATGAAGTGACGTAAAGGGTGGAAATGAGATGATGATGATGGTAAAAATGTGGAGCACTTGTCTGTTAATGTAAAAAAAAAAAGATTTCCTATCAACTTTTTTCCACTATAAATTGAGCTATTTTATTACAAATATTCGATTTATCTCTCCTTGAGGATACCTTTTTTCTCAACCAACCAACAAAATGTTTCTTTTATCACATCTGTAAGTGTTTAATGCCAATAACATGATAGTTATGCAATTGATTCGTAACTTTTCTCAGTCTTCATTTTCATGATCAACTTTGTCATCATCAATATGATCACTATAATCTTCATGATCGTTAAGATCATTATAGTTATCATTTTTATTGCTGCACTTAATTTTTTTTCCAAACAAGAGCTCATTCATTTACTTAATAGCATTATACTGAGCATTACCAGAAATTCAATTTTTCCCTTTTCCTTTGAGGTGATTGTAAAACAAAAACTATATTACGAAATTGTTTATAACATTTTTGTTTTATTATTATCTCTGGATAAGTTCAACTATTAGAACTAAATTCGAAAGTTAGTATGTTCGTGGTGTGATGTCCATATAAAACTATTTGTGAGTGAAAACTGTCAAAGCCTACACACGACACACCCACATGATTCGACTGGAGACCACGAGTTACTTGTCTAAAATTGCACATGGCAGTAAAACAGGTATTGAAGCGTGTAATGTATCAAATTCAGCTGAATTGTAACATTTTGAGCTTAATAAAAATGCCTATTAGAAAATTTTAACAATTAATTTCAAATTCGACACAATGATAGAAAAAAACAACACCGAAGAAAAAAGTGAAAATAGTGAAAAGTGAGGAATTAAATAATAATATAATTGTTAATTGATTATAATTTATGCTTCAATTCCCGTTAATAATTACAATAAACTATTGGAAATGTTCAAATAAACATAACGATCAATTGAATTTCTTTTTATTGCATAAACTGAGAGTTGAGTATCGAAGTTGAATTAAGGTAAACCGGTCTGCACTTGGAGGCACACGTGTATATACTTATAAAGCTAAAATCGTTCCACGTGCTTCGATATTACATTCCACTGAGCTTAATTACAGGGCTTTTAATAGTTACGTTCCAATATCTTCCAATATTTTTATATTACATGACATTTTTTTATTTTCTCCTTCACTTGATTCATCTATTTTTATTCACCAAAATCATCGCATAAAATTATTGGGATAATATTTTTAAAAAAAATAATAATTATGAATGTTAATGACAGAATAATGATTAAAAGGGATAAAAGGGATTATAAAAACCTTTTGAAAACATAAAGTGAAACGAATGTTGATATTTCAGAAAACTTATGGTGCGTCGAGAGAGAAGAATTACGACTGTACAAAAATAATGACCCAATCCAGGAAGATGGAAAGTAAAAATAAATAAGATCAAGTAAGATGAAATAAACAAGATGAAAAGAACTATAATAGTTTACTTTTAACCATTTTGTCCTCAATTTCTGAATCATGTAGATTATTATTACTAATTTTTTCTCTTTTTTTTTTTTTGAAAAAAATCATTTGATTTTTGTTTGCTTTATAAATAACTTGATGTGATTTACTTACCCCCCTAACTATGACAGATAAGTAGACCACGGTTGCGACGAATCTGTAAAAAAGTATTTCTCTTAATATTTTTTTATTGTTAAACACATTTTAATCATTTCAAGATTTTGTCAGTGATTGATACAATTGATTTTTACCGTCGATACTCGAAAGCTGAATATTAAAGGGACCGACGAATGTCGAGACGGGAGGACAGAAAAAAAGAACAATCGAAATCGATCTAAATTGTAAAAAAAAATAAAACAAACAAAAATAGAATAAAGAATTTGAGAAGATTAAAAAAGAAGCCGCGTCTTCCAAGAATTCTATGTTGGAGATGAAGGTAAAGGGTTTTGAAGATTTTTCTTTGAAATTAAAAATTCATTGTTAAATCAAATAGACTTGAACAAATTATACGACAAAATAAATGGCAACATATAGAGGTAATAACCTGATATAGAAATAAAAAAAAACTTACCGCAGTGCCAACCGGGTCATATCTGATGAATCTCCCTGCGTTAGGGAGATCCTTTCAGTCTGACACACAAACTATTAACTCCAAGGGTGGATGTTTAAGACAGAGCGCCTCGCGGTAAAAGAAAGAAGAAGAGACACAAAATATCGCGCGGCCGGGACCGTAGAATAGAGTATGAATTGTCCCATCCAGGGAGGGCTTTGAATGAATGTTTCTGGAGGGAAGGTGAAGGCGGTTCACGAACCACTGGTGAGCCACTCGTGTGAGCTACTGGCAAGCCACGCCAGCTAGAATTCCTCCGCCAAATAGAATACCGTGAAAAGACGTTTTTCTTCCTGTTCCTTCTTCGCAACTTCCGGTTGTTAAGACAGCGAACGGTCCTAAACTCGCCGATATTTCCGTAATTGTTGACTCCGATCGTCTGAAAGTATGATAGCTCGTGAGCCGTGTGGAGCCTTATGCACGCGTCGCAGATCCAGACTCGGGCCTGGATGCTTGCTGGCTCGTTCACTCAGTCTTCTTTGCCTCTTTTCTCGGTCGCGCATCTCCTCGGGACTGCTGCGCGGTCCCGACTTCTCTGGGGCCGGATTGCCGCCAGCCGCCACCATCAACCAATGTCCCGTGTTCGTCCGCACTCGGTTCAAGTCAGACGATAGCGCACGACCGGCTCACGACTGTGTCGTTTTTTATCTTTCTCTAGCAAGCGTAAGAATACATTGGTTCACAGAGGACAGAAGAGGAAAAAGGAGACGAAGAATCAGAAGAAGAACAACAAGAACAAGCGGAGGCTTCTGTGCGCTCGATCACGGGAGCGTGCAAGACAACGAAAACGTTTGGGTGCACTCGGGTCTAGCGTTAACAACACTCACTCTCTCTATCGATTTAACGTTTTTCAAAATTACCAACTATGTGGATTGACGCGTGGAAATATCGGTAACAAACTGAGACATTAATTTTACACAGAGGTGAGTGCTGGAGATACCGATATTTACCAGGCATCTCGAGAGAACTTAAAATGTGCCTAAGGAGAGATGTCATCTCGTCCTGCAGCATCATCAAACGATATCTTCTAACACCGGTTACCTGTGTGCTTCTACTCCTCATTGTTATTTCATCTTCTCAACCTTCTCATGCTGTGGTAAGTTTGATATTTCATTCTTAGTTTTCTATTTTTAATTTCTTTTCTATTTTTATCTTTTAAATATTAAGTTATAGACTATTATTATTGTTGTTATTTTTTTAAATGCATGCTATTTTAACTAAAAAACCTCTTCGATCTGTTTCAATGTCTATCTGGTCTCGATTTCTTGACATAAATTTCGTTTTTCCTTGTGATTATTCAGACAGCTGTACGTATAAAAATAAACCATATCACGTGTTTTTTTCAAATTTATTATTCAAATAGCGATTGAATTTTATAATTACATCACTTGATTATATTTATAACATTATTTAATCATTTCTCTCTCTCTCTCTCTCTCTCTCTCTGAAATGATATCAAATTTTTTTTCAACATATACTTATGACATCGGTATACTTCCAATGACATTAATTTATATCTAATGATTCAAGGAATCAACTGTTTTTGAAAAGCATATTTTTTATTTATCACTACGGTCATTAATGAAGAGAATGATTAGTGATAAGTGAAGCAAAATACATGTGATGTACATCAATGGGTATCAATGTCTTTTTTCGTCTGAACATGGTGTGAATGACAAGCCATCAGATAACAATCATTCATTTTAATTTCATCTCATGGTCCAAATTTACTTGATCTCAATAAAAAAATATTCCAATTTCAAATGTAATGAATTGACCGATGAGTAATCTTTGCCCTCGATGTGATAATACATCCTCAAAGTATTCCGGGAATTCATTTACCCGTTGATGTTTGGTTTAATGACCTATTATACATGCAAAGCCAAATGTTAATAAGAAAAAATATTTATATAAAAGTTCGATAATTATATGATTGAAAATTCTTGCTAAAAGATTGCATAATTGAACCCCTGGTATTGTAAATAACTCAAACCTCAAGCAAGATTGTTCAGTTCACTTTAGAAATGATGATGCTTGATTAAAAAATCAATCTCATTATTTTCTGAATTTTTTTTCAATGATGCTTCAAGTCAAAGTATTTTCTTAAAATAAATGGGTCTGATAATGGGTCATAGCTAAAAAATTATCACTTGTCATGTAGTTTAAGATTAATAAAGAAGTCTCACTTCCGTTGGACATTTTTTCAAATTTAAAAGATAGAGAAGATGCTTGATGACATAGTATTGACACACATAAAACTGAACATTCTGCATCCCCAGAACAAATGGATAAACATTTTGGAAGAACAGTGAAACATTGAAAATCGATGAGAATAAAAAATGTTCTCTATTTATCTTCACTTCTACTTAGATCTTGCTGACGTGCAGATGTTATACTTTTGCTGAATTAATATTCATACTAGAGATTTTTTTCCCCAAATTTTCTTTCAATTTCTATCAATTTATTTTGACAAATATTTGAGTTTATTCAAATAAATAACTATAAACATAAACTTTTATCTGAATAATTATATTTAATAATATAATATTTTAAATATATTATGATCTATTATCTGAAGAATGTAGCTGGTAATGTTATACTTTCTTTAGATAATTTCAATGACTTTCGTGTTTATAAACATTAAATAATGAATAATTAAAAATAAAAATTAATCTGATTTTAGAATATACTTAACATAATACATGAAAATGATTAAACAGTCAATTTTACAAACGAAATTTTTAGTAGCGTCTATATTTGATGCTGATTTAAAATAGAAACTGGAAGTCAGCAAGATGTTTTATGAGCTACAGGAAATATAATGCTTTTTAGTGAGTTGAATTTTTTTGGAGTAACTTTCAAAATTTTTCTCATTGTATGATAGAAGAAAATGATGATTATTTTCAATTGATCAAAAAAATTACTCTAAAAAATAATTAATTTGATTACTTTATTAGAACTAATATTTTTTGATAATTATGTTCAAAAATACTGATTTGTTTGTATTTTATAATTCCAGGTGTGTAAATCATATGCATGTAATTGTACGGGAATCAAAGGAACCCCAGGATTTCCTGGAATAGCAGGGCCTCAGGGTCCGGAAGGAATTCCTGGGGACATTGGTCCAGACGGGCCACCAGGACCGAAAGGGGAAAAAGGAGACGAAGGAGAGTATGGAGGAACTGGAGAAAAAGGATATCGAGTAAGTGAAAAATGTGTCATAGCGATAGTTATCTAGAGCTTACGGAAATAACCATTTGTCGATAATTCAATAAATATTTATATAAAATCTCCAAAGAGATGCTCTTAAATATAAGCACTAACTAAACAAATCTTGACAGTTATATAAATGTAAACTTTTGTTCAAAATAGGAGATAAAATGAAAAATAATATTTACTCATTAATTTTTTTGGGTATGTCAAAAAATCATCAAAAATTCCAGCAGAAATTTATTTCCAAGATGTTTGAATGTGATTTACATTTTCTTCTAATGTTGAAAAAAGTAATGATGTCATATGGCAAATTTACTTAACTGATTCTCCAATCGTCCAAAAGCCTTCATAGCATCACCATATGGACTAACATACATTGTATTAAATAGCTGGACATTTTGCTGATTTAAAAAAATGCAATAAATCTTTAAAATATTGTCTTCAATTGCATCAATTGATGATCTAATATTAAATAGCACGATCTATCATTGCAAACTATAAAAGAACAATTTAAAATCAATTTTTAATCATTATTTTTTATACTATTCATTCAAACTCTTCAAGAGTTATTTGAAAAAAATGTCTTTGCAATCTAAATATGTGAATCGGAGTCCAATAAAACTTGAATGACTATTTAAAAATATATATGAAACAAGAATAATGATTGTTTTAATTGAATCATCAAAGTTGAAATAACTAGCAAGGCAAGACAAATCGGAATATATGATTCCTCTTTTGATTAGTATATTCATCATTCTGCGAGAGAGGCAAACAATTTTACAAGCATTACAGAGTTGACATATATGTTCCTTCATATAAAGAATCGTGACGTAAGCCTTCATTCTGGAATATAAATGCGTTTATATCGGGCTTATGCAAGCTCAGTTCAGTTGATCTGAGTCGCTTGTGCAAGCCACTCTTTAACTATTATAGCCATTAGCAATTGTCAGAAACCATCTTTTTAGTACTTCAGACTTGACAATTCATTTATAAAGAATAGTAGGCGTTTATTAGAATTATTGTGACCGCGTACATGTGGCATTGATCTTTACTATAGCTGATATTTGCATTAATTAATAAGCTAGGCATGAAGATAAATTATTCTACGATGTTTATATTATTTCTAGAATGATAGGAATGATGGAAAATCAATGATAGAAGATGAATTAGGCTTGGTAGATAAGAGAAGAAAATTTATAAAAAATAATGATTTAATACAGAAGATGACGCCTATACACAATTATCAATGCACGGAATGGACACGAGTTTATATATAACTTACGTCATTTGAGACATTCCCCTTAAAGTAGGCTATCAAAAATGATAACAAGATGTCAGAATCACTCTCATTGCTATTGACAATTATTTTATTAAAACAAAAATTTATATGTATACTTGTTAAATGGTAATTTTTTATTTTTATACCTTTTAATAGGACTCTCAATGAATCATTAAAAATATCAAATTGTTGATGCATACTTTTTTTAAAAATAATTTACAAATTGAATAATTAAATTCATTTAAAAATATTGGTGTTTAATAAATTTTGTGTATTCAATTCGATTCGATATAACGTTCTAATATAAAATAATTAATAATTATTTAATTTTGTTTAAATATTGATTATAAATCGAATAAAATGAATAGAAGTTGAAAAAAATAATTTCAAGTTTTTATTAATTAAATTTTTATAAAAATCAAATACTCAAGAATTATTCTGATTTTTTTTTATTTACTAGTAAATCACTTATTTGTTCGAGTGTCTTTATTCAAAAGCTCTTTATTGAAGAGCACTAAATCATGAATTATTTATTGAATAAATATAACAATTTCATATCAGCAACAAATTTTTAATTTTAAATATTTATTTGTAATTTCTATTGTACATTCTGTTAATAATTTTCAATTGATCTAAAACCACAATTGAATACTTCATTCAACAAAATCTTTCATCAGTTACCGAATTTCTTCAGTATATGACAATGAAATGTAATTATGTGCTTTTTATAAAACTCGATAAAACTATTTTTGATTATGAGTTTGATGAAGAGTATCGAATATCTAGCATCCGGTACACAAACGGAATTAGTCGTTACATTAAATGCTTCGAATTTTCTTTGTTATTATTGTATTCGATGTAGAAACAAAAAGAAGAACCAAGAAGAATAAATAATGAACCGAATGATAAGAGAATAAACGGATACGAAGAGGCCGTTGTTCTTGTATATCAAATCTCTTGAGCGGGGGTAGAGAATGCATTTCCGTTGTTACTCACGGAAATTTTAAATATTCACAATTATTCGTTTAAATTTGGATGTTGAATAATTAGTCAAAACATTCAAATGTAAATTTTTGTTTATCATCAATTCAATGTTCAGTATCGAACTGAATGAAAGATTTATTAACGAATTCAGTTGAATTGATATCTTTATTGCAAAAATAAAGTATGCTAAAATATATTCCAGCAATTTATCATTCATATATATAATATTATATTATGTGAGAGCAAAAAAAAACGACACTTAATGACAACTAGGACCTGATAACTTAACTTCCCATTGACAATTTTCTCATTGTCAGTTATGTGTCAGTTGTATCGACGAAACCGGATGCCCAAAGATCTGATATACAGATATCCTTCACTTACTTATTCTGAACTAGGTACATTGAATCTATTCTCATATTCAATTTCGCATACGTTTTCGCGTCAAGATTACGTGAGAAATATGATAATAAAGAAATTCTTTTTACATTAAATAAATTCCTTTGATTTGAAATAAATTAAGAATTGACGAAAAGAAAGCTATTGACCAGTGACTTCAGGAAAAAAAAATTCATTTTAGAAATTAAATTTTACCCTACAGATAAAAGTTATATCAGCACCAATTTTAATTTTGGAGCGATAAATTTTATTCCTCTGACGCGTGAGTCTTCTGTATATAAAACTTTCTCTTTACCATAAAAAGCAAGTGTATGAATATCCATTATTCGGTGTCAACTTTTATTTGGTGTACACTATATGGGATGGTCATGTAGCATGAACGAAAGTTACCTTGAATTCGTGTTGCAAATACTTGAATTGCATCAGTTTAATTGAAAGTATAACTTTTGGAGATTAAATATAAATAATACTGAATTATTTTTATTTCAATTATTTTCAGTTATACAAATATTTTTAGAATTGAAGAGGTATTCAATTAACACTTTTAGCTGCAATTAATACCACTTCTAGCATTACTGATAATTTATTAAAGGTTTTATTAATTTATTTTATTCAAAGTATGTAATATTTTTACCTGTCTAAAAATGAAGCATAATTATAAAGCTAATTATATTTTATTACTGAGATAAATTATTTTTTCAAATTTTAATTTCAGTGAATAAATTTAATGTACGAGAAATTTCTAAAGAATTATGAAAATTTAGTCCATAGTAATTTTTTAAATTCATTTTTGAGGAAATCAGAAGGAAATGATAAAAAATTATCCGAATGATTCAACGTATTAAATATTTTTGTCAACGTTAACGATTTTCTAATTTTATTAATTATCTTTGCTTTTACAAGAATTTTTTAAAGTCTTTTTGAAGATAGATAACAAATAAAATTTTTTGTTTCTGTGATAATAAAAAGAAACTAGCAAAGCCATGTGTTTTAAATATATTCCACGTAAAAAATAACATCCGCTGGTAGTAGTCGATATAAGATGTTTATGTAGGGCTAGATTGAAAGCTATGATCTTCAAAATATACATCATTCAAATAAACTTTACAGCATTTAAAAAAATTTTGATAACCAGCAACATCTGGTTTCTTGAAATTTTCATGGTAAAGTCCGAAAATGATTTTAATAATTTCAAAATAAATTTTGATCCCGGAAGTTGTAGACTCTATACGTAAATGAAAATAATTAACATACTATTTTAATATTTTTAGGGAGATGATGGAATACAAGGGTTTCAAGGAGAACCAGGTCTATCAGTAAGTTGAAATTCATATCACAATAACTATTAATGAGTAGTACATCAGACAGTTGAACATGATTAGAGAGAATAGCTCTACAGATTGATATTTAGAAAATACATATAAATTGTTTCAATTTATAAAGGGTCATCCAGGTATTGCTGGAGTTCGAGGACCAGATGGACTAGATGGTTGTAATGGAACTGATGGACGAGCTGGTGTACCAGGTATACCAGGAGCTTATGGACCAAGAGGTTTTCCTGGACCTGATGGAGATCCAGGTCCTACTGGAGAACCTGGAGATGGTGGAATCAATTCTGTTGGTGCAAAAGGTGACCGTGGTGAACCAGGAGTTGATGGTCTTGAGGTAAAAACGTTAATACTACTTTTAAACCTTTCAATTAAAATCTAAATATTTGATAAAAATGTTACTTTTTAGGGATACACAGGAAGCTATGGAATTCCTGGAGATATGGGATATCCTGGTGAGACAGGAGACATGGTAAGCTGTAACTAAAAACATCCTATATTAAAGTCTATATTGTTTTGGTTTTATTTCTTAGTATTCAATTTTTGTAATTATCGTTAAAAGTTTATTTATCGAAAGATGATACTTAATAAATGCTACCGTGAAATGTAAAACTCATAAAAACCTTTGGAAACTGCTGAGTGTAAAGTCTCTGTATTTGCTGATGCAAAGTAAATATATAATATATTAAGCAGCATGTTTAGATAAAATTCACTTGATTCAAAAATAAACAGTGCCAGCAAAGTAAATTTTTAATAAGTTTAATTAATTTTTTAAAATAAGAAACAACTGTTATATTGATTGTAAATATTTATAGGGATTTACTGGTCCACGTGGTCTACCAGGACCTCGTGGAGATCAAGGTGAAACAGTTTATGGTGTAAAAGGTCAGATTGGTGAGCCAGGAGATCGAGGAGAACCCGGTCCCTACATTCCTGAATGGAGAAAAAAAGACGATACGATTCCTGTGAAAGGTCCACAAGGACCGAAAGGTATTCGCGGTGACTGGGGAGATCGCGGAAGGAAAGGTGAACTTGGGGATAAAGGACCGATGGTAAGGATGAAACTTGATACCATACGTGCTGAGATTATGATTATTATCTTCATTTTTTTATTGATATGATCAAGATTTTAATCATTTTTTCTTTAAAATTATCAGTATTTTCTTCTTTGAAAACTGTCTATTATTCATAAAAAATTATTCATGAGTAAAAATTGAATGTCAATAAATTTACAAATTTAAAAAATAAGAATATTTGAAGATATCAATTTTTAATAATAAAAAGTATAAAAAGGATAATTTATTGCGTAAACAAGTCTAAATAAGCTATGGTTGACGTGACACTCCATAAAAGTAAAATGTTGATAAGAGCAACTCCAGAAATCCATACTGCAAACTTCCCATTATGAAAATGAAGAACACTCAAACTATTATAAATGATTTTTAATAGTCAGTAATAATTTATTACCCTATTTTATTCATATAAGTCTTAGTTAAGATTTGCATAGAATTTATTAATTCAAAGGGACGACCTGGATATGCGGGAGTAAAAGGTATAAAAGGAGAACAAGGAGATGATGGTCCAAGAGGAAAACAGGGTGTTCAAGGTCCTCCCGGAGCTGCTGGTGAAAAAGGAGAAAAAGGAGCGCCTGGATATGCAGGAAGTCCTGGAGAAGATGGATGGGATGTAAGTCTGTAAATATTATATTCAATTTTTTTTTTTCTTTAAAACAAACATTTACGGTTCTATTTAAATCATAAATGATGCATAAATTAAAAAAAAAAAACATTTATTTTCAAGGGAGAACCAGGAGAACTTGGAAATCAAGGACCTCCGGGGAAACAAGGAGCCCCAGGAGAAAAGGGTGCATATATCCCTGAACTCGATGAAATCATTGCTGGTTCAATAGGTCCTCAAGGAGATTTAGGTCCACCTGGTGAACCTGGTAGAGCCGGAACTCCTGGAAAGCCTGGATTAGTGGGTTATATCGGACCACCTGGACCTCCTGGACCACGAGGTCCTCCTGGTACTCCAGGGCTTAAAGGATCATCTGTGAAGGGAGAACAAGGAGATGACGGTATGATATGGAAATGATCACAACCTTCATTTTTTTAGAATACAATACTATTTAACTCAAATTTAAACTTCTTTAGGTCTGCCTGGAAATTTGGGTCCTCAGGGCCCTCCTGGAAGACCTGGTTTACCTGGTTTGCCAGGAGCGAAAGGATTCCCAGGTATTACCATTATTGGACCTCAAGGACCTGATGGATATCCGGGAATAGATGCTACACCGGGTCTACCAGGAGATCGTGGAGATCCTGGTCCCCCAGGTGAAAAAGGTTTTCCTGGTAAAGGAGTAAGGATTCAAGGACCTCGAGGTGAAGATGGTTTACCGGGTACTCCTGGTCAACCTGGACCTGATGCCTGGCCTGGTTTCCCAGGTGCAAAGGGTGTAAAAGGACAACGCGGTGATGATTGTGGAGTATGCTCACCAGGTTTGAGCTATTTTTATTTAGTGATAATAAAGTAAATAAACGTGTCATGTGTAAGCAGTTAAAACATTAAGTATGATAAATAATTTTCAAGGTTTACCGGGAGAAAAAGGTGAACCAGGTGATTCTGGTTTAAACGGATATCCTGGAGCTCCAGGATTCCCTGGTTTACCAGGACCACGAGGATTTAAGGGACAACATGGAAGACCTGGTACTGTAGGTCCAATGGGTCTAGAAGGAGACAGTGGACGTCCAGGAATTGCGGGACCACAAGGACCAAAAGGAGAAGTTGGTCAAATTATTTGGCCGCCGAAAGAAAAAATTTTTATTCCTCCTGGTGATATTGGAGATAAAGGATACCCAGGATTTGAAGGTCTTCGAGGAATACGTGGACCACCAGGAGAAATCGGTGATCCAGGACCTGGAGGACCTAAAGGAGACAAAGTAAGATTATTTCGACATCATTTAAAAAAAGAGAAGAAAAAATTTTTAACAGATCTGTTATATGATTAATTAATGGAAAAAGCGGCACATCTATATCCAGATATTTATATTTAAATTATTATTGATTATACGGTTTTAATTTGTTAAGCACTTGAAAATTGTATAATGAGTAATAAATTTATAGATATTTTACTAGTGCAGTTGTAAGCCATCTTAATAAAAAAAATTATTTAAGGGTGAATTTGGATTACCTGGACCTCCAGGAAGAGATGGTCGACCAGGATTCAATGGTTTACCTGGAGAAAAAGGAGAAGATGCCGATGTACCAGTTGAATTTCTTCGTGGAGATCCTGGATTAGATGGTATACCAGGCCCTAAAGGTGTACGAGGAGAAACAGGTTTACCTGGAGAACAAGGAGAATCTGCTGAATACGATATTAATCTTAAAGGTGATAAAGGATTCAAAGGAGAACGAGGAGATCCTGGTAAGTTGAAAAATATTCAGAATTTATATTAAATTTTTACAAGTACTCTTTATGACAAGAAGTCAACAACCACAGTATACATATTGTAGTACACTATTTAGCTAACCTCATACAAATGATGACTTTGAGAACAAAATTGCAAATTTAAAAAAATATCATCTTATATCACTTAGACGTAACAGCAACGCTACTATCTTTTGCTGGTGGTATACTTATAATAAAACAACATGAAAATAAAATACAAACAAAATTTTCACAGGCTATGATGGACTCAAAGGCTGGCCTGGTCCTACTGGAGATGAAGGTTGGCCTGGTGCTCCAGGGCTACAAGGCTCTCCTGGTATATCTTTACAAGGTGCACCAGGATTGAAAGGATATGCTGGAATACCTGGTGATCAAGGGCCTCGTGGTTCTGCCGGAAAACCAGGACCTACAGGTCCACCAGGCTTTGCTGTAAGTAACGAAAAAAAAATTCAATTCTGTTATTCAAACGTAAATACGATTAAAATATGATAATTTTATGCAATCATCATTATTAGGGTGCCCCAGGCACAAAAGGAGATCGAGGAGATATGGGAACGAATCTATTATACGGAGAAATCGGAGAGCGTGGTAGAAAAGGTGAAAAAGGTGACTACGGAGAAGAAGGACCTCAAGGACGTAGAGGAAATCCTGGTGATGGTGGTCCCAAGGGAAATAAAGGAGCTAAAGGCGCACCTGGTTTTGAAGGACTTCCGGGACTTGAAGTAAATTTATTAATCTTTCAATTTATGAAATTTCTCATGAAAATTACACTTGTTTATTTTTCAAGTTATTGATCAATGTTAAAAATAATTTAAAGAACTACGATTACTTCTACATATTATTTAAAAAAATTTTATCTTTACAGGGTGCAAAAGGAGTTCGAGGTGATTCCATTCAAGGACCTCGTGGCTATCCCGGAAGTCCAGGTCTTCCTGGAAGTCCTGGAATGCTTGGTAATATTGGACTTAGTGGTGCTGATGGACCTCCTGGATATGAAGGAATGAAAGGATTGAAAGGAGAAATTGGAAATATTGGTCGTCGAGGTGAAGATGGTGATATTGGACCTCAAGGGTAAAGAATTTTATAGTTATTTTTTTTGTGAGATTTAAAAAAAAATTCTAATAACTAATTGATCCATTATATATTATAGGTACCCTGGAATGTTTGGAATGCCTGGACTGCCAGGGCGTCCCGGTGAAGAAGGTGATGACGGAGAAATTGGTGAACCTGGTCCACCTGGTTGGCCAGGATTAGATGGTATTCCTGGACTACCAGGTTTTAAAGGAGAAAGAGGAGATATTGGATTTCCAGGCGTATCAGGTCCTGTTGGACCTCCAGGATTACCTGGAATAGCAGGAGACGTCGGTTACGATGGATTACCAGGAGAACCGGGTGAAAATGCTTTTAGTGGTCCTCAAGGAGATATGGGAGAACCTGGATTTATGGGAGAAGTAGGAATACCAGGAAGACCAGGTTTTGATGGACGACCTGGACTTCCTGGAGAGCCTGGATTAGATTCTACTGGATTTGATGGCTTAACTGGGCCAAAAGGTGAACCTGGTTGGAATGGAATCGATGGAAGACCAGGTCCAAAGGGAGAAATAGGAGATATCGGACCTGATGGATTTAAAGGGGAACGAGGTGATGATGGTGCTCCTGGTAGATCAGGTGCTCCGGGTATACCTGGAAGAACAGGAGAAAAAGGAGAGCGAGGGCAAATGGGTGTAGCTGGCTTTGATGGGCTTAAAGGAAAACGTGGATTTGATGGAGACCCAGGATCCATGGGTCGACCAGGTAATCCGGGAGATCCAGGTCCACGTGGATTCCCTGGTCTTCCTGGACTTCATGGGCCTAAAGGAGAAGTGGGTGACATTGGATTAACTCCGTACGCTGAAGCTACTAAAGGGGAAGTTGGTGATATTGGTTTTCATGGATTACGTGGAAGAAAAGGAGAACAAGGTGATATGGGATCACCTGGTTATCCAGGTCGTAAGGTAACATAAATATTTTTATAATTAATCTATCAAAACGATGAAGAATGAAAACAAGTGTGAATGAATAAAAAATATTTTTAGGGAGTTCGTGGTGATGATGGATATCCTGGCCCCGATGGATTTCCTGGATTGGAAGGATTACCAGGGTTGCCTGGTGACCGGGGATTGCCTGGGGCTCCAGGTTTACCAGGACAATTTGCTGAACGTGGAGAACCAGGTATGGCAGGTCTTGATGGACAACCAGGAATTCCAGGACGACCAGGACAAAAAGGAGCACCTGGTGAATATGGTCCTGATGGACCAAAAGGTATTCAAGGCGATGCAGGCAGAAGTATTCCTGGACCAAAAGGTGAAAAAGGAAATTTAGGACCACGTGGATTTGAAGGTCGTCCAGGTAAAGTTTTACAAGAGTTTAATCTATCAAATAAATCTACAAAATACTTAGTATCATAACTAAATTCATAATATTAATAATATTTGTTTCATTAGGAGCACCAGGTTTACCTGGCTTACCAGGGTTCCCTGGACCTGATGGTCCAAAAGGTTTTAGAGGAGAAATAGGTTATGCACGTTATGCTCCGAAAGGTGAACAAGGAGATATTGGTTACCCTGGACGTGATGGTCGACATGGAGCTAAAGGAGAAATTGGTGATTCTGGAAGACCAGGATTACCTGGATACCCTGGCTTAAAGGGAGAGAGAGGAATTCCAGGAGAACCAGGGTTACCTGGAGTACAAGGACCTGAAGGACCTCAAGTATGTATAAAATCTATCATATCAATTTTCATTAAAATATTACAAATTCATAAATTTATTACATGTCTATAATTGTGAATAGGGACCTAAAGGAGATCCAGGAATCAATCCTTACCCACCATTCCCGCGAAAAGGACCCATTGGTGATCCTGGTCTACCCGGTTTACCAGGTAAATATTTGTAAATATGTTTTATGTTCACTGATTTGTTTCTATACGATGCAATGATTGATGAAATAAAAAATTTTTATAATCTTCAAGGATACCCTGGAACACCAGGAGTCATGGGAATGCCAGGTTTAGATGGATTACCTGGTCTTGAAGGAGAAAGAGGAGAAAATGGTTTACCAGGACTTCCAGGTCCTGATGGACAAGATGGTTTACCTGGACGTCAAGGAGCACGTGGAGAAATAGGTCGCCAGGGAGCACCAGGGTATGCTGGAATAAGAGGAGATGATGCTTTACCTGCTCCACCTCCAAGAAGTCGTGGTTTCCACTTTGCCAGACATTCACAAACAGAAATGATTCCACTCTGCCCACGAGGGACAACCAAATTATGGGATGGATTCTCCCTGTTGCACATTATGGGTAATGGTCATCCTTGGGGACAAGATTTAGGTGAGTTCATATCTTCATTCTTTCTTTATTACATAATTCTCTCAATTCAATCAAATAATTTTGTTTTGTTCTAAAAATAGGTTCCCCGGGCAGTTGTGTCATGAAATTCTCTACAATGCCTTTCCTATTCTGCAATTTAAATAATGTTTGCGATTACGCTCAACGTAACGATTATAGCTATTGGCTAAGTTCAACAGAGCCAATGCCAATGATGATGACTCCGATTCCTGCACCCGAAGCTGGAAGATATATATCTAGATGTTCAGTTTGTGAAGCTTCAACTAGAATGATTGCAGTACACAGTCAATCCATGACAATACCTGAGTGTCCTGGAGGCTGGGATGAAGCGTGGATTGGTTACAGTTTTCTAATGGTAAATAAAAATTAATTCATCAATCTAAAGTTTTTTTGTTTACTGTAAAAATAAAAATTACATGAAATAGTTGATGAAGTTTGCAATGAAGCAAATTGATACTGAATAAGTGATAAGTTCCAAAATGTGAAAAAAAACTGTTTAAATTTATAGCATCGTGATTCTGGATCAGCTGGTGGTGGACAATCATTAATTTCTCCAGGATCATGTCTTGAAGAATTCCGTACTCGACCATTTATTGAATGCCGTGGTTTGGGTACTTGTAATTACTTCTCAACTGCAATATCTTACTGGCTAGCAACAATCGAGAATCATGAGATGTTTAGAAAACCTCAACAACAGACTCTTAAGGCCGATCATACATCGAGAGTTAGTAGATGTGCTGTCTGTATTCGACGGCAAATCACAGAAAACAATAATAGTAGACTTAGACCATTCACATCACATGGAACAAGTCATGTACCTCCACCGGAACGTGAGAGGTATCCACCGACGATAAATAATTCTCAGCCAATTCAACGTACACCACCTGATTGGCAGCAACGCCGACGACAACCGATAAGAGATAGTAGAATTACCTCAGGTCGTGTTCCTCCTCAATACCGTAGGAGAGGTCGAATACGTAAGCCAGAACAATCAAATGAAGTCATATATTAACGTAATACTAGATTTAACGCATTTAAAAATAAATTGAATAAATATGTTAATTAATTATTAACTATCTATGTATATATAATTAAAATTTTTATAATAACTAATATTCACGAATAATTTTTATGAATCTATCAACATTAAATGTCACATTGTGACACATAATTCATGCGTTAACTTCTAGAATTTATATATATAATATAAGTCATAGAAAGTAAACCTAAATGCTATTTTAAAATACTAAATATTTGTTTTTTATTCAATTAAAATACTGCCAAATATATTATATTAAAATTGATTATAATGATTTGGTTTTCATTTTTTATTATTTTACTGTTTATCAATTGATTTTTATGTTCAACAATAAATAGTAAAGAATCCACTAAAAGGATTACATTTTATGGTATTGTAATATAATAATATACGCTTTAGTGTTGATAAGTTGTTATTTGAATTACTTTTTTATTCCTTCTTCAAATAAATATCATTTCAATTTAATCAACTGTTCATACTAAGAAAAGAGATAGAATAAATCGAAATTTAGCGCCAACTCAATTTCTTGCTGCGGTAGATAATGCAGTGTTGTACAGTATCATTAATTGGTAATATTGACTGTAAATAACATAAAGTTCTGCAATTGGCGCTAGTGTTGATTTCTCAAGCGGCGCTGATATCGCGCAGTCGGAAGGCTTGGCGACGCCACGCAAGGCAACCTCTCCAAGTTTAGTTCCGCCATATCGGTGTCCCGCTCGTTGTTGTGACGCGACGCTTTACCGACGCTCGGCGTCGTTTTTCTATTTATGTATTGTCTGATAACATAACGTAAATAATACATTTGTGTCTGGATAAAACATTAAACGAAGTAAAAATGGAAAATAGACCTGCTCCATTACGTTCAAGACGTGTATGTCGATTCTGCCTAACGGAGAATGAACCACTCAACTTCATCTACGAGAGGGATCCTAGCAAGCCCTTCCAAGTGCCGCTTACCCTCCAAATAATGTCTTGTGTAGCCATTGAGGTAAAATAAAAAAATTTATTGTTATCATTATCATAATTTTTATCTATATTCGATTGCATCAGATTTTTGATTCTCAACGGAAAATCACGTTTATCAAAATCAGCAATTTGGTAATATAATTGATGTAGGAGCAATCGGCGAAGTAGAAGCAAGTCGTCAATAAGTATCGAGCGGTGTTGATAAAGAAGTTTTCTCGGTTACTTTATAAGCAAATATTACTCTAAAACAGCTATTCACTACACTAACACTCAATAAAACATCATTAACGTTATTTTACATGTATTGATATTCTGGCGGGAAGAAATAGTTATGATATTATATTCACTAATGATATTATGTTACATACTTGGAATCTTACTTCATACTTATATATTTATTTTTATTTCCAAAGGTTTATTCAGCTGATGGGATGCCACAAATGATTTGCAATTATTGTCGTTGGAATTTGGATCGCTCATATAAATTCAAGCAACAATGTAAAAAAGCTGATGAAGCTTTAAGAGCATATCCAGCAACTGGTGTATTACCTAGACCTTTTCCACCAATCACTAATGATTCAACTAATGAAAGCGGAAAACGTACATTAGAGCAAAGAGGTCAAGACCAGATAAAAAAGGTGAGAGTTGATAATGGAGACCGAGAGCGAAGAGAGCGTGAACGACAGGACTCATCAAGCATTAAATCAGATCGCAATGATTACTATAAAGAAGAAATGTCTCATCCTGATTCTGAAGGTGATGAAGAAACTGATGATAAAGATGGTAGAAAATTGGAACCTGGTGAAATAAGAGTACATGCTTGCGATCAATGCGATAGAACGTTTCCTCTTAAACAAGCTCTCCAACTTCATATTCAGAGTGCTCATCGTGATCGTAATTTCAAATGTACTGAATGTGAACGCATGTTTTTCTCCAAGTATGATTTACAGAAGCATATGAGTACTCATTCTGAAGAGAAACCTTATTCTTGTACAATTTGCAATAAAAAATTCACTCGAGCTAACTTACTTCAACGTCACGAAAAGATTCATCGTGAAGATTTACGCTATAGTTGCCAACATTGTGATCGAGAATTCTTTACTCGTGAGGAATTGGAAAAACATGAAGATACATCACATAAAACAACTAAACCATATCAATGTAATATTTGCAGCAAACGTTTTACTTACAAACAAGGCCTAGAACGTCATGAAATGCTCCATGCTGAAGACAAGACATTTACTTGTGAATACTGTAAAGAAGCTTTCAGAACAAGCACTAAATTAGCTCGTCATCTGCAAACTCATGCTGGACATCGCCCTTATCTTTGTAAACTTTGTCCACGTGACTTTTTGCTCTCTCATCATCTGACTCGTCATATGCGTACCCACTCTGTCGAGAAACGTCATGTCTGTGAAGAGTGTGGTAAAGCATTCAAACGAAAAGAGAGCCTAGAAGTTCATCATCTAACGCATAGCAAACGTACAGGTATGGGTTTAACATGTCCTGTATGTCAAGAGTCTTGTCGCAATCGTGCTGATTATGTGACTCACATGAAACAGCATATTGAAGCTGGAGAAAAAATGGGACCAGATGGTTTATCTCCAGATAGCAAGGACAAACTTGAATCTGAATCCGAAGAAGAAGAGGAAGAAGAACAATTTTCTGATGGTGATGATGACTATGAGCCACCTGCATCACTTGCTAGAAAATATCAAAAGCCAATAAAGAGACAGCCCGAAGAGAGTGAAGAAGATCCAGAGCGAGCTGAGAAAGAAGAACGCAAAGAACAGGTTGTATTTGTTCGTGGAAAGGACGGACAGATAATCAAGAAAACCATAAAAACTTTGATGCCAATACAACGTCGCGATGTGTCGGAGACTAGAACTGCAACTAAAACCAGTCCTACTTCATCAGCGGTCAAGGTGCAGCATGTAAAACAAGAAGAGACATCAAAAAATCGTGTTGATGACACTGAAGCAGAGGTACAGAAGATTGTTGCATCTGTTTTTGAAGAACATAAAATTCCATTACAACATGTTAACATTCCACAGGAACAAGGCAAAGATATGCAGACTTTACGTCCACGAGCAGCCGTCAAGGAGGAAAAAATCGAACCAGGAACTCCAGTCACCGCTAAATCAGTGAATACTTCTACAAAGGTAATAAAACGTATTGTTGTTAAAAAGCCAGCGACAGGAAGTACTGAGACCTCAACAACTGTATCGGTAAAAGACACTGAAACCGTCAAGGCTAATTCTACTAATGCTAAGGTAAAGAAAAGAATTATTGTACGTAGAACTATTCGGCAAGGTGATGTTACGCGAGAAATAATCATGAATCCTGATGGAACGGAAATCGATCCATCGGAGCTTGCTAAACTACCAAAGGGGAATGTAGTTAAACGAGTGGTGGTCAAAAAGCCAGTTGAAAAGAATGTAGTCCAAGTGCTTCAGTCTTCTACAGAACAACATGCAACTGTATCCGAAACACCTAAATTTGAGTTAAAAACTTCGCAATCAACTGTAAATGACAAAACGGCAATTCTAGAGAAAGCAGAAATTAAAACATTATCAATAGGAGATCAAGAAACGAAAGAAAAATTAGAACAATTAGAGAAACGTGTTGAACAACAACGCTTAAAGATAGAAGAATTGCAAGCTAGAAAACAACAGCAAGAGTATGAACCTATTGATGACATGCTACCAGAACGACATGATTCTGAAGATGAGCAAGAATTACCTCTTAAACGAGTATTTGTAAAAAGAAAACAAAGCATTTATGATGAAGAACGAGAGTATAACGACACTGACATTAAAACGGAAATAAAAGTAGTTGAAAAATCGATTGAAAAAAAGGAACCTATTAAAGAAACTACTTGCTCCAAAACAGAAGCAACAGCAACACCTGTAACAGTAGCAGAATCAACAATAGTAACACCAATAATAGCAGTTGTAACAGAAGAAGAACCATCGGAAGTTGAACAAATGAGTCGAGAGTTGAGTAGTATTTTAGATACTGCTGATAATGTTGCAAAGATACAAGAGAATGTTCTTAGTAATTTATCGGAAATTTCTGGAATTGAATCGAATAATCAAGAAGAAGAAAAAACTAAAGTTGAGAGTATAGAAAAACAAGTAGAAGAGCCACCAGCAAAAGTAGAAGAAAAGAAAGTAGTTGATGATAAAAGCGTTAAAGAAAAAGTTAAACCTAAACCTATAGTAAAAAAAACTACTGATGAAGAGATGAAAATGGAAGTTGACGAAGTTGTACAGAATGAAACCACACCTAAGGAAGCAGTTGAACCACCTGTAGCACTTGAACAACCAGAACTAAATGAATCGACAGATATTTTTGAAGCTTCAGATTCTCCAATTCAGAAATCCACTCAAAATCTCGAAGACTCAGTAATAGCATTATCTCAAGCGAATGATACGATAAATTTGAATGATACGAATGATAGTCAAGATAGTTTAGAAGACAAGCTTTCGCAAATGGAAGGTTAATTCAAATTGGATCATTCATAATTGAAATCATTACTTCATTGTATACTTTTAATTTTTTTATCTACAAAAGCAATTATCAATTGACTTGATTTTTATTATGTATCAAAATATGTAATCATAAAAAATAAGTCTAGGAATGGGTTGATGTGATAAGCTCTATCCAATATTTTCATATATTTATGACATCCATGAGCTTATGAAAACTTTTTGGTAATTATTTTACTTTGAATTTTCAGAATACTTATATCTTATGACTAACTCTATACATTATAAATAAATTAATTCCTGTAAGAAGTATAATTGTACTTCATCAATATATATATTGTAGCATAATACAAATATTTGATGCACTTACCAAACAAAATAAAAAAAATTTGAAAAAAATATACATTATTGTATATATTAAATAAATAGTCAATTATTTCCTCTCATTTTCTATAGATAATAATGATATTAATTTTTTTCTAGCTAAATCAATTACTTCTCTCCACCTTGACGTAAAAAATAATAATTTTTCCACTTATTGTTAAGAAATAATTTCACAGTATAAGAATGGTATGTAGAAATATTATTGCTTTATTATTAATACATTTTGAATAGTAAACATTCTTCAAAGAATATTACATTTGTATATATATATATATATATATATATATATATAATTCAGTCATTTTATATACAACAAGAGATGACAAATATAAAAATAATATGGGGTTGATGGCAGAATTATTTTCATTTTATATCAAGTTTATAAATGGAATTTTTTTTTCAAGTTTTGAATAATTAATAAGTGTATAAAAATACCAATAGCAAATTACAATAAAATAAAAGAACAATTAATGTCAATTAATTAAAGAAAATACAATAGGTATTTAAAAATCAACCCAATAACAATGAATCAGATAAAATAATGGTTACATATAATGTTGTAAATAGTGAACATAATAAGTTTTAATGTAATGAATAAATGATTCACCATGAGTATTAACTGATGAGATTAAACAGGATGTGCTTCCTTTCTAGTAGTGGTAAGTCTGTGAAGCTGAAAATCAGTAACAAAACTATTTTCCTTGTTCTGACTCAACAGTGATATACAAACAACGTTTAAGTCTCTCTTACAAATTAAGTTTTATGATACTTGATGTACTTTTCATTCAAAGTTTTACCTCCTTTTCTTCTGTAGCAACTGATGAATAAGTTTTTTGCTCTGGGACCTTTGCTGGTCCTAGAGCATGTATATAAATTAGTCCTCCAGCCATTCCACCGAGAATTGGACCAACCCAGTAGAGCCAATGATTTTCAAAGTTTCCCATGACTACAGAACTTCCCAGAGAGCGAGCTGGATTCATTCCAGCACCGGTTCTTGGTACCTGGATTACCATAAACGTGCAATTATGTTGTATCTTACAAAGTCGTATCCTTTGTTTCAAATCTTATTGATACTTTACATAACTATCTTTCTCGGTAAATTATTATTTTTTCATTAAATAAAAATATTTCTCTATTAGAATATTGAAAAATTTATTAATAAATTTAATACTTACTCCAACTAAATGGCTGAGAGTAACAGTAAGACCAATAATTAATGGAGCAATACCCTTGCTTTCAATTTTAGCATCATCACAGGCTCCACAAACGACAAGAACTAAAATAAGAGCTAAAAAAAATTCAACTCCTAGACCTTGAACTGGTGAAACATGAGGTGCTAGTGATACTACTCCAATAAAACCTTCCATTTCTTCTGGCGATAATGCACGAATCATTGCGGAGCCAGCTATTGCTCCAGCACTTTGAGCTAGTACATATAAAACAGCTCGCAAGATTGATACCTACATTTAACAAATTACCACAAATTGATATCTTTTTATTTATAATAATTATATCATTAATTATCTTCATCTTTTTAATTCCCTATAAAAGTGGAAAAAAAATTACTTTTCCAATTGCAGCCAGACCAAAAGTAACTGCTGGATTTATATGTCCTCCAGATACATGTCCAATTCCTTGCACAGCTCCAGTAACTGCTAAACCAAATGCTAACGCAATGGCCACTACATTTTGTGTAATAACAGCTCCACATCCAAAGAAATTTAACAACATTGTTCCAAAAAATTCTGCTATTAATGCTCTCCATAATCCTGCCTTCTTATCAGTGAGTTCATGTGCTCCAAGAACTGATTTTAAATTAGCCATTTCTAAAATAAAAAAAGTTTTTTTTCTTCATATTATTTTTTTCGAAATTTCAAACAATCAAATCAGTTACCTTTTATTAGAATTTATTAAATTACTTCAAGTTTTTTATTGAATTTCACTGGATAATTAAAATGACTTCGCCTATTCTATATGTCTCCAATCAAATTGTGATGTTTAATCATCAGCAGTGTAGTCCTTGAACCCTTAAAGCAAATTAACAGACTGTTATTATAATCCTAAAGCTCATAAAAAATATAATATCAATAACTAAAATAGGAGTGGCAAATTTAATGTCTTTAAATAATGAGTTTTATGATATTGATGGATCTAAAATAATATACCCACATATGTGCACAGTGATATTATTTTATTCACATAAAGGAGTGTCATATATAATCTTATTATTTAAAAAGTTTTTTGATAAACTATTAATATTGTCAATGAAAAAATATAATAAAAATATGAACGACCTATAGACGATTAGCGGGTTGTTCATTTACGTTTCTAATTTAGATCGAGGGCAGCAATACAGTAGGAGTTTTAGAGAGAAAGAGGAACATATCGCGAACTGAATGTCGCTCTCTTTAAATCTTCTCGAAGGCTAGAGATCATGAAGATCATCATTACTTATAATTCTATTGTCGTATACCTTTTTTCAATTATTTAATCATCACAAATTCTTCTTACCTATTCGAGTTAATCATCACCCACGTTCTAAGCTTTTCACACTTATTAATAGATTTTATAATTTTCTATTTAACTTTTTTTTTTATTTTTCTATAATATTATTTAATATCTATCATTAACACTAATTTTAACAATGAAAATATTTACTGTAATTAAATATTTTTCTCTTAATCTCTTTATCTAATAACATACACTATAAAGTTGCTTGTTGATTAAGTTGGATTTTATATTTCTTTGTAACTAAAACATCTGCTAGTCTACTTTTTAAATTGTTTGCAAAGCCATTAGATTACAATAATGAAGTCGACATACAATAATAGTAAATAAGACATATCAACGTAAGAAAATTTTTTAGATCACTCTCAGATATTATTAATCATTAATTTTTTTTGTTTGACTATTCAGTAAGAAATGGTGTAGCTTGTCAGAGAAAATGACAGTATTTAATTTAATTGCAGTTACAGTTAAATTTGAGTCTTTAGTAGATCACATAAACCTCTTATGGTGAACGATCGATCTCTCTTTGGATTACTTTTCTATTTTATCTTATAGTACTCATAAACAACAACCAGTGAGTATTCAATATACAATAAGACATTTCTTTGACTTCTACTTGTTGCATCAAGTGCTTTCCCATTACTTTAAAAATCCGGTCTATTTCTTAATCAATTCTGATATTCTAAAAGAAATAACTTCAATTTTTTGTCATCATGACAAAAACTTAGCAATATTAAGTCATTGAAGCTTGAAAAAAACTTATCAAATGAACTTACCGTTTCAGTTTGTTTAAACGATACTGTTGATTAATGGATTTATTACACAAATTAATCGAAAAGATTTATGATGAATAATGATGGCAATGTTCATGCAAATGTATGCAAGAATCACTAGTATATAAAATATTGATTGTTGTTAAGACAATAATTATATTTGTAAACAAAAGTATACCGGTTCACTTTTAGACTTTGACATCAATAGCAACAGCCTCACGTAGAGCTTCCTGAGCAACAACTGGGCTGTGTTTTCACGACAAGCTATCTCATATACGTGTCTCGTCAGTACAGTAGACTTGGAGGTTTTTACTGCGGTAACTCAACCACCAAGAGAAGGGAGGGAGCCTTCAGATTAGAATTATTCTTACCAATATATATTTTTTATAAACCAACAGTTGTATAATTTGGTTAAAATAACCATGAATTTATATTTTTTATTATCAATGCCATAATTTGAAAAAGATTTAGTGATTAAATAAGTAAATATTAATTGAGAATATTTCTTATCTTTTTTTTAAGAAGATCAAAGTAAAATAATGTAATAAACTGAAAAAAATCCAATTTTTTTAATATCTTCCTCTTCATTTCTATAAAATAAAACAAATATCCTTATACCAATTTCTTTTGCTACTTTTTAAACGTATTCATAGATTTCTTTGATCTATTGAATAATTGGGTCCTGTTATCATTTAAATTTATCTGATTTTAAATAGATTTTACTTCCTCATTCTAATAATCAATGTATCTGTTTAATGTTCATACCTTTCTCAGTATTTTCAGTGGCACTTATTGAAACAATAATTATAATAATTGACTTGTGATGAACAATTGAAGAATTTTTACACTTGAAAAGGTTTTGAAGCTGTTACAAGATATTGTGTAAGTATTTTTTATAGTTTCTGAATAATTTACTTATTATATTTCCATCAATCTGCTTGCATTTAAAAGGCGATTATTCTCTTTAGAATTGCAAGACAGATTCCAAGTCATTAACTGAAAATTATAAGAGTGAAGCTGCAAGTGATCAAATGTTATTCTGTTTAAAATCACAACTCTGGCCTCGTGATAGTTTGAATGAAACCAGACGTAAGTCATCAGACTCATATAATTCTTTTCTACATTCTTATCAACTGGGTACTGGAGTTTATCAAACTCTTTTGAAGTAGGAAATCCTCGAAATTCATTTACAATATTTTAATAATTAGCTACTTCAAAATGTTAAATCTGCCTTACTATTTATTATTCATAACTATATTCTAACTTTTATAAAATCATTATTTATATTTTTTCCAATTCAGTAAAAAAAGAATAAGTCATATCAATAATGCATCCACTAATGGGAGGAAAAAATTGTTTTACATTTTCTATTGACTTTTATATTGATGAAAATTAATCAATATTTAATGATTAAAAAATTTATTTATCTTCGCTTAGATCATTAAACAAGTTGTTCATTAATGCATCAACTTTGAATGCATTTTAAATATAAATATTTTTTTTTCAATATGTAATTATTATTAGTTAACTAATTTTTCTAAAATGTTATCAATTTTTTAAATATGTTAGTAAGCTTTATTTACTCTGTATAAGTTATTTTATCAGTAAATATATAGTACTGCTTTACACATAAGAAAGTGTTGATAGTAAATTTAAATTAGAACAAGATTAGTATAATATAATTCAATTGAACAAAGCAAAACTTTAATGTTGTGAATGTTGTTTTTAAACGTATGATTGAATCAATGATGAATAACAGTTAAAAAATGTATTAACTCTTCATAAGTATCCATATGATCTCATGAGAACGAAATATGAATAAATTAATTAAATGTCTTCGGTATTCATAATAACAAAAATATTTGTTAGCATTAAAATCCAATAAAAATTAGAAGGTTAAATAGTCACTAAAGGTAAGACAATTTTTTTCGAGAAATCAACAAAAATGTTTACCTTTCTGAAAGTCTGAACTCACATTTACAAATTGAATTTCTTGGCTTTGTCATCAATCAAATTAATAACAGCGTGTAAATTCCTTAATCACATGTGAAAAAAGTTTTAATATGAATAATTTTACAAATCGTTTATATTCTCATCCAAGTAATATCTCTCAATTCATCTGAAGTAAATTTTCATCTTCCACTAGAAAAAAAAAAGAAAAATTATAAACATAAAAATTTATCCTATTGATATTATTTCATTCTACACAAATCTCATGACAATAGTTGTCATTTTTTATTATTAGCACGCAATGTTTCTGTAAACAGCTATCTTTTTCTAATTCTTTCATTGTTATAGTTGTGAATATATAACAATAAAGTCACGATCATATCGACCTACCATAGATACACCAATCATTATAATAAAAATTAACTAATAGAATCAATATTTCTGTTCTAGCTCTACTTCATTCCATTGGCGTTAAACAGGATATTCCTCGTAATATTCAATTAATTCAGAAACTACAAAAGCAACCTTGAAAATAGAATAGACCAAGAGGCTGAAGAAACGAGTACAATGTTGTCTAGATATATAGAAAAGCTCGACCTAAAATGCAAATATTCTGTGGCTCTTATTATCTTGATTCACGCTGTCCGGCAATAAATTACTAAAGCACAGGAAGTCACTGCAATTAGTTTATTGTCGATTTTTTATATCAAACCTTAATGAATATATATTTATGCAGTGAGTAAAATCCAAGAACATAAGTTAGAACAAGAACAAATCATGCTAGGCTTTTCGAAACTATCATATTTAAAAAAAGAAGACAACAGATAATATTTTTTACTTGACAGATGATAATCTAACACGTGGGTGATCGTCACGCACTTGTATTTCAATCGCGATATTGACAATGAGAACCCTGTGTCAAGGCCTATTTATGGTATGTACATGTGCTTTCCAGGTAACATTAGATACATAACACACATGGTTGTCAGTCTACTATGAACTTCAATGCTCTAGTCACCTTTTACAAACAGTGCACTTGTGCAATTTTTCAACTTTCAAACATTCATGTCAAAGTTTCACAATTTTTATATCATTTTTAGAGAGATACAATGACTTAGCAAATAGTCAAATAAAACATAAAATTTAATAGTGTTATCTTTATTATGAACAAATTTTGGAAGTGAAAAAAAAGAGTGATTTAAGGTGATGAACTGACGTGTAATGTGCTAGTAGTTAAGAGGGCTGGTGGTCAGAAATTCGTAAAGGAATGCAGCGGGTTCCTACAGCCCACAAACAAAACTACTATCTACAACTTTGGCGTCAGTTTTTCTCTGATTCATTACTCCATCACCAGCCAACGAAACGACAACCTACTAATACTGTAAGTTTTTTATTATTTAATATGGCTAATCATGACATAATTAATCATTTACTTTATAGACTTTACTTTATAGACTCATTATTGTTTTTCATTCAGACAATTTGCGATTAGATTGTCAATAAAAAAATTAACCGATTTAAACGGAAGATATTTATGATTAAATTAATAAAAGACTATCAAATAATTTAATTTGATTGAAAAAAATTATTATTAATTTTTTTTAAAGAATTTTATTCCGACAATGAACGTTTCAACAGTAGTTCCAATTACAAGTAGTCCAATCAGAGGATCTATTAGTGATCAAGAGGATGCACGCTCCTATAAAGCACGTAAGTTTTTTGATTGAAAATACACATTAATTAACTGTTTTTTATCTGCTGCCTTCATTAAGTCCATTAAACATATTACTTACGTGACATATTGAAGAAAACACATTCATTCCAAGTCCTCGTGTAATTACAAATATACATATATAGATTTTTAGACAATTATTTACTAGTCGAAAATTACTCTTCATTACAGCTATTATCACGTAGATCTTGTTATTTTCTCTTTTCTTGTGACCAAGGTTTCATTCAATTTACCTATTTTTAAATATTTTTTTCTATCGATTGATGAACCTCTCCACCTTTTTATATAGTATGTAAATACAAATGCTCGAATCACGAAACTCTAATGTTATACAATTATTAAAGAACAATTACATTATAAATTTTCAATACCTGTAAAAGGGTTGATATTTAACTGGAATGTTAAGCTGTTAACATTTACTTTTTTTCATAATAAATTGTCAATAATTGTAATTTGACTTTACAATTTACACTAGAACATGATTAATGATATTTAAATATCTCATGAATAAAATATGTATAATAATATTTTAAAACAAATAAATGCGCATTATTATATTTAAATTGACTTATTTTATCTTGAAATACAAAATTATTTATTACTTTATGGAATATTATTACAAGTTTAATTAAAAAGATGTTTGATAGTATGATAAATAATTATCGTACAAGTAGAAAATTTTTTTTATGTGTAACCTTAAAAAAATTCTCAGAAAAAATTTACATTTAGCAAGATATTCGAGATTTCGATTGACTTATTCAGAGAGATAGAGCAGAAAGAGCGAGAAAAAGAATAATGTTGCAAGTTTATTACCTAGAATAATGATTCTTGTGATTTGATACATACTAAGTATTTATCTATAACCATATATGCATGGACACACATGATGTAATTCATAAAAAATATCTAAAGTTTTGTTATTTCTCTATTGTTTTCATTTTTCGCTTGCTACAAGTAAAAATAGTTGCAGATTTACGTAATAGCCGGCGCTTTTGTTAAGCTATAATTTACTGCAGCGTTTCAATTTTAATTTCTACAGTTATACTGAAGATGTATTAACAACATTTTATGATTGCCATTACAACAATAGGATAATAAAAATTATTAATTTAAAAAAAATTGTTGAAAGATATAACATTGCAATTCTAAAAACAAACAAATTGTTACTCAATTTTAAAATATTTTAATAAAGTGTTTATTTCAGTCTTCAAAAGTGATTTTCATTCAATAATTGTTTGAGAATACGCTCGAAATTGAATGGTATTTAATTTATTTATAGCTTCAAAATAGTGTTTAATATTCATATTTACCTCATCAGTAAAGATTCCGTGTGTTGTATGTAATTAACGAAACGATCATGTCGTTGATTCATCCATAATGATTTTAAAAGAATCTGCAAAAAATTTTTCCGTCTCGTAATACAATATCAAAGTGATTTTCCACGACCTTCTGGAATTACAACTGAGTTTGAATCTTAATGATAGACTTCAAACTACAACAGATTATAAGATTACAATTTCATTATTACCTCTTCGTTTCCTTGGAGCTAAATAAAATAATTCATTTATTCGCATAAACATTATTATTCGCATGCTTTACTTGCTTAAATTCAAGATAACAGAACTTGACTATTATGTCTTACCATCATTTTTTCAACTTCTATTGTCTTCCTCACTAGTAATTAAAAATCGTGACTTTTACTGAAAAAATAAAATTATTTTATAATTACCACATTGTCTCTTAGATCCAATTAGTGTGATATAGGATTAAATTTTATTGATACTTGTTTATTTAGTTATTAGTAAATTCTAATTTAAATCATTTGTATTAGCTGCACGAAAAGACATATCGAATGGAAAAACGTAGAATGTTAAGAATGAATCACTTTGATTATTGTAATTATTAAATTATCAATGAATTTTCGAAAAATATTATTATTACGAATTATGAAATTAAGAAATGAATTATGTGAGAGATATTTGTAAAAATATTATTCATGTAAAAATGATCAAATTACATATTTGATGAACAATTCATCCAACACAGGTAATTGCAAGTGATGTTGCTAAAAATGATTCCCCTTTTAATTATTCTTCATCTAACATCATAGACCTGTGTTTAACCCATGTAAATCTATGTATTCACACGAACGACCCTGACTAGAATGATTAACTTTACCTATATACAAATAAACAAATACATAAATAAATGCTTTCCAATATAAAATATTTACTATTAGCTCATTGATAGTTTATTTTACTACACACTCATCTTTAAAAACATTCTTGTATTTGCCAACACAGAATATTAATTTTTAACACAATAATGGATCTTATCAATTGATATTCTATTATTTTTTTAAAAATAGTTTACCTTCGAAATGATTACGTTTTTTATTGAGCATTCAATTTTATTGAAATGTTACTAAACAGTTGGATTATTAAATAACAGTAACAATATAAACTAGTACTTGTTTCTTCAATCGTCAGTACTTAATGGCTTTCCTCCAGTGCTTCACAGGTGGTCGAATTATAGAATACTGATCGACGATATATTTTATATTGTACCTTTTTTCTAACACAAGGTTATCCTTATTGTTTGCACAATCAACCAATGTATACTTAATATGTCTGCTATTGTTATGTAGTAAAGTCTGCCTGTGTTATCATATATAAATTAGCTCTCTGAGATGCAAGTAAAATAACATTAACCGGGTTAAAAATGCTGGTGTATAATTATTTGTCAATGCTACTATGTACCAACATATCATGATAGCACAAGTGTTAAAATATTCATTTTTTTTTACTTCATGAATACTTTATTCCTTTAATAATGTTTATATGATGATATAAATCGTTTTTCACACGATTATTCAGTGTTGTATCTTCACAGATTTATAGAAATCTACAGAACACATTTTTGATTTTATTTAGTAACCCAAAGTGTCATGGAGAGTTATTGAGTGAGTTTATGAATTTATTCATTGATAATAATTATGCTTGAATAAGTACACAAAATAGGGAAAAATTGGTTAAGTGGGTGGTATGAGGGCCATCAGAGATAAAGTTAAACAGAAAATAAGAGTTGAGAATACTTTGAAATGTGAACGGAGAGGGGACGAAAGTGAGACATTAAGAGGGGATGTATACCGATATATGAAGGCGAAACTGCGGGTCGCGCACTCAATAACCCAACATTACCCTTTCATGTAATAAGAATTTATTAGTGATAATTAAAAACATTGTCATTAAAAATTTGGTGTTGTCCACTTGAATAATTGATATAAAATGAGCAAATCGTGGCAAGGTATGTTCATTTTTCTTCGTGAAATGGGATTACACTTTCTCGGATTAAAATTATCACTATCATTTAAATTTATCATTAGATAATCTATTAATTTATTAATTTATTTAATAAGAAAAACAATCATTTTTTATAACAAAATTAATTGTATTTTTTTACTAGAAAAAATTTAGAGTTGTAATCAAATTAATTAAGATATAAAGTTAGCGATAAAATAAATTGAGCATGCTTCTTATCATATCATACATGTTACAAGTAATTCATCTTTATCTTACGAGAATAATTTAGCTTCTGTACTTGAATGTGGCACGTTGACAGATGATTATATTTAATTCTCCTGTTATAATTGTCGCAAGTATATGAAGATAAGGTCAAATTATATTGAATAAGATTTATCAATAAAGCTAATTATCTTATGTTAACATGTCCATGTTAATATTATTTGCAAATAAAAATTTTCAATGACAAGAAAATTCATATGCATCATTATTAAGTTCAAATATAATAAATTAATAATTAAAATTCAACAATATTTATTGATTGTCAATGTTTTAGGTGCAAAAGATATTTTGGGTCTATCGGAAGTTTCGAAGATTGATATTCTTGTACCTTTATTCAGTGAAGCTCTTGGTACTTGCCTCCTAGTTTTCATTGGATGTGCATCATGCATACTATGGGATCCTGAAAAACCACCCTCCATTCTACAAATTGCATTTACTTTTGGTCTTGCAGTAGCTGCACTTGCTCAAGTAAGTTTTTCTATTTTTTTTTATTCCTTCATTACGTAACTAATTGAAGCTATTTCTCTAACATTTATTGCACTTTTTGGAATGAGTTTACAACAGTAATTTTTTAAACAGAAAAAAAAAATTCTCTGACACAATCATATATTTCTTAATAATTGAATAATTAACAGTTATTATTAAAAAATTCCTTTCCAGAAGGATTCATTTAAAAAATATATTTTTACGTCTTTTTTAGAATTGTAAATTTCCAAATATATAATCTAGATTAATTCAAGTGTTTTTATATCAAGTTTGATAATAAACCTGGCGCTCACGATAAATTAAAATTAATATTTTCTACTCACAACAACTAATGCTAGATAGCTAATTGTAATAAAGTATTAAATAACAAACCATCGTAACAATAACGTAATTGCAAATGGAAATGATCATAATTGTAATTAATACATATGAAGATTAAACATACTCTTAAAAATCCAAGTGAATTTAATGATAATATTTATTTTCGAAAAAAGCTATCACAATATTTACACATAAATAAAAATGTCCTTAAAAAGTGAAATAAAAAATTAGCATGATTATGGTAATGAATAAGTAAAATAATTTGTTGAGTACACAAGAAATTTTCAAGAATTGAGACTTACATCTTGATAATGATGACATCATATTACGTGTTTTTTTTAATCAAATATTAAGAGAAAATTTAACGAACATAATATATCAAGTCTTAAATTCAGATGACAATTTATCTATTAATTAATTAATAATTATTCAAAAAAAAAAAAATTGTAATTGATAAAGGGAAAAAATAAATAAATCTAAAAAAAAACAAGAAAGATAAGATTTTTTGTAAACAAGTAATTTAGTGTAAACTTTTAATGAATAATATTACGTTTGATGAATGAAATAAATTGTAGGAAAAGGCAATTATGTACAAATATTTTCAAGTAGACTACAAGAGTTCATATCAATTAAGAGTAAATTAGTAGATAAAAATAGTTTTCATAAGTGAAAATAAAAAAATAGTGAAAAAAACAATAACACTAAATTATTGTTAAAATATAATTATTATTTTCAAAAATCAGTAAATATTTATTACGCAGAAAATAATTAATAATATACTAAAATAAAAAAATGTCTTCAAAGGATATCAAATTTAATTAACTGAAAATAATATGTAAACAAGCTTGTAATAAAGATGACATATACACCAGCGATATCATTGGTAACATAAGAGAAGTTAAAAAATTATTACCACAATGAACACATCAGAAATGCGTAAAATGATTTATTTTGATACTGCATTAGTTCCAATGAAAATAAATTAATCGTTAGAAATAGTATCTAATACTTTTACATTTTAACTCAAGACTTTAGTGAGTCTAGAGAAGAAGGGTAAATAAGGCCGTGGATTCGCCCAAGGGGCTCTAACTGTTTGAATGGTGCAATGTTTGCCCCGAAGGCTCTGACAACCTACTCGCACATTGACTCATTCTCCTCACTTTCCGATTCAACGTTCGCCGACTCGTGTGCTCTGCATCCATGCACTTACCTTCTTCATCCATCTCTTCTTTTCACTTTTATTAAAAAAAGAAAAAAAAACAATGCATTCTCATGCTCCATCCTTTTTTTCTAAACCATATCCTCATATTTTTATATCAACTCTTCTGTTCTTTTTTTTAATAATAATGATCATGCAAATTTTAGAGTAGAAATAATGACTGTGGTATTCCAAATATTTTTGAAAATAATTCGAATTTCACCGAGAAATAAGAATGTGAATTTTTCATTCAGTTTTGCGTAATGTTCAATTTATTACGATTAAATCGCGATGTTGACCGAAAATATTTAAACAGACACTGTTAAGGGATTTGTTGTGTTTTACTTTGTATGCAGGATCGCGTGCTGTTTTAATGCCTAAAGAGATATATCCAGAACTAAAAAAAATCTATGTCTATTAAAAAAATTAAAAAAAAAAAAGTTGACAAAAATATCAAATAAATATTTTTATTTCACATTCAACTGTTTTTTTTGTTGAAGCAAAAAACCATAGTGAACAAACCGCTCCTTATTTTAGCTTCTTCTACGTAAAAATGATGTAATAAGTAAGATGATTGTCCTGTGAATGCTTAAACTCTCGACTCGTACTTAACTCGTTCAGCAATCTCTAGTCCTCTTTTTATAAGCTATAATTCCTTCAGGGCATATTCTTTCTTTCAATATATCCTTCATTATTTTCTATAGCAAATGCTCTACTAATTATCTCTTCACAACGCCATATGTTGACAACATCAAACAATTAAAAGACACTTAATATAGATGCTCAACGTGTTACATGTCCTCGACCGCGAAATACCAAAGCTACAGTGGGCAATTATGCCTCAAGCTGTTATTTTTATTCTTATAAATTTTCACTCAATTTGATGATTGATCATTTAATAAATTACTCGATAATTTTTCTACTAAAATAGTAAATATAGTGTTTTAACGCTTGCTGTAGGCTACAGTTATAATTTATTACAGTACAGAATGAAGATATCAACTTTTACTGATATTTACAAATACTCCTCTTAATAGACGACTTTTTAATAACATCATTTTAACTTATTTTTTATATTGCCTTCCTTGATAATAATTGTTTCTATATTTTATCAAGAATTACATTCACTACCTTACTTTTCCAATTTTTTAAGTAAATAATAATATGTTTGTAAATATTGAATTACCAGTTTTTGTCGTGTAGACAACTTCTTTTTAATGCATTCAGGAAAATTACAACTTCAATCATTAAATCAAATTATAAAATCTGAAGTTGATTCACTAATAAATTTTTTTTAATTAAATATAAGAAAATAACGTAATCTTGTATTTCAAGAAATTATTGCAATTATGTGAATAATAGCTGATAAATGTTTAACATAAAATAATTTCTTTTCATCCATGCTATCTCACGTTATTATTTAATTATTTTAATATGAGGTAAAATTAATAAAATGTTGCAGTAATGTTCACAATAGCAATGAGCTTGTATAAGTTCCATCGTTTAGTTTAGTCGTATAATAAATGATGTCTGGGGGCTGTAGGTCAAAATTGTACCTCGAGGGTACGAAAATTGCCAACTAATTCGAGAGGTCTGAGTATCCACACTCATAGCAAAAGTACTCTGCTTCTCGAGGACACTGCTCTGGTCCTGCCATCATACAAATACGTATATTCTAATGTTTCTGACAAGAAATGTCATTAATTATTATTTTTGAAAATACTTAAAAACTTGATAAAGCATGACATCAAGTAATAAAAAATAAATTAAAAATTATTGATGTGTGATCTTATTGTGATGTAGAGAAGAATTTTAAAAAACGGACAAATAAGAAAAAAAGTTCGATGAAGAAAATTACGCAATCGCCAACATGTTAGCGCATGTATGCTTAAAGTATTGCCTCAGGCTGCCAGAGACCTTGCTGTCGTGTATGAGAACTGGGTTGCGTTGGGCCCGAGAACGCACAGATTCATCATATCAGTCCAATCGAATTTGTAGTTTAAGTTAATTGAGATATTGTTGATTTAAACATTTCTTTTATTCATTTTATTATTTATACGCTTGATTATATTTATTATTCATGAAATGTTCACATTTCCTATCAATTGATCAGCAAATAAACATATCAGAAACGATACAAGTGTAATGATTTCTGTCAAAAGTTTATTGCACTTTTTGAATGTATTTTTATATAAAATGAATCATGGATAAACATAATAATTTGGTTAATTTTTTTATCAAGGTGCTAGGACCTGTATCAGGATGTCACGTCAATCCTGCAGTCACTGTGGGAATGGTCATCAGTGGCAATTGTAGCGTACTTAAAGCAACCTGTTTTATTGTATGTCAATGTTCTGGAGCGATCGGTGGTGCAGCTTTATTACGGGTAATAATTCTTTCTACATTCATACAAATAATAATGATAATGATTTTTTTTAATTCAAGAAACTAGAACAAAACTTAAAAATACTATTTTAAACTAGAACTATTGCAAAATTCATGAAACTTACAGTTTTTGAAGAATAAATATGTTTTTATTGGCTACGTTTAGATGAATGTAGAAATTTCAACTGTTTCGTTTATTTTAATAATAGAGTCATTTAGATGAATTAAAATATAAATGACCTTACTTCTTACAGGCAGTAAGCCCACAGATAACTTCACAAAGTGGAATAGGACAAACTCAACTGGGTGATGGAATTGAGATTGGTCAAGGAATTCTAATGGAAGCAATAATAACTTTTCTTCTAGTATTGGTAGTTCATGCTGTGACAGATACTAGAAGAAAAGACGTTATTGGATGGGCACCTCTTGCCATTGGATTAACGATTACTGGAGCACATCTAGCTGCAGTTCCAGTTACAGGTAGCAGTATGAATCCTGCAAGAACGTTTGGTCCAGCTGTAATTCTTGGATACTGGACTAATCAATGGATATATTGGGCTGGCCCAATTGCTGGTGGACTTGTAGCTGGTGGACTATATAGGATGGGTTTGAGAGCAAAAAATAAAGATGATGATGAAGCATCCTATGATTTTTGAATAATCAAAGCAACTATGACATTGTTTGACGTTAAGTTTCATTCAGATGAAAAAGCCATCATTCCAAATTTCCTCACAGAAAAAAATATGAAAAAAGATCATTTGTAAAAATCTTACAAACAAAGTGGTATATTAGTTTTAATTTTTAGATATTCTACATTTTTATTTTTTTCATTCATATTTTCCATGTGAGAAATTTTATTCAGAGTTTGTTATGTTTTGGAGTAAAGAAAGGATTAAGACAGTAGTAACTATCAATATGGGTTTAAATAAATAAGTAGCGTAAAAAAACATGTTTAAAACTAAAATTCATCATTTGGCATACATAGTTTTTAATTTTGCTCCAAAAAAAATTTCATTGTAAATATTTAGGATATTACAGAATTAATGATTGTTCAGTATTATTAATTCAAGTATGTGTCTAATATATAGTGGTCAAGTAGCTTATTATTAACAAATATTTCGAAACTTTTTATGGAAATTCTGATAAATTACTTTTCTATGTGTGCGACAATTTTTATTTTTAAAATTTCTCACATTTTTCTATTCATTCATCAGATGCATAATTTTTATAAGATAGAAAAGAATTTTTTCTTTTATTATTTAAAAAGCTTTTTTTTTGCCAACATCCATGTTAATTTTTAAGTTCATGTTATTTTGATACTAAATCATCATTTTAAAAACTTGTATATATTGTATGTACTCACAGAATAGCTTAGATATTTTGGTATTTATATGTTGTACTATTTGTATTAAATAATATTTTGTATTTAATTTCATCGCAAATCAATGAATTTTTCGAATTTATTTCTTTTTATTTCTCTACATTATACTCATTACTCCTGGATTTTTCATTGTAGTTTCAAAACGAAACCTTTCAAAATGATGAGTATTGATTGATAATAAATAGATAGAAATTAAAAAGGTGATTGAACAAATCTAGTTAAGTTGTAATGCATGACAAGTTAAATTACATCTAAGAATTAGATGCTCGCAGTTAGTACAGTAATGCAGTACACTGATGCACATGGCCTTATAAGTCTCTTCCATACCGGTTTGTTATTTAATATAGTTGCGTGCTCTCCTACAAGTAAATAATTCTACAATATGGGTATTTAGATTTAAATTTAATCTATAACCACACTATGTGGTCTATATTGGAGTATAGATACTTTGAATCCTAGATTAGTAAATAAAAATAGATGGTAAGTTAAAAATAGTTAACATAGTGAGTAGAAAATTTGTTGAGAGGTTATATTGTCTTGTAGTGAGTTCTCTTACAGAGAAGGTTGATTAACTTTCGTTACTTTTTACTTTAATTATTTTAAAATGTTAGAAGATGAATCAACATCTGAAATACCAAAATATTTTCGATCAAATTTATTAGCTTGTCGTGAAGCTATAGCACCAGAAGATTTTAAAAAATTCGTTGGTCTAAATACCAACAGTGAAAGAGTTGCATTTATTCTCAGTTATCCAGAGGCTCATGATTTACCTTTGGAAATTGAAAATCGTTTAATAAAAGATTCACAAAAAGCATTAAAGCTTAAAGAAAATGGAAATAAATTATTCGGGCAACAAAAGTATATTCTCGCATTGGAGACATATACAAAAGCAATTATTATTTCACCAAAAAAAGGTAAATATGTTTTTTTAATACATGATAATGTTTAGTCTGATAAATACCAATAATACTAAGAACTTATACAATGTACTGTTTTACAGAAATGAGCATATATTTAGCAAACCGTTCAGCAGCTTTATATAACTTGGAATATTATGAGTTTGCTTTGAGAGACATTGAGGAAGCTCTTTCACGTGGCTATCCTAAAGAACTAGAATATAAACTTCTAGAAAGACGAGCACGATGTTTTTTAGGATTAAAAAGGAATGCACCAGCTATTGAGGCATTTCAAAAAGCTTTAATATCTTTAGATGATGCTAAGGTTCCATTTGAAAAAAAACAAAAACTGGAAATGGATATTAGAATAATGTTAACTATGATGGAAAAAGGTAACCAAATAAGTGAAAAATCAAAATCAGCCAATTCTCAAACTGAAAAAACGAAAAAAAATTCTAATGTAAAAAATGAGCATAATATCCCAAAAATTCCTAATTGTAATCCACTTTATCCATCTGTCAGTTCTGCGGTAGAAATTCGTGAAGGTGGAGAAATAATTGGAAGACATGGAATTGCAACACGAGATATAATGCCGGGAGATTTATTAATTGTGGAAAAGCCGCATGTTTCCGTTTTGCTTAATGAATTTAGATTAAGCAATTGTCATCGTTGCATGAAAAAAAATATCGCTCCGTATCCAGCTGACTGTGATAAGTGTATTATTATTGCTTATTGTAGTCCAAAATGCCGAGATGAAGATACTCAAATTCATGCGATGGAATGTAATATTCTAGGATGCCTTTGGCTTTCTGAAGTTTCCGTAACGTCACTAATGGCTATTAAAGCAATTATGCAGACCCCATGGGCTAAATTACAACAATTGAAAAATGATTATAAAAAGTATAAAGGAAATTTTAAAGCTTCAACGGAAAGACCATTCAGGGGAAAAGATCATTTAGCTTTGTGGTCAATGGGTAAGTTAAATAAATAAAATAATTCTTTCGATAATGTATTGAAAAATTAAATGATTGTCTTAATGATATAAAATCATTTTCAGTTACCCATGAAAGTGAAAGAACTGATGATGATATGTTTCATAGAACGTACATGGCTGCTTGGTTACTGAGACTAATAAAATCAAGTCCATACCTTCCTGGTGAATCAAAAACTCTTTATCCTGATGTACCGCTTTCTGAAGATGAATTATTCATTGCGGATCTGCTCCTTCATCATTTACAGCTTTTACAATTCAATGGCCATGAAATTTCAGAACTTGCAAGACCCAGAAATGAACCTACATTAGCTAGATCAAAAAGTAATTTTATCGGAGGAGGAATATTTCCTACAGCTGCATTGCTGAATCACTCATGTAATCCCGGAGTAATAAGGTAAATGATTAAAGCATTATCATGATAATAAAAAGATTATTATAAAAATTATTTTCAAAAAATATATTAATTATTTAAACATTTATACAGATATTTTCTGGGCACTACGATGGTAGTTCGATCAATACGAACAATACGAGCTGGAGAAGAAATCTGTGATAATTATGGACCTGCTTTTATGAATGAACCCAAAGTAGAGAGACAAAGAAAATTAAGAATGAACTATTGGTTTGACTGCAATTGTGAAGCATGTACTTATAATTGGCCGATTTTGGATGAAATAGATCCAAAGATTTTAAGGTAAAAAAATTTTCTTCGTTGTTATAATAGCAAAAGAACTTACAAAACATTAATTAAATGAAATTTTTCAGGTTCAAATGTGAAACAGGGAAAACTTGTGGTAATGTTCTCTTAGTGAATGTAGACACTAGTGAATTTGTAATTCATTGCAACAAATGCAATAAAAATACAAATATTATGATGGGCTTGAAGGCTTTACAAGATACTGATAGACTTTTTAAAGTGGCCTCAGATCATTTAGAAAGCGGAGAAAATACTAAAGCACTAGAAAATTATTATAAAATTTTAAAACTTTTAGATGATACTTTGGCATTACCTATCAAAGATTATCACATAGCACAGCAAGGTGTAAAATTGATATTACTTTCAGAAGGTAATACATGTGTTGTATAAACAAATTAGTTTTTTAATCTGGATCGTAAAAAAAGGTATTGAGTTTAATTATTTATTAGTGCAATATCCTTATGATATAATGAATAACAAAGTGTAAATTTTAGCTTCACAATTTATTTCATCTCATAAATTGATAAAAGTACAAAATAACAGACAAAACATCAAGTAATTATATCGTCATAATAAAATAACAAATTGAAAAAAAAAAAGATTTAAAAATGAAATTTTCGTACTGCTCTTGATTACAGGCATTAGCTTATACAAATTCATTCATGACACATTTGACAATGAAAGTTTATAGCGTGTATTAAGTGTTCAAGCTGATCTTGATCAAATTACTTAATTCATTCTGTGTGTTGTGTGATGCAACAATTTATATACAAATAAAGGAGGGCTTTATCATTATTGTTTTTATTATTATTAATATTTAGTGTTCTTTGCAGCACTGTTTTATTTCGTAGGTAAAATTAATTTCTCAACGGTCATACTGAGTCCTTAGCTGAAAATAAAAACAAATAAAATTTTAGTATACGCATTTTATTTACTTTTACATAATCAACAAAAATTTATGTTTACCGTCTTTCACGTGAGTCAGATCGGGAACGACGATCTCGGCTTCGGCTTCGAGTTAAAGATCTTCGTCGTGGACTGCGTGACCTTGACCTAAAATATTTAAACAGTTATAACCATTCAGAATTAAGTAAAATGAAAATTCTATATTGTTTGACATTATTATTTCCTGCTGTGTATTTAAATTAATTATTTTTTGCTCAAGTGTTTTAATTTAGTGATATGTAACATTATTAAATCCTAAATATTAAAACACAAATATAAACAAATTATGTCAATAAATTTTTATAAAATTTAACTGGTTAATTTCAAAACAAATAAAATATATTGATTTTCAATGTTACTACTAATGAATGTTAATATAACATATCAATTTATTATAAATGTAACTTTAATAATGATCTATTTTATTAAATGAATTAAAATACTTTATTATAAATCAAATGAAATTTTTACAACTTATAAAATATATTATTAATCTAAAAATATTCTAACGAAGGTTCTTGGGTAAACTTCTTTTTTTATGCTCAATTTATTTAAATGAAAAATCCATGAATAAATAAAAATTTATCAAAAACCCTTAATTTTCTTTTCCTCATATTGAAAGCTTCTATTTTTCAATATCTAAAAAACTATTGTATTAAACGTATATTCAAATAGTTAAGAAAATAAACATTGTAAATTAAAGTGGTTACATGAACTATTTTACAACACTTTATGTCGATTATTGTATATATTTTTATCATCACTGATATCAAATATAGTAATTTAGAAAAATTAAGGGTTAATAAAAATGTTTGAAATAATACAATGAATAATAACCCAAGAACTCAACGTGTTTATGATAAAAACAGATAAAAAATTTGTTAAAATCTGTAAAATACCAGACGATTGTGAACATGTGGTGGTGGTGGTGGTAGTGGTGGTGGTGATGGTTGGTGGTAGTTGGTTGGGTGGTAGGATGGTATGTATGTGATTATTTTGCATTGCTCGATCGAAGAGAAGTGACGGTCACATTGTTCATCAAAGTAAAACGTCGTAGTTGACGAAGTAGCAGTGGTAGAAGTAGTTGGGACGGACGCGATGATATTTTGATAGAAGAATTCATATCGCGTTGGCTGTTTGATGATTACGATGTTCCTAGTCTCTTAGTAGAAGAGTAGAGGTGGACCCCGAAGAATTCTTTTTTAAAGGGTATAATGACGGACCGACGGACAGCAACGGACTGTCAATGACGGGCAATCTTTGCTCCTCGCGGTGACTAGTTGCGGGAAATTAGTAGTGGACAGGCAGGCTACATATTTTCAGTTTTGATTGCAAAATTTTTATTGTTCACGGTGGCTGTAGTAGTAGTAATAGTAGAAGTAGTAGTAGTAGTAGAAGTAGTGGTAGTAGTGACGGGGAGACGAGCAGAGCTAGGAGTTGACTCTTGTAGAATCTGTAAACGTCAGTTTCACCAATAAAACTATTATCAACGTTAATTATATTCATCTCGCTAATACTCTTCGGACATGAAATTGTGTGTTTTTATAAATAAAATTCGATATTTACAATTATTTATCATTTTAACTGTCCACTCTAACAATTTATTTCAAAACCGAAAACTGATGCAATTACAAATTCAAACAAAAAAAAAATAATTTCTCTCATTATAAAATTTTTCAAATATTACTACTTTTACTAATAATACCATCATTATTACTTTTAAAATTTGTGCATGCATCAAGTAATCAATAGCTTTTATTTAATTAAGTCAACCAAAATTTGAAATATGTGATGATTTTATGAATTTACATAAAAATTAAATATCATTCTTCAGTTAATCATAGTAATTTTCTTTGATAAATATTTTGATAATTCAAATAAATAAAAATATTAAATTACTTATTGATTATCATCACATAATATCTTAATTTTATTTGTTCAAACAATTTATTAATCTTCAATAATTAATTTCAAATCAACTATTAATTATTCAATAATGGTCAAAATGTAATAATTATTACGTCCGTTAATTAGCAGTAATACGTAAAGTCTTTTCTTATTTACCTACTCAATCAATATCACTAATAAGTAAAACAATATCAAAACATTTATCATCCATCATATCTTATACTAATTCTATAAAATATTGTTCAAGTGATCACAATGTGCAAATTGTTTCTTCATTAAACAAACAAACATATATACATACGTGTGGACTCATGAAATAGATCATCATCTTCTTTGGCCATTTCAATAAACTAAAGAAGAAATTCGAAAGAATTTAAATAAAAATTACCTGTGATATTGACCATACGGTGAATATCTTGGACTCCTTGATTGCGATCTAAAGAAATTAAAATAAAATTGCGACATATTGGATAAATCTTCGTAACTGCAGGCAATTTTCCGGAATTTCGTTTTCTCTTAAATTGATTATTGTGCTGCTATTTCGAAAGAATTTCAAATAAATGCTTACCTAGAATAACGACCCAATGATCTTCTACGTGGACTGCGAGATCTGGACCTACAAAGCCCGTAAAAAAACATTTGGAACGTAAATCCTTTCAAATTTTATAGAAAACCAACAACTGCGTGTGAATGAGTTTTGTTTTAAATAATTAATTAAATTATCATCAAATAGAACTAAATCTAAATAAAAATAGATAAATAATACTGTAATAGTGGAAATAAATGTTTCGAAATTCTTCTGCCTATAGCATATTTGGTTGACTATTTTCAAATTAAATAAAGTAAGAGAATCTTATCAAACTAAACTAACGTCGTGCTCTCTTATATCATGTGCAATATATCAATAAAGTCAGTAATTTGTATTACAATCACACAGATATACCCACATTGTCATTAATCTTATTATCAGCTTCTCTCTATTTCAGCTGCAAGATATACCTATGAATAATTAAAAACATCAGTCTTACCTTGAATATCTGGGACCAGGTCGACGACCACCACCTGCTCGACGACTTCTTCCAGAAGACATTTCTACTCTTATTCTTGAACCACAGCATCGTCTGTAAACATGGATTAATTGACTAAATTAGCAATTGAGTTTAGCAACCACAATATAAATACTTTATGATTGAGTAAGATAAAAAATAACATTGCTCATGTGATTAAAAACTATATTGAATGATTTTATTAAATTATCATATAAAAATTGTTTTTACGAAAAACCATGAATTAAACAAGATACAAATGACTCAAAATAAAACGTACATATGACAAGATACTAAATATCTTTTAATCAAATGAAATTAATTTATAACAGTGGATGTTATTTCATAACATTTGTACGTACTTTCCATGAAGTCCACGAACAGCATCTTCAGCATCACGCGGATCTTCAAATTCAACAAAAGCGAACCCAGGTGGATTTCGAGCTACCCAAACATTTCTTAAAGGCCCATATTGACTGAATGCATTTTCAATCTCATGTTTGCTAGCACTGCTACCCAGGTTACCGACATAAACTTTGCAGGTAAGATCCCATTCCCGGTATCGAGACATTTTGAATATATCTATCGAAACAGTCATTGAAACTATGAATTATTCATTTGTATAAAAAAATCTATTTATTTAAATTTTTAATTTACATTTATAGTGAAATAAGAATAATATATTAAAAACGTTTACCCACGCTGTTTGGTGGTCATCATTCACTTAGCCTTGTATTACATACATTATCCTTATAATATATAAATGTAATTGTAATTTTCAGTATTTCAATAATAGTATACTTACATATATATTTTGTTGAATTTACTCTTGATAATTTTAAGTATATATAAATTTAGAGCCAATTAATAGAACAATAATTTTCAGAACACTACAACAAAATGGAGACGCTGTCGTTTGCGTCAGTGCTGAAGCACAAGCACTGAGAAACATAAACAATCCATTACAAAGATAGGTATATCAATTGGCATTGCCGTCCCACAGTTTTGGTTAAATCCCGCTAAAACGCTCTTTATGCATAAACATGATAAAACAGAGTTCTGCATTAGGAATTCAACAGCACTGCCTCTGTCAGCTTAGGTGACAAAAATGATTTTTGTTGATAAAATTTTTGTGATTCGCCCATCTGCGTTGGTTCTTTCCTATAATTTTGCCGAAATACACACATGTGAAAACTTTGAAAAAAAAAAAAATTGAAAAAATAATCGGCATTCATTGTTGGATTGTATGAAGAAAGTTAATTTTTTTAGGATACTTTGAACATTATATACGTAACAATTTAAAAATATTTTCCGCACTAAAAACACTTGAAAGTAAGTTCAAACCATGGAGTCTCTCGTCAAATCATTCTCTGGATTAAATCTTTTGTGTAAATTTTTAAAAACTAGGTAATAATTATAACAATCTCAGTAATATAAGGCATATTCATTGTTATATGATAACTTTTCTTTTTTTTTTTTTATTATAGAACTCAAGTTGTGATAATACCTAATCGAAATAAGTTTATACATGCCCATCCAAGAAAACGTCATCCACCATGGTTACCGAAACAACTTCGAGTAGTAAGTTGATAAAGATTAAAAATCCAAAAGAGTTTTTGAATTCAAGCTTGTTCTACATCATTATTTGTTATTTTTCACAGCCTTATAATGAAGAGCTGACAGCAGAGAATAGGGACTTTATAAAAGAAGTGGTAGAATCCAAATATGGAGAAAAAGATCATTTAAGTGGATCAACTTCACCACTCAAAATAGAACCTATTGAACCACGTCAAGAATGGACACCTACTTCACGAAGATGTGGATTAATTGCTAAGAAAATTGGTGTCTATCCCATGTGGTTAAAAGATGGATCAAGAGTTACATCTACATTATTACATGTAAGTGAATGATAACACGCACATAACATTACTTATCAGTTATAGAACAGAATTAATCTTTTCTTTAAATTTGTTATTTTGTTAGATTTGTGACAATCATGTCATTAAATATATTCCACCTGAAGAATGGAACCCAATGGTACGAAGTAAACACAACATTCCTAAAAGAAAACTGGGATGTCTAATAATTGGAGCAGAGAGTGCAGATCCACAAAAGGTAACTTAGATATAACAAGAAATCATTTGTCAGTAAAAAAAACAGCTTAATTATAAATTAATAAACGTCTCGTATATTATAGTTTACTAAAGAATATTGTGGGATGTTCATTGAGTCTGGAGTAATGCCGACAAATGCAATAAGTAGATTTGCTGTATCGCCGGACGCAGCAATACAGCCAGGAACACCTTTATATGCAGCTCATTATAAGCCAGGAGATTATATAGACATTCGAGGAAAAACGTAAGCTGAAATCGAATCATATGCAGTAATTTAATTTTTCTGCTCAATATTTTTTTTCTACAGAGTGGACCGTGGTTTTCAAGGAGTAATGAAACGATGGGGTTTTAAAGGTATGCCGGCAACTCATGGAGTAACAAAAACCCATAGAAGACCAGGAAATATTGGATCTGGAGGGGAAAAAGCGCGTGTTATGCCAGGCACAAAAATGCCCGGTCATATGGGAAATCGGTATCGAATAATTCGAGGAGTAAAGGTATATACTCCATTATCTATATTTTAGCAAAATAATGTGAAATTTAGAACGAATAATATTTTGTGTATGTATTAAATACAGATACTTCGAATCAACTATAAATATAACGTGATGTGGGTTCAGGGTCATAATCTTCCTGGAGAAACAAATAATTGGATAACCGTTTATGATACATTATTATATCATAAAAGGTATACGAAAACAGCGCCGGTTTTCCCTACTTTTTTCCCCGGTGATACAGAACTTCCTGAAGAACTATATGCAGATGAAGTACATCAATTTGGTGCTCCTACAATAGAACTTGAACCAGAGAAAGAGAAAACGAAAAAGAAATAATGTATCAAAGTAGAAAAAGTAAATGTAAAAAAATTGACATAAATAAATTTAATAAAAACAACAAGAGCTTGGCTTTTTAATTTTTATCTAAATTAAAAATGAACTTAAAATTGCAAAAAAATTAAACCTTGAAGAATAATGACTTTGTATACTTTTTGAATTTGTATATTTTAGTATCGATTTTTATAATCTAAAGAAATGCGTTTTTAACAATATCAAGATATATTTAAGAACGTTCTTAATTATAAATTTATAATCTGTATTTGATTATTAAAATTATTTTGATACTCGCCAATTACTTTTAACTTTAAATACGAACTATAAGAAGTAATATTTAAGTTATGATTTTATAAAAAATTTACTTTTTATAATTATCTTAAGAGTGTAATAAAGTAACTATGAAAGTTGCGTCGGTATTTAAATTTAAAAGTTAGTTAAAACATAAAATACTTAAAATTTAATGTATTGTTATTATTTAACACAACTATTGATTTGAGATTATCGTATTTTATAATTTTATCTTATTTAAAAATAGATTTAAAAATAAAAAATGACGAATTTGAAATGCTTAATAAATTTGTTTATGGTAAGTTTTATTGTAGCTGCTCCATACAGAACATTTTTTTATTATTACTTATTACTCCTACTGGCGGAAAGTAGTCAATTATTCTTCATATTTAGTAATCAACATTTACTATAAATTCAATATGCCTAAAATATACACGGATAGTTTTGTTAATTTAACATAACTGAACCAAGATTCAGTTAGGTGAAAAAATTAAAGAGATGTGAATGTAAGCACAAAAGACTTCCTTACTTTATTTTAACATAATAAAGATCAAAAGAAATAAATCATGACGATTATTAACACATAATTTCACTTTGATGTTCTTATGAATAATTCGATAAATTGTTTAGAACTGATTAATTTTAATTTTAATTGTAAAATAAAAGTAATTATATAAGTTTATGCTAAAAAAACTGGAAGAAAAGAACATGCGGACACGATCGATCGTACTTAATTTCTTAATTGTTTCGCTGAGACTGCTCGCATGCATTTGTTAATAAATGCCGATTGAAGTGTTTTTTTAACTTAATGTTTATTTTTAAGGAAGGCCATATTATGCACCATTTTTAAGGCCAAATTTCGTCTCGAATCTTGGTTCAGGTGCCGTGCGCTGATTAATACACCTCATATTATCGGAGCAGAGAAGTTGGATTGTAGAATGATAATAAAGAAAGAAAAGTAGCTCCACTGAAATGTCCTCTTGACGGCAGCATAGATGAATAAAGAATAATTGCGTCGTCTCAGAATTTGTATCTTTCATTTGGAATAGCTGTCGTCGGATCGAATTCATATGTTCCTTCTCCAACTTGAGGTGCTAAATTCGTTTCGTCGCCCTAAAAAATAATAAAATTATATCATAATTGATTACTTACTGTAATCATCTATAAAGAAAAAATGAATTTATATTTACTTCGTCAGAAAAGTATTGTTCGATTATCTCATAAGCTAGTTTGTAAATGTCTATGTTGTCGTGATTTTGAAGTTGTTCAATCTTATCTAAACCTGAAAAGACAAACAAATCCAATATTAGTTAATTATTAAGATTCACAATACTATAAAGGTGATTTGAATGATTACCTTGACATTCTTCAATCATGTTAGCAAGTTGTTCTACGTCTGGTCCAGCATGTTTGAGCATATTATTAATGCCATCTAACACAACTTGAATAACTTGCGTGTCTTTGCATGATAATAGATCACAAAATGGTTCAATAACGCCTTCTTGAATCAATCTAGCCACTTGATCTCTACTACCACTTATTGTATAGTTACTAATTGCCCAAGCAGCTTCTTTTTGTGTTTGAGAATCTGATTTAGATAAGTTACGAATAATTAGAGGTAATAATCCAGCCTCTATCACTGCCTCTACTTGAGATTGATTTCCTGCCGTGATGTTTGACAAAAACCACACAGCTTCTTTACAAATTTTATCCTTTTGATGTGTTAATAAATTAGGGAAGTGCGATAACGCATCGCAATTTAAAACAGTTTGAGTTTGTTCGTCGGTACCGGTGACAATATTTCCTACTGCTCTAAGGGCTGCAGTTTGGAGTTTTACTTCTTTGTGAGAGAGAAGTGGAATAAGTTGTGGCACAACTCCGCTGTCAATTACCATTTGTATTTGTTCGTTACCACCATCCGTCAAATAGCTCAATGCCCACACGGTATCAACAAGTATCTAAAATAAAAATAAATAAATTTCTACAATACTTTTATATGTTAAATTTTCATTGGTATTATGTATTGAATATTTTGCGATGGTAAATGTAATGATAATAACTTTCATTCTTTTAGATTAATAAAAAAAAATAAGTTCTATAGTGATTGTTATACTGTATAATTACAATACCTAACCTAAAAAAAAATAACTTATATTATTTATCGCCAAGTATTATATTGTAAACATTTCCTCCTAAAACGTAATACAAACGAAATAGAATTTTTAAAAATTTCTTGGAAGTACGGCAAAAAAAAAAAAAAAAATTTTAACATTTTTAGTGATTAACAAATGATAACAAATGATAGAAGAATTTCATAAAATCACCTAACGGAAATTTTTGAAATTACAAAATGTTTTGCTTCAGTCTAGTAATTATTATTTTAGTATAAAAATATGTGATGGAGTATGTAAGAAAAAAAATATCTCATGAAATCTAAATCTGTTAAAGTACTTTAAATAGCATAAAATTACTTACGTTGACATCCGTATGATGAATGAGCATGTTGAGAGCCGGTAAAATTTCTTTTATTGTCTGTACTGGCGGTGGTGGTTCTTTATTTCTGCATAAGTTTACAATTACCCACGTAACATTGCGTAAAAATGTAATAGGTATGTCTGGTTTTATAAAAGTCAATAATGGTTGAACAACTCCAAGTTTGATCACGTAATCTCGTGGTACTGGTCCATCACCAATGATGTTTCCTTCAAAAAACAAAATATTAATAAATAATATCTAAAAAAAAATTGATACACTTAAATAAATAAGAACATCAATCAGAAAATACATACCTAAAGCCCATACAGCCTGTTCACAAACATTTTGTTGACTGGAATGCAACAATTGAAGAAACAGTGGTACAGCACCAGCAGTTATAACTGCTTGTGTTTGAGTTGATGTTCCACTCGCTATATTTGTTAAAGCCCACGCTGCTTCGAATTGTAAGGATGGGCTGCAAACAAATTCATGATTAATTATATGATATATTATAAAGGAGACAACTGAATTACTTTACAATCATCTTACTTGTCATGTTTTTCAAGACAGCAAACTAGAATTGGTAAAATTCCACTTTCAATTAATGGATCAATGGGTGGATTCCTATCTGACGATAATAACTTTCTGGCTGATTGTACAGCTGCCAATTGTTCCTTAGGATCAAGACTTGCAGCTTTTTGTACCAATGCTTCCAAGTCAACTTTAGACAATGTGTTTTCAATATCATCATCATCTGCAATTGGAACATTTCTTCTTTTTTGTAATGTTTCCTCTCGTTTATTTTTTCTCAACTCTACAGTTACTTCATTTCGTCTTCTTCTCATTTCCTGACAGCAAAAATATACATGAAACATTCATTATAATAACTAGATACTTATTTATATTTGTTTTAATAAAGGCATGTATATTTAAATAAATTTCGTAATGAATTAGGTATTTAAATACAAGTAACCAATAAAGATCAAGCATCACAATAATAATAATAGAGTCAAAAAATACTACTCCTTAACTATTATAAGATAGAATTGTGTCAGAGACTCAAAGTGTCCCGTTAACAAGAAGTCATGCATACAAAATAAGGCCAGGAATATTCTCGCAAATTTTTGTCGATTCCCAGAATAGTCATGACAACGGAAAATGATTAGATTATTCAACTTACATCTTGGTCTTTGCCTTTATTCTTAAAAACCATCATTCGGTTTTTATTTTGCATTTCGTTAGCCATTTTTTTTTAAACTAATGTTCACTTTTAATGAATAAACTGATATGCCGGTATTAAAAACACTACGGTGCACGTTTCACGATTTATTCAAGTGTATCTTTGCTCCGTTCACTTCAGCAACTGCATTACGTTGCGTGCCAAACCACTATAAGTTATCGCGATGCGAGAATTCATGCATATTGAGAAAAATTAACTCAATTGATAAATCCGTATAAGTTTAAACTCATTCACACTTTTTTTATCCGTACATTAAATGTTTAAAGTTCAGAAAAAATTTATAACAATTCGAGAACAGCGTTCCGAAAAACCGCAAGCGAACAAGTTCGACGCATATGGCCGTCGTATTTAGACTTTTGGGAAACCGGAACACGAGGCATAACAATTCAATTTGTTCATTGGTTTGTTTTTTTCCAGTGTTTCTATTCGTCATAAGCTCTAGAATAAAAAATTTTGATTGGCTCATTGAGACTACTTCCGGTATTCTCTAACCAATCGTATTACAACATTTTAACGACGCCATTTGATTGGTTTCACGTGTTCACAATTCCTATCGTTAACCAAAAATAATACTAGAGGCGCTGCATTCATTTTCTGACAGTCATAAGTGCATCTTTTTGTGGTTAGTGAACGTTCAAATAAAAAAAATAAATAATGAATGTGAAATTTTTATGTTTAATCATATATCTTATGTTTTATCGTATATGTTATTTTATCTTTTAATGTACAAATAATACTTTGAGTCTTCACAAATTATTTTCAACTTTTTCATTTTTTCTCGGATCATGAATTTTAATCTGTAAACAGTGAACTTAGAACACAATTGGAAATGAAAGGGAATTAATTATAATATGCAAGCAAAGCTACTTCGGTTAATATTTATTTAAATAATTCAGTTTTTCATTATGTCTCTCAAGAACATAAAAGTTTTAGAATTAGCAGGCCTTGCTCCTGCTCCTTTTTGTGGAATGATTCTTGCTGATTTTGGAGCAACTGTTATTAGAGTTGATAAGGTAAGTAATCCTTGTATTATTAAGTTATAAAAACTACATTATCATTAGCCCTGAACAAAACCCAAAAAAACTAAAATCTTTATGTATTATATTTTCAGACAGGTTTGTTACTTAAAGATGTTTTAGCGAATGGAAAGAAGTCAATATCGTTGAATTTGAAAAGTGAAGAAGGAAACAGAATATTTAGAAAAATGAGTGATCAAAGCGATGTTGTGATAGACCCCTTTAGAAAAGGTCCTTAAACGCTTCATAAATATTCATAACTCAATAATTTTATAATTAAGTCAATGATGAAGAATTTTTCTTGACTAGGTGTAATGGAGAAATTAAAGTTGGGACCTGACGATTTGATGAAAACTAATAAAAAATTAATTTATGCTAGACTCACAGGATTTGGTCAAAGTGGGCCCTATGCCACAATGGCTGGGCATGATATTAATTTTTTGGGTTTATCAGGTATTCATTAGTTTTTTTTATTTATTCAAAAATAAAACATGTAAAAATAATATATAATTATTATAATTTTTAGGATTGCTTTCATTATTTGGTCGATCTGAAGCAAAGCCAACACCTCCAGTAAACTTTGCAGCTGATTTTGCTGGAGGAGGATTAATTTGTGCTTTAGGGATTATGATGGCTCTTTATGAACGAACTCAAAGTCAATTTGGTCAAGTTATTGATGCTTCGATGGTTGAAGGATCTGCATATGTTGGCAGTTGGCTATACCGATCGTTTAAAGAAATGCCATTGCTGTGGGGAAAAGATCGCGGACAAAATATGTAAATAAAAATTAATTAATTTTGAAAATGAAAGTCTCAGATATAATTTTTTATCATAAAATCTATTTTAGCTTAGATACAGGAGCACATTTTTATGAAGTTTACGAAACTCAAGATGGTAAATATATGGCAGTTGGTGCTATAGAACCACAATTTTATGCTATTTTTCTAAATAAGCTCAATTTAACGGATGAAGAATTGCCACAATTTAGAGATTTTGAAAAAAATAAAGTCAAATTAGCAAATATTTTCAAGCAAAAAACACAAGATGAATGGACACGCATTTTTGATGGAACTGATGCATGTGTAACTCCTGTTCTGTCATTAAAAGATGCTCCGAATCATTCCCACAACAAGGCAAGACAGAGTTTTACTGTCAATAATCAAAATATAATCCCTAATCCATCTCCAATACTTTCTCGTACTCATGGAACGTCTTGTGCTGCTAAATATTCAAATATAGTTGTTGGAGAACATTCACGAGAAGTCTTGTCAGACTATGGATTTAAAAAAGAAGAAATTGATCATTTTATCAACTCAGGAATAGTTCACCAAACTCTTAAACAATCTAAGCTTTAATTTGATAGTCATTTTCAGCCATTGGATTAATATTTATACAATTTATTAAAAAAATAGGTGGTGTTATAGCTTTAAATATGTTTTAAACAAATGAAATATATATAAAAATGTTTTTAAATTTAAATTGTATATTTTTATATAATGATTATATAATAATATTTGAACTCATTTCAAAAATTCGTTCGTTTATTAATATATAATTGAAACTTTCCTCTTTATATTGTTGATTTTTCATAGAAGTGACGAGCAAACTTATTTTATGTAATACATCTTAAAAAGAACCGCTTAAAAAATAAAATCACTTGGAATGAAATTTGGCGTACGAAGCCATGTATCGTTAAAAATTTATAATTTCTCATAAGCTTAACTCAGTCAGCCATGTTTCAGCATCATTTGTGAGTCGGACTCGGTCTAAAAAGAGACTAGAACTACAAGTTGAGAAATGCCGACTTAATAACAAAAAATTACCTATGGAGTACCCTAGACAATCCAGGCCTTCCTCTTTTTGTGCTAAACGCATCCAATTACGTCGTTACATGCAAAAGTAAATGAGAATCCTCCAAAACCGGGTCACAGTGAATTGACATCTTCTTGGAGCAAAATAACCAATAAACTTCTTATTGAAAGAAAAAAATAAGGTAAACGATTAATTGCAAATGATCAAAAAAATCTTGATTATTCTACATCTTGATTATAAATCAATAAATGTAAAAAAGTAATTCTTTATTAATTATAAGTACGTGTTTCTTAAATCTTATTGTTTGGTTATTTACAAGGTTAAAATGCAACAATTTTGTACTAATTCTTGCAAATGATAGAATATAAACATTTAAGTTTTGTAATAATGTGGAAAATACATAGACTTTATTCATTTTCCAACTATTATTAATCAAATACATATATGTATATTTTTTTGTTGAATTTATTCTTATAATGATACTTGAGTATTTCATTCACTGATTTTTAATTAATTTCATTTCTAGAAAAGAGAAATAAATTTTTATTGGAATGGGTGTTGCCAAAAACCCTGAAGCGATGGAAGTGGAGATGTCGAATACCGACGTACCCACAGGAGCTGAAGATGCTATTAAACGTGATCATCAAACGATTCATGATTTACGTGAGCATACCAGGCAAATTGAAAAAGCTGTTCAAAACAAGGAACCTAGATTTATCTTACGAGCTCTAAGAGCTCTTCCTAATACTAGAAGAAAATTGAATTATGCTGTTTTACATGGAATTATTTATGGGTTTTATACCAGATCTGCAACTGAACGCGATGCTCTCCTAGAGTGGGTAGTAGAAGTAGAAGAAGATGAAACTCCAAATGACCCAGAAATGGGTACTTCTACAACTGTTCAAGTATTTAAAAGTCCATCTTCTCCTTTACTTCCTGAAATTGATGCTTATATTCATTTATTAGTATTAGTCAGATTAATTGACAAAAAGAAATATAAAGAAGCTGTACAATGTTCTGAAGCTCTTGTTCAAAAGATTACTGCGCAGAACAGAAGAACAATTGACTTAATTGCTGCTAAATGTTACTTCTATCATTCTCGAGCTTATGAACTTACAAATCAATTAGATAAAATTCGTGGATTCCTTCACTCACGTCTACGGACAGCAACTCTTCGAAATGATTTTGAAGGTCAAGCTGTTTTGATCAATTGTTTATTAAGAAATTATCTTCATTATAATCTTTATGATCAAGCTGATAAACTTGTGCTTAAGTCAACTTTCCCTGAATCTGCGAGCAACAATGAATGGGCACGATTTTTATATTATCTTGGAAGAATAAAAGCTGCTCGATTAGAATATTCAGCAGCTCATAAGTACTTAGTACAAGCTATGAGAAAAGCTCCTCAATCAACTGCTGTTGGATTTAGGCAGACCGTCCAAAAGTTAGCTGTGACGGTGGAATTATTACTCGGAGATATTCCTGAACGACAAATCTTTCGTCAAGCACCATTGAGAAGAGCCTTAGCTCCATATTTTCAATTAACTCAAGCTGTACGTTTAGGAAATTTACATCGATTTGGAGAAGTCTTAGAAAATTTTGGACCTCAGTTTCGAGTTGATCATACATTCACTCTTATATTGAGACTGCGGCATAATGTCATCAAAACTGCAATTCGATCCATTGGACTATCTTACTCTCGCATTTCACCGGCAGATATTGCTAAGAAATTGGGATTAGATTCAGGAGTTGATGCTGAGTTTATTGTTGCTAAAGCTATTCGTGATGGTGTTATTGAAGCTACATTAGATCCGGAAAATGGCTATATGAGAAGCAAAGAAACCACTGATATTTATTGTACTAGGGAACCGCTATTAGCTTTTCACCAACGTATCACTTTTTGCCTAGATTTACATAATCAAAGTGTAAAGGCGATGCGCTACCCTCCAAAATCGTATGGAAAAGATTTAGAATCAGCTGAAGAACGTCGAGAACGTGAACAGCAAGACTTGGAGCTTGCTAAAGAAATGGCTGAAGAGGATGATGATGGATTTCCATAGATAATCTATGAACAACACGATTTTTTTTTTTTGGTTTTTTATACTAATTCGAGAAGAATAAATAAAAACGATTTCTATATATCTGAATTTCTCTAATACAATATTTGAATGTCATTTTAAAAATAAGAATAAAATAAATACCATTTTCTTGAGTAAAGAATATTTATTTATTTTTAAAAATATGATTCCTTAATATTACACTTAGTTGATTTATTTAAAAATAGTGCAAAAATACTTTAAAATTTTTTTGTTTTTTAAATACAATAATCTTTGACTTAATTTATAATAGTAAAAAATTGTTAGATTTTAAATCTTAATCTTTGCAATATATATAAGTTTATTAAACTAATCTCATATGAAAAATATCGTACTTTAAGTTACAATAGTGTTAAAAAACAATTTGCTCTAAAACTCGTCATATATAATATCTTTTATAAACAAAAGTTGAAAAATATATTTCAACTTGATATTTAAACATGCAAATTCAAATTTTTCTATTTATGTCCATCTTTTACAATCTTTTTTATCATCATTTGATTATTGTCAATATTTTTAATTAAATATTGCTATAAAAAATACTTTTAGGTTTGTAATCTGCGTCTTTTAGCAACAGGAGTTGTTAGAGATGAATCTGCTTTTTTCGGTGACGATGAGTGATTGCTTTCATTAGAATTACGACTGTTATTTATCACGCTTTGGTCATTTTCATTAATAACTTGCTGATCATTTTCCTTAGTAGGTAATCTATTTTCTGATAACGATACTCTGGTGTTTGGACAACTTAACGATATGGGTTGTAGTACTGGAGCTTCATTACTGTATTGAGATTGTGATGATTGTGACTTTTTTGTCGTAACCATTCGTTTCTTTCTATCAGTTTCAAATTTTTCTATTGCAGGATTAGTTATAAAAACAGTTTTCATGTTCACTGTAACACTTTTCGTTGCATTATGAGTTTTATAAATTCCCACAAGAGTATCTGCTAATTCAAACATTTCAGAACGTAAACTAATTACAGTAAATTGAGCATTTTGGGTTCGTTCTTTTATGTAAGTTCCTACTATTGAAACATTCTTAAAGTCTAAAGCAGCATCGATTTCATCCATAAAATATAGTGGTGTAGGTTTATAATGATGGAGAGCGAATACCAAAGCTAAACTACTGAGAGTCTTTTCACCACCACTCAAATAACTAATTTGTTTCCAAGATTTTTTTGGTGGTCGGACACTATAGACAATCCCTTCAGTAAAATCAAGCGAGTCTACTAATTCTAATTCCGCAGCACCGCCTAGAGTTATCATCTGATACATTTCTTTGAGTTTCGAAGTAATTTCTGAAAATCCAACGAAAAATTCCTCCATTCTTCGTCTTTTGACCATATCATAAGAACTTCGTATCTTTTTTCTTTCATCAGTCACTTCTTGAAGTTGAGCAGCTCTTTCCATATATATTGCATTTTTTTCTAAATATTCTTTGATAATCCGCACATCGGGTGCTTTTTCAGGAAGTCTTTCTTTTGCCGCTTTTAAGTTTGCTTCAATTGTTCTTCCATCCATACCTTCAATTTCTTCTTCTGAAAATTCTGGTAATTCTGGTACTTGTTCATTTAGTATTTGATTCAATTTTAAACTACTGATTCTCTTTATATATTCATCTATTTTACGTGACAGCTCAGACAACATTTTTTTACTATCAGAAAATTTTAGATCAAGATCAATTTTCAAAGCTTTTATTTTGGTTTCTCTTGTTTGTAATTCTTCTAATTTTCCTTTAAGAGATCCACCTGCTTCATTTCTTTCATTTAATGCTTCTGCATAAGAATCTATTTCGAACTGAACTTCTCTAGCTTCATTTTCAATTTCTGTTCTTTCGCGTTGCATATCTTTCAATCTCTCTTCACATGTTTTTATATTTGCCTTTAAATCTTGTATTTTCTGCTCTGTTTTTTGGGAATTTCTTTCTGCTGTCTTCACTGCCACTTGTAAACGGCAAATTTCACTTTTAGCTTTTTCAATTGCTTTTACAATATTAGATATAATCTTTTGCTGCTCTTTTACTCGATTACCCGAGATTTCGTCGATTTTATGATTGATTCTTTTTACTTCATCTTCTGTGGATTGCGATCGTTCTTGAACTTTTTCCAATTTTTTCTTCGCTACTTCTACATTTTTCTCAAGTTCTTCTGTTTTTTTAAGATCACATATAGATTCAGCTACCTTTTTCTCTTGAGCTTTTAATTGAGCTTTTAATAATGGTCCTTGTTTTTCTAAAGTTTGTACTTCAATTGCAAATTTTTTTTTATTAACAACCATTTCATTCAATCCTACGGTCAAAGTTTCAATTTGTTCTTTTAAAGGTTGTTGATCTCTCCTTATTTGATTGCACATTTCATAAATTTGGTCCAATTCTGTTTGAAGATTTTCAAGATCTTGAGGGCTCAATTCATTCCTTTTCACTTTCTGTCCCATGCGTCCATGTGCTACCGATTTTCCTCCTCCACTCATTGTTCCCGAAAGTTCAATTAATTCGCCTTCCAAGGTCACAACTCTGAATCGCGTAGGTCCATATGCTATTCTTGTAGCCTGATCCACATCATTTGCCACAAGAGTATTTTGAAGTCCATAATAAAAAGCAGGGAGAATACGTTCATCATTGACTTTTATTAGGTCAAATAACCTTGGTACATTTTCAGGAGTCGTAATTTTTTGACGACAATTTGGAATAAAACGTTCCTGTTTTTCCAAAGGAATAAAAGTTGCACGACCGATATTGTGGTCTCGAAGAAATTGAATACAAGCTTGAGCTGTGTTAACCGTGTCTACTACAATATTGTCTAAAGGTTTACAAGCTGTTGAAACAGCTACATCATATTTAGCGTCAATAGCTCCAAGATCACCAAGTCGTCCAAAGATTCCTGGAATTCTTCCACTTGATTTTTCTTGCATGAGAGCATCGAGAATTGCATTTCTAGATTTATTAGCATGCATAGCTGACTTTTGATCTTCAAAAGTTACTCTTTTTTGTCTTAATTTATTATTCAACTCAATTTCTTTATTATTTAATTCATTTAATTTCTTTTTAGCTTGAGCTAAACTTTTTTCTGTGGCTGGAATTTTCGTTTCAAAGGACACCAGCTTTTCTTTTCGATCTTTAAAGGTATCAATAGTTTCTTTGAGCGTTTTTTGGAGAACTTCTAGTTTTTCTTTTTCTGTTTTCTCTACAGATGTATAAATTTGGAGCTCCGACTCTGCTATATCAAATGCAGCTTTCGCTTCATCAATATTTTTGCGGAAATCTATTAATTTAGTTTCGAACTCAGCTCTCTCTTTTAATAAAGGCTCTGTCTTTTCTCGTAAACCATTCATTATTGTCTGTAACTTTTCTTCTTCTTTTTTTTGAGCCACTAACTGTTTCTCTACTAGCTGTTCACATTCTTCAATACCTTCAGCACTTTTCTGCGGCACTTTTTTCAAATCTTCTAAATTACTCTCTTCAGTTTTAACAGCTGCTTGATTTTCTTTTCTTCTTTTATTAGTTGCTACCAATTCAGCATACAATGCTTCGTCTCGTTTTTTTAATGCATCAAACTTTGCTTGCGCTGCATCTTGTTTCTGTTGTATAGAATCCCACTTTTTACATTTTTCTTTTAAATTTTGATTAATTTCATCTTTCTCTTGGCGAATTTGAGTTAGTTCTTCTTTTAGTTTATTAATATCCGCTTCCAATTCTGCTTGTTTTTCTTCTTTCTCTTTTAAAGTTTGTGTAACTTCATACTTTTGACAATGATACAATTTATTTCTTAATTCAATGATAATATTTTCCAGTTTCAAATAATCTGCAGCTTCTTCCATAGGCTCCTTTAAACTTTCTCGTTCTTTTTCAACAACTTTTAATCGATTAGTACGTTCAGCTACTTTTTCAGTTAAAATTTCCATTTTAGTAAAAAGCCGTTCCAGCGGTTCTTTATAGCGATCTGTGCCAATAATATCTTCTAAAAATTCTAACATTCCAACATCATGTTCATTTTGGGCTTTAGGTTTCATCATTGCAATTTGTTCAATTTCTCCTTGAAGAATTAAGAATCTATTATGTTTCAAATCTATTCCTTCACTTTTTAAAATTTTAGCTATCTCTTTAAATTGCACTTTTTTCTTATTCAACTCATAATATGACGAATTATCTTTGAAAGCTGTTCTTGATATTATAAACTCACTATCTGGTACATCTTCGTAACCACCATCCTCCTTGTCAATAATTTTTCGAAAATAAACTGCTACTTCACAACTATTGATATTTGGATGTTCATTGGAGTTGTGAATGAGCACAGAAATCTTTTTAGACCTGATTTTACTAGCACGATAGCCAAATACAAACAACATTGAATCAATTACATTACTTTTACCACTTCCGTTTGGTCCAACAATTGCTGAAAAACACTCGTGAAAAGGTCCTATGACTACTTGTCCTGCATAACTCTTAAAATTCATATTAACAATCTGAGATATGATTAATCGTGGTACTTCTTTGTTAGCTTGACTGAATTTGACAGGTGGTGGAGGAATATATATATCTTCATCTATCCTAAATCCACCTTCTTCATCAGAATCATCTGCATTTTCAGCATCATCTACATCCATTCTTTCATCAAGATCACTTTCTTGTGGCTGATTGTCTGTAGCCATTTTTTATAGTTCAAACTTGATAATCTATAAATATAAAAAAATATTTAATACAAGATATTAAAAAAATAAAGAAAGGTTAGAAATTCAATTTTATTGTTGATCGTGTATTCTAAACACTTCAAATCTTCTATAAGCATTATAGAACTAAACACATGTAATATAATAAATATATAATTAGGTTGACACTTACGTTCACTACGTATGTTAAGTTACAAAAAATAATAAAAAACACTACGTAATAAACAATAAAATTCTAATATGACGAAAGATTATTAATGTTGTTTACAAGCTTAAACAAAAAACGGTTAAACATTTGAATAATAGTTCTAAACAATCATGCTAGGTGGCGTTTTCTGATTACAGCGCCAACTCGTAGTAATTCTTCAAAGTTTTTCTTCAAGAATGTGATACGTCGATATTACAGAACATTAACGACGTCATTATTGTCATTATTTCAATCATTTGCGCTCAGTTCTCTCCATGATGTGAGAGATGTATTGAAATGTGATTAGTTTATTTTTATTTTTACTTACTCTAACTGTAATTATTATTAAAAGTCAAAAAATAATATCATAGAAGAAGGATCAACTGCCATAATTGAAGTAATATTATCTGGAAGGATGAGTTTTCTTCAATTATTACAAATGTAACAGCTCCGGTATGTAAAGTAACTTGACTACAGTCCGTTTTGCGTGAGAAGCAAGGGTGTTTTGTATACAAGACTCCAATTGTTGTACAGGTGAAAGATCAAAGGTAAACATTCTAATCTCCAAAGCGTGAGTAGGAAAAAATTGGAGATCGAGATTTAGAATTGTAGGTATGTTCTCAGCCAATTGTTAAATTTATTTTTAGTTATTTTAACTCTATTTTTAATAAATAATAAAAATAAAATAAAAAGTTTTCATTATTCTGTATTAAATAAGAAACATTTATCTATTTTAGAATTTTATATTTAAAAGATAAGAATAATTAATTGATGTAGTTTACTTTGCGTTTCTTCCAAAATTATCTATCATTAATTAATATGTTTTTAACATTATTAAATAGTCATCAAATTAAAAAATAAAAGACCAATCTTGTCCCTAGCGATGACCTGACCCGACGACGACGCAGAGTTTGAAGATAACAAGTAAATAAAATGACATAAATCATAAAATTCATCTGAATCTGTTAAGGCTGATATAATTTATCTCATTATGAAGAGTGAATTGTGAGAAAAAAATTGGAAACAATGTGGCCGATGTTTAGAAAATTCTGCCGCATTTGGCCAATTCTTTTGTCAATGAGTCTAGTGATTTTCATGGTTTTGATTTGGTCTCATCATAAGCAACGTGGTGGTGATTATGGAGAAGACTACGTTTCATTGAGGTAAACTGAGTTCAACCAGCTGAAGTGTAGAGAACACGCAGTGTTGCGTGTACAGTTATCTTGGGTAATGACACTACGGAACTCTTCTTTTGCAGCTCTAAAATGAACTTAACTACCTTTGGAGACTTTAACGAGTTTAAAGATTACTCAGAAGTCATTACTCACGACCTGTAATTCTCAAGAAAATTTCTGTTGTCATTGTTCTTTTTTTGTAATCATCTTCATTTTTTTTATAGATTATCAGATGATCAGAGAGATTATATAGATCGTAGAGGAATTCACGTAGTTGTCGGACATTATATTGGAGATGCAATAAATCCTATGAAGACGCCAAATGTTACAAAAGAAATTGTTAATAAAAATATGTTTAATCCAAGACCTCGAGATGGTCGAAATGGAGAGCCTGTGCTTATTTCCTCTAAGGACTTTCCAGTGATGCAGCAACTTTTTCAAATCAATAGGTTTAATTTGATGGCAAGTGATAGAATTCCTTTGAATCGAACTTTGCCGGATGTCAGAAAAAGGAAGTGTATTTCGAGATACAGTAATTTAAGTGGATTACCTAAAACAACAGTCATTATTGTTTTTCATAATGAAGCTTGGAGTACACTATTAAGAACCGTCCACAGTGTTATTAATCGATCTCCTAAAGATTTATTGACTGAAATCATTCTTGTTGATGATAATAGTGATCGAGGTAAATTTTTTTTTTTAATTTCTAATTAAATGTTTCATTTATCTATCAAAAGATTATTGGTCGACATATCTTTCTATGAAAACTAAGATTAGAAAATTTCTATTGATATACTTTAAATGAATATTAATAGATTACTATTAAAAAAAAAAAAAGAATTATGATTCTAATTACCTGCATTAGCTATGATAAATAAAACATTTATTATCATAAACTAATTAAAATTATCTAAATAAAAATAAACTCAATTTAATTATTTTTCTATCTAAATGATAATTTATTCTTATTCAGCTTAAGATTCTTTTCTATTTTAGATTTTTTAAAAAACCCACTAGATGAATATGTTAAGTCCTTGCAAGTTTCTACTCGTGTTTTACGATCCAGAAAACGAGTAGGTTTGATTAATGCTCGACTCCTTGGTGCAAAAGAAGCAAAAGGAGAAGTACTAACATTTCTTGATGCTCATTGCGAATGCACGGTAGGTATGTAAGTTTGCTTGTTAGAATTTCAAAGCTTTATTACACAGCTTGAACTTTTAAATTATTTGAATTCCATTTCAGGGTGGTTGGAGCCCCTCCTAGAAGCTATTTCTAAAGATAAAACTAGAGTTGTATCACCGGTAATTGATATTATTAACGATGATACCTTTGCTTATACGAGGTAATTGTTTTCTTTCTATTATTTAACGATTTAATTTGAACTAACGGTTTTCAATTTTTTCTCAACAATTACAGGTCTTTCGAATTACATTGGGGTGCTTTCAATTGGGATCTCCATTTCCGGTGGTTGACATTGAGTGGTTCATTACTTAAAGAACGCCGTGAAAACTCTATAGAACCTTTTAAAACTCCAGCAATGGCTGGTGGACTTTTTTCAATGAATAAAGATTACTTTTTTCATTTGGGCAGCTATGATGAACAGATGCAAATATGGGGTGGAGAAAATCTTGAACTGTCTTTCCGTGTTTGGCAATGTGGTGGTAGTGTCGAGATAGCACCATGCTCTCACGTTGGACATCTTTTTAGAAAATCATCACCGTATACATTCCCTGGTGGCGTTGGAGAAATTCTTTATGGTAATCTTGCAAGAGTTGCTTTAGTTTGGATGGACGACTGGGCAGAATTTTATTTTAAATTTAATCCTGAAGCTTCAAGACTTCGACATAAACAACAAGTTCGAGCACGTTTAGCTTTGAGAGAACATTTAAAATGCAAAAATTTTGAATGGTATTTGGATAATGTTTGGCCTGATCATTTTTTCCCTAAATATGATCGTTTTTTTGGAAAAATTATTCATATTGCTACAGATAAGTGTTTAATGAAACCATTATCAAAAGGCATGTATGCCCAACCGTCTGGATATGCAGGGTTCGAACCTTGTATTAGTCCTCCACATCTTAGTCAAATGTTTGTTATGACTAAGGATGGCGTAATTATGACAGATGAAAGTGTATGTTTAGACGCACCAGAACATGACACAAAGCATGAGAGACCTAAAGTAAAGGTAATGGCCTGTAGTGGTCTTTTGAGACAAAAATGGAATTATGATGAAAAAGTGAGAGACAGTTTTTTTTATTATTCTCATTTTGTCCTGAGAAATAAATATTTTATTAATTATGGTAATTTCTGTACAGACAAAAACACTAAAGCATACCAGTTCTGATATGTGTCTTCACGTTGCTTCAGACTCAGAGGAAGGACCTGTCATAGCAGCGTGCAACGGAAATATTGAGCAACAATGGAAATTCCAGTCAATCCCTTGGAATTAATTATTATAATACTCGTAATACATAAATTATTTTTTATGTAAATATCACGTGAAAAGGTAATTTAAAATTTAACAATTTATTAAAAATACTTTTATACAAAATTTTTTAATAAATATCATTTTTATTACAAGTTTTATTGATGTATGAATTATCATTCAATCATTTTTCTGTATTCATTTACGCCGTATTAGCTAAATTAATGAGGAAAACTTTCAATAACATCGTAATCATTAAAGTTTTTTTCAGCATTATTGTTGAATTGAATGTAGTAATAGACAAATGAATGACATTACGTGCATTATTTATCATTTTGATTTAGGTTTAAAATTATTTTGTCTCTTTTACTGATGGTTTCTTTTGAATTCATGAATATGTTTAATATTATTGAAGAATAATCATTCTTAGACTTTAATTTATGCTAGTCTTGCAACTAAAACTTGCCGAAGACTAATTCGGCAAAACTTTAAATGGTAAAACATCTCGTCTTCTTGTCAGCGTGAAGATCTCGCGCATTGTAGATGATTCATCTGAGGCAGCATGACGATCCATCTCTGTTGTCATCAGTTTCAAGGTTGATATAACGAAGCCTGATCCATCTTGTTCTTATTTACTACCATTTGTAAAGTTATAAACTGGTATTGATCAGTATTATTTTGTATGCAATCTCAATTAGCTTTTTTTGCCGATTAAAATATCGGAATACGTATGTGGTGTAATACTTTTCTTTTTTTCTGGTTTTACTACTATAATTCTTTGAAGCCTATGACCCTGTTATTCTATGGAATTTTTTAATGAGTCTACAAACGTGAAATAGATATAATACAAAAGTAAATGCTATCATAAAAATGAACATAGTCAAATACTTAATAATCAATAGTGAAAAGAAACCAATTTAAAGTGAAATAATAGTATCAGTAGGTTACAGAAAGAAGAAATCAATTTGATCTTAGCTATGAAAAGTATATCTTCTTTAAACCGCAGATTAACTCAAATGGAAACGATTTAGATGTGCATTACATCTCTGGTAATCGACACAGTTATAAATCTAGGTCAAAGTCATGTCCTCTATGAAGTCAAGAATTGTTTTATATATTTGTTTACCCTTCTATCGTAATACCTATTAAATGATGCTTACCGTCAGACATAATGAATAAATAATTTCTTCGAAAAATATCTTGTAAGTGATTTCTTCGTTACAAGAGATTACTTATTTAAGCCTTGTTCGTTTCGTTATATAATGAAGTTTAATGAATATTGTTAATGTTGTCTAAATTATTCATGGTTTGAAAAATATACATTGCCAAGTGCACAGTGTAATTCTTTAAATTGAAATTTATTCTAAACGAAAAGTTGATCGGTACAGCTAGATGGGATCAGTGTAATTGAACTTTACAAGTTATTTAATCTCATTTCAGGTACACTTATCTATTGTTGAATCAATTGACATCATTTTAGTCTGATTGACTGAGTTCTCTTTTAGAAAAGAAAATTCTTTAAATATAACACGCCAACTTGGAGAGTGACAAATTAATTATCGGTTTCTGGTTTGTTATAATTAGTAATAAAATTTACTAATCAAAATCTCAAATGTTTTACTTGATATATAAACGCTGAAGTCAATAACTGTTTGTCATCAACTGCATGTGTTATGTTTAGTCTTATTGTACTGAATGAAAATTGAATAAAAAAGACGATATATTTGCCAGAATCATCAAAATCGTGCGGGATTCTTACACACGATTTGTCTACTCAGTCACGTCTCCAACTCGTCCAACTGTTCCGGTTCTCACACACTTATGACCCTGCTTATAAGAGGACTTGTTCCCACATTAATTGTCCACCTAGTGTAGCTTAATTTTGGGATACGTGGACATTTGTTCTGAAGCATAAAACACATATGAAGAATAAACGAAAATTTTGCGAGGAAGTAACAGAAAGACAAAGAGAAAGACTTGGAGATTGATGGTCGTCCACTCGCTGAAGAGAAAGCAGATTAAAGCACTCGTGGTTTTTCTTTCACGTTCTTCCTTTTTCTCTTTTCGACGAGATGGTGGTACACACATGAGGCAGCAATGTAAGATAAAGGGTAGAGCAACAAAAAAGTATACGTGATTTGATTTATCTTCAGGTAAATAATTTCTTATTTTACTATTCAATGTTACATATAGACATATATACAGTCACTATTACATTCGACGTGACTACAAATTTATTTTATATAAAAATGATTGATTAACTGAAAGATTTTCTTTGATGATTTAATAAAAAATATTCATTTGGTCCCAAAAATTATTGTCTAATCTTTCAATTAATCAATTAACATCATTTATCAATAACATTATAACTTATAAAATGACTTTTATGTCATTGCTTTGTGCTTTTTTTCTGACATTAAACTATTTAAACTTGAAATACATGTGAAAAACATACCTTGAGTCTTATTAAATCATATAGGCTGTTCTTCGATACTATTATTTTATAATTATCTTTACGTATAAATCGGTAACCTCGATAAAATCACAATCATTGTAAAACTAAAATTCTGATTTAGGAAATCTATAGATTGTATTTTATTTCTATGTGGGAAAAACGACATTTGAAAAATTTATTATTTAGTTGTTTAAAATTAAAAAAAACAAAAAAAGGTTTTATAAAGTGAGCTTATCTATTACTATATTTACCACCGCGCAATGAAGAGTGAAATGACTTTGGCGTCAACTATTAGGCGCTCGATTTCGAAAGTCGAGTCTTCTTTGATCAGGTTGATATGGGATGAATCAAAGATGATCAAGTCACTCGGGCATGGAATCAAAACAATTTTTTTTTTCACGTGGGTTTATTTTTTTTCCGGTGGGTTCCCTTTGACGTCTTTCATTTCAACTTACGTAACGAAAATCAAAGAATAGCCTTGAAAAAATATTACATTGCTTTACCAATTCTTCATTTGCTTTGATAAATACTTGGGATGCTTTGTAATATTTTTTTAAGTATTTTCAAGAGAGTACCCGAGAGAAATGAGCTTGGCAATGGCAGCGGATCAAATGAATATATTTTTCGACGAATATCAAGTGAAATTAATTTATAAAAAGAAACTACTATTCGAGTGGGTTCATTAAGTATTAGAGATTCATTAATGAGCATAATTTTTACATCATATTCACATGATATTCGTTATATGACTTAATTTTTATCATCTATTTACAGGTTAAAAAACAAATAATACACTGGATAAAATTCCATTCTAACTAAATTGAGCCTCATATCAATACAAAATCTACCTGTCTACAACAAGTCATGTATGTATAATGTAGATTTTCAAATTTAAATTATATATTAAAAATTTTTCTTCTTTTCATATTCTCGTATGAATTTATAACATATTAAATTTTTTTTATATATATATTACTCAAACAATAATAATATTAATAATAATAATAACATAATAATATTGTCCTATTTATTAAATTATTTACAAACGATCATAAATCAGAACTGATCATTTTCATCACGTATGATACACTCAAACTTTATTTAGGTACGTGCAGCTTATTCAATAAAATACAAAATAAAAAAAGTAATTTAACAAGAAGAACAAAAAATATGAAGAAAAAAAAAATAGCAAGAATGAATGTCTTTAAATATGTTGCTGCGATAGTTTAGTAGATGGTGAAATCAAGAGAAACTAGAGCGAAATTTATCAAAAATTGCGGACCTGCCGAAACGTGATATAATTCCCTGATTAGGTGATGGTAAAGTGTAGTTCATGAGATTATACACATATGTAAGATGTAGTAGAAATGAGGATACAGGATCGTGGTTGGTGAGGATGTAAGTAAAAGAATTGGATTGCAGTGAAGAGAAATAGTACAGTAACAGATAGTGATTGAAGAGATAAAGAAGAAAGATGACTTGAGGGGATGTATATGAAGAAACAATTTGTGCGTTGAAGTTATAATCGTGTAGATGAATCGCATGGTGTTTCTCTTCTCTGGTGGCTGCTCTCCCTTGCGGCTCCTTTATTGCGTTTCACTTTCGCGAGATGAGCTGCCACGCCGTCTGATCGGGGCGTGGCAAAACTGTAACGCAAGACTGAGGCCATAAGACTTTCAACGTTTGCGTCGTTTATATATATATGATCACGTACATATAGCTATGTATAAGAAATGAAGAGCGGCGTGAAGAGATGGATGCTGGAGGCAGTTACTTGATTGCTGCTCGATATCACGCTTAGTCACAGCAATGAATCGTTATTAACGCTCCCTTGGTGTAAGGCTGGTAAAGGCCCCCAGAGAACTCGTAGCTTTCAATCGGAGCTTCTCTTTAGAAAGTAAGATTTGCTGTATTCAACTCGTATGATATAAACATATACATATAGAGAAGGGTTGTCCAGCAGCAGCAGCAACAGCGGATGAGGTTTAGATAGCTCCGATTAAATTGTCCATCTCCGTCATAGAGAGTTTGCACACCGGACTTGTAGTGAAATATACATTTACAAGAGAGGAAACGCACGATTGCCACGTTCGTGTATATAAGTAGGTTCGGATGCTGCGTTCACCGGGAGCGCAAATTCCGTTACAATTTCCATCTTTCTCCTTTTCTCATATAGTCTTGAATTCTGAATAGCTACTACTCAAATACACTGCAATATCTGTAGGCACGTTCATCCTTCTTCCCACGATCACGCCATTTCCTCTGTCTTGGATACATGTAAGAAATTATTGCTCTTTTTTAGCTCTTCGTAATTTAACTTTTTCATCACGGAAACACGCTACCTTCGATTCGATTAAATACATGCTTGCTTCATTGTAGACAGTCGATTGAAAGACATTGACATGTGACGCTTTCAATCTTCTTATATTTACATTTGCAAGCTTCTTCACTTTTGAATTATCATTTATATGTCGTTACTTGAGCGATTATTTTATTTCTTTTTTTTTCATGCTCAAATCATTCGATCAAAAGTGTCGAGATACGCCCATCGATTTCTAATCCTTTTCACCGCCAGAGTTTATCGACGTGATCAGCAGAAGTATACAACGTGTAAGTGGTTTGTTTCAACTGCACGTCCGAATTGAACATCATGAGCAACCATGTCCAGCCTCTTTATGTATTAAATTCACTTTCTAGGCTATAAAATCCAAAGCTAAGGCACACTTCCTGACGGAACGAATCCACCTATTTTTTTTATCCATCATGTCGCGATATTTTTCTTCACTTTATTTCCTATAAAATACCGTGTCAGATAGCTGCTCTATCTGTTCTATACACGACGGGTGCGGCCAGTCTTTTTCAGTCACAAGAGATCGAGTTAGGTGAAAAGATGAAAACAATGTAATTATTGCATACAAAATATATCAAACCATGTTTTTTGGTTTCTCTTTTTTTAATTATTTTTACTATTCCTCACTTTCTCTATCAATTTTTCTATGTATTTATATCTTTAAAATTTCATTTATATCTCTTTTAAATACCTTCTAATAACAATTAAAGCAATAAGATAAATTATTTGAATACGCTTGGCAACAATTGTATCTTATATTTAAAAAAATATATATATCCAAGTCTAGGCTGTTAATTAATTTTCTAAATATATTAATTGCAGATTTCCCGTCTGATTGTATTATTATTTATTAAATAATTAACATTGATTCAAAATCACGTCTTCAATGAAGAGCTTTCAACACTTTTCATATTTCTCCAATGTTTCAATTACAACAACAAGTGAGTATCAACACTCAGGTATTATTGCCTGATGATAAAGGAGGTGATGATTCTCTTTGATCTTCATGAACGCTTTCTGCTCTACTGGTGCTGCTACTTGACCTAGAGCTGAGATTATCCCGATCACTAAAATAAGAAGAATCTCGTTTGTCTTCAAGATGTTGTTGCTTATCATGCCTGAAATCATCACCAGTAGGTGCAAGTAAACTAGGAAAATAAGACATTCCTTGTCTTTGTGAAGTTATTTTTCCCATGAAACTACGAATTTCTTCAAAATAAGATTCATCAGCTCTAGGTAATTGTCCATGGTAACGAGAACGAACTTCATCTAATATCGTTGGACCATCAGCATCGTGCTTCTTCAAATGTCGGTCTAAGTTAGTTTGTTGTCCAAAGCATCGTTCACAAAGTGGACACTTGAACGGTTTTTCTTTATTATGGATATTTCTGACGTGTCTTTGAAGATTGCTGGAGATACTGAAAGATCTTTCACAGTATTTGCATTTGTATGGTTGTTCTCCAGTATGAGTTCGAAGATGCCTCGTAAGATTGGCTGATCTTGGAAATACTTTTCCACAGAATTTACAGGAATAACGATCTTTAGGCTTCAATCCTGATGATACGTTGACAGAATACGGAAGATTAGAGGTCTGTTGGAGATTGGCTTGACTTGTGGTTGATTGACTTTGTTGTTGGCTTACAGTGGGACTTGAAGATCGTTGAGCTTGAACTGATGTGGCTGATGTTGATGAAAAACGATTGGAAGGTAAAGGGACCATAGTGGGTAAGGCACGGACTTGAATTTTTGGAAGTTCTGTGATGGGTGAATGATGATGAGATCGATACATGGCCTCCAAAACAAGTGGATGAACAGCATGATGTTGGGGAAAGAGAACCGTGTGATAGGGAAGTCCTAGACCATTTTGATTAAGTGCTTCAATATCATTCTGGTTCTCGTCACGTAGATGCTCTTTTTTATGGTCGACCCGTAGGTCTAAAGGTTCACAGTCGACTTCTTGTTCATGTTGAGACTGAGGCGGTCTTGCGGCTGGACTCATATGTGGTTGGTGGTGACTCATGATTGGACTGCTTCGACTATTTGCATGGCTTAAATCATATGGCAGTTCTTCAACATCTGGTACTCGTACACTTAGTGGATATATGCTTGCTTGTTTTGGGCTAATGTGTCCTGGCATTTTCCTGGGGCTCGAGTCTTTTTCCCGCATGGCGGCTGGAGGATACTTTGGACTGTGCTCGAAAGGGGACAGAGTGCTAGTGCTGAGATATCCACTCATTACACTTATTACTACTCACCCAGAGTTTTTTTCAGAACTCGATCACCTGAAATTAATTAAGTTTCAATAAGTATTAATCGATTTAAAAGTAATAATAATTATATTGAATGAAAAATAATTAATTACAAATTATGAGCAAAATAAATCATAAAATTAAAATAAGTACACCCTGCTGAGTTTATTATTCGATAACGGACTTGGTAACACGTCTATCGGTTGAACATGATAAACGATCGTGTTGAGAAGAAAATAGTCTAGGGTAGTGAATAGAGTAAAGTTATAGGATGGATAGGTAGAGTTAGATTCTTTAAGAAACTCGTGTAAATTCTTTTGAAATGATAGATTGCTTTGAGTTGTGATAAATGTTTAGTTGTAGTGATTTCAAATTTCAATGCTTGATGATGGAATTTAGCTTTCTTCAAGATGACGCAAGGTGATGAGACTTAAATTAGCAGTGTCGAGAAATCATCCAAAATTAGGATAGACGATCTCTAAAAAAAACAACAACATATTAACAAAAAAGCATTCGAGAACCAAGTCTAATTTAATTTATAATAAATGACACAAGAAGAAAAAAGGATTTAATTATGTTGCTGATTATTTTCAACACTTTCAAAATGTAAATTCAAATGATAAAAGTCTGAAATAAACCTATGACGTCAATAATTCAAGATTTCATGTAACTTTTTATTTAAATAATGAAACCCAATTTATTTTTCTGCAGCTTTATTTTAATTTAAATTTACTCCGAATGGTTTTGCGATAAGAACCAGATGATATATTGATAGGTGTGTGTGTGTCCTCTTTTACCAAAGAAGTTAAACAAGTTGGCATTATTTTTATTTTTAAATTACTTGACAAAAATGAAGCAGCAGGAGAAGAAAGAGGAGGATATATAATATTTAATCTGTTTGTTAAATCAGGCCTAGTCTATATAATAGTGACTGGCATCGATGTCTCCCGCACCTCTAGCAAGTCAAGAGTAATATTGTACCGCCCAGCATACCCAAGCGTTGATGTCTTTATCAGCAATATATATAAACACCCAAGAGTTTCTTATATGATCTTAAGATGAATAAAATACATAGATATTAAATATATGTCCAATGAAGAAGACTCTAGTGAAACGAGAACTAGAATATTCACCTGTAATTTTATTTCTTTATAGCCTCTATAATATTCCAGTTAGATTCACTGTAAAAGTTATTTTATTCCTGACCAGTCAAGATATTATTGTATTTATTAGACACTAGTCTTGCTCATTATTAATAAAATTATTATAGCCGTTTCGTTGGGAAATTTTTTATGGTAAGGTGTGTACTGAGTAAACTTGACATTAAAGTCTCTTTTATTATTCCTGTTTTATGTAATTAAATAGAATTTCTATCTTAATGAGTCTTAATTAAATCATTTCGTTTATTTAAATTAATCTGATAGCCATCAAGTGCTAACTAAAAATTCTTTTATAACAAAAAAAAGCTTGTGTTAGTTTTGGAGCAGGTTTTTAAATTTTAATGTTGATGATGATGATGCATCATTTGTTGTTGTCAAACATTCATTTTTTTTTATTTAAAAATAAACATTCATTTCACTGAGAAAAGATTGGTAAATAGATATATTTAAATGATGAAACTTGATCTTTACTTGAGAAATTTTAATTAAGAATTATGAGAATAAAAAATGAATTATTCTACGAAATCAACTGAAAAGAGTAATTACTTATTTATTTAACTAAAAATAAATGTTTTTATTCTTATTTTGGGAAAATGAATATTTAAATTTATATTTTGATATACTTATGTTATTCCATCATATAAATTTAAATTAAGATGAAAAGTTTACACAGAAAAGTATTTTTTACTATTTTAAATGAATTTAATCAACTAAGTTGTTTTTTTCTCAATGTTTTTATCTCCAACTTTCAACAAATTAACTTCTCTATTTAGAAGTTGTTTTTTTTTATACTAGTGCGAAGAAATAAATAAAATTAGAATGAAAAAATATAATGCATAAAAAAGTTAAAGATATATGTTTCGAGATAAAAAAGTTGTATAAAAAAATCTGGGAAGCAACTCTAGACAAATCCCAGGAGAACTGGATGTACCGTTGCTCTCGTGTTACTCTAGTTACTCCAGTTAGGCGAGACCGATCACCCGACTCCACCTCGATCCACAGATGAAAGAGAAACTTGCTCGACGTCAATATGTGGTAAAAAATTTCAAGAAAAGAACAAAGGCTCTTGTTTGATAAAAAACAAATATAAAAAAGGATAATGTAAGAAAATGATATTGGATTAACATGAAATAGTATCAATTAGATGGACGTAAAATGGTATATACGATAATTGTAAAAGTGACAATAGAGAAAAGGTTTAATTGCAGCTATTGGAAATGTTGATGCCCGCAGGACATGAAGTGGAAAGTCTCTTTATGAATGTAGGTTCTACTTTGTCTGCTCTAGTATCAGACTTTTCTTCATCGTTCCAGTCCATCAGCTTGACCACTCAGAGAGCGAGAGTATAAATTCAACAACGATGTCATCCTCTTCGAGTGGTTATTTGTGTCGTCAAAAACGGGAATATTTTACGCTCAACTGCACTTGTAGATGATGACAACAGAATTGTTCATGGCAACGGGAATAAATAATTAGTTATTTCTATAAATATACACAGATCTAGAATGGTATATTAATTAGTAGAAGAATTTACAACAACTATTCCATCAGCTAAAAAAAGTTGGTGTTTCTCAGATGATGATAGTGATGGTGGTGGTGATAGCAATGATGATGATCTCGATGGAGAGGAAAAAAGATTGACAGATGCAAATCGTGATGAAAAAAGTCACGATCCAGTTTTCGGTTTATAGAAAGTTAAGATGAGTCAGGGTGTGGTTGTATCACGTCCTTGCTCGGTATGATTTCTCTCTCGGCATTCACCTACGTACACAGTTAACTCGAAGGCTCTCTTGCGATGCATGGGCGCACGGAGATCTCGTGCTCGTCGCCGTTCACCACTCGTTAGCTGTAAGCGCAAGCAACAGCCGCGCCTCGCCAGTCTTGTCAACCAGAAGGAAGACGGCTTACCACAGAGACCGCTACTTTAGTCCAATTTCTTTAGTACACAGCTTGAGGCATATGCCTCTTGGCTACAGAAGCAGTTATAAACCCCACGACGATTTTTTTCACCTTTTTTTTCCAATGCATCACTTCCCTTTTCTCTCATCGTCTTATGGACTTGAGAAAAATGTGATGTAATTGAGGCGTGGTATTTGATGTTTTCTTAATTGTTCCTTTCACTTTTCGTCACAGAGACAGATATTAATTATCGGATATTAAAGCACAGGTTGGATAAATAATCGATGCATTTTTTGTTTTCGATTTATTTTTATTTGATATTTTTATTCATCATTTAAAGATCGATTGTTTTATGAGTCGATTCAATAGTTGGTCCTATCAAAGGGTGGGAGTTGACGCGCACGGGTGATAATCGTGACGATTATAATTTATGGTGTGTCCCGTCCCATAAGAGGTTGGATGTTCTCAAGTCAACGTATTTGAACTACCCACGCACGCGTGGCAAGTGAGAGAGAATCAAGCCTAGTACCTAGAGAAACTGAAGAGATGCAACTCTGCTGTTTCAATTGCAAACTCGCGATATAACTTTGTCTCTCACGATGCAGCGTATATTTGTGCACTCATTTATATCGTGAGAATGTCTCGACAGTCAAATTTATACTTCTATCGTTTCTATTACCAAAGTCAATAAATCTTAACATTTTGTTACTTAAAATGTTATTTTTATTCAGTATTTGATCTTTATGAAAGAATACTCCCATTTTTGTGACTCTATAAATTTTTTATTCCTTCATTTCCATCAATTATTAATTTTTATTTCAATCTATTGACTTTTCGGCTTCTACGGAAGATTGTTTTTTTTTTTCAAACGAACCTTCATATTTTTCCAGTTTTATCACGATTACATTCGATCTGAATACATCTCTTATATGATAATAAATGCAAATACTTAAGACAACTACCGGAGATAGTGGAATTGGATTTAAATACAAATATCCAGGCTAACCGAGGTCTATCCTCATGTACAATCAAACTGTTACGCACATATTCTCAATGCCGATGAGGATACTGAATGTATTATTGAGGAAAAGAAAAGAAACCGTTATTTAGACACATGCTCAAGCCATGTCAAATCACTGTCTTTAATATTCCTTACTTCCTCCGCCTTTTTACTTTTATTTATTCTTACTTTCGATTATCCAATTGAGATATTTAAATTTACTAATTCCAGAATACATAATTGCTCATTTATCGACACTGTATCGATTGATTAATGCAATTTCCGATACTTTTACAGACGACGTGACCCTAATAGGTATCTCTTTGGAGGTGGTGCACAACCTCGAGGGTATTATATACATAGCTATCAAAGACAATGGACTTCTCTTCAGGTTGATGATGACATTTCGGATGAACTAAAATATTCGCGAATCTTCCTCCGCGTCATTTATTTACTTTCGATAATCGTGATACACCATTAACTATTTCGTTTAGTTACAGGACGTTTTTTTTTGCAATGCAAAAAACTTTGTTCCATCGATAAAAAAATGCCCTCTTTTTTTATCGAATAATTGCAAAAATTGCATTTAAATTTTCTTTAATGAATCCACTTTTCTTATGAAGAAAAAAAATTTTTTATTACAATGAATATTTTCAGAGTACATTGCAGTTGGGAAATAAATAAAAAATAATAAATGCAAACTGCAGTAGAAGAAAAAAGTGGAAAGATGATTCTTACTTATCCAGTTACTCAGTTATTCAATAATAATGATTATAATTTATTTTTTTTCATTCGTCGATAATACGTTATTTCATATTATATGTTTTAATTAATATGATTTCTTATACGATAAATAGTATGCATTGAAGATGCAGCAATGACAATGCGTTCTCACGATGCAGCATAACCCGACAGTTTCATGAATGAAAGCAAAGTGAGGACTCAAGACTGTAGTTTATAAAGAGACATTACTG